TTTTTACTTTATATATTATTTATATTATATATTTTTTTTAACTTTACTTATTAAATAAATAACTTTACTTATTTTAGTGCTATACTATATAGGGGCTTTATTAAATATATTTTTAAAATTATTAAAAAATATTTTTAGTTTTATTAAGTTCTTGCTATTAAAAATTTTAATATTTAAAGGCCTTAATTTTTTTAGCTTAGGTTTATTTTATAATAATTACCATGCTAATACCTTAATAACCTTATTTTTAATAAATATTTAAGGTTATTTATGCGCTTGGTTCTAATTAGGCAATATTTTACTTATAATATTATTATTATTATTTAAGCTTAATAAGTTAAATAGCTTTTTAAAATTTTTAGCGGGTAAAGATGGCTTATTTAGTTACTAATACCCTTTAATTTACTAAGCTATTTATTTACCCTTATTAAGCTTTAATTTTAATAATATATTTTATTATAGTATTATAATAAATAGCCTAGCTATAAGTATTTTTAAAATAGTATTTTTAATTAAAATAATACTTATTATAATATATTTAGGGTTAATATATTATATAAAATTTTTAAAAAGGTAAGGTAGTAAAAAATCTTTTTAAGCCTTATTTATTAAAGGAAATAAGTTATTTAGTTTATAGTTTAAATTATTAACCTTAATAATAAGGGTGTTATTATATATTAATAATATAGGTTTAGGTAAAAAATAATAATTTTAAGCTTTTTTATACCTAAGTTTATATTTTAAAAATCTTAACTAAAATAGCTTTAGTCCGCCTTTATTTATTTAAAAATTTAGTTTAAAATATTATATTAATAATATTTAAAAATTAATAAAAAAAGTAATTTTAATTATAAGGGCGCCCTAGTACCTAAATATTTTTTATTAATAATAATAAAGCTTAGTAAAGTATTTTTAATTAATAAAAATAAAATATTTAAAACCTTAATAAATTTAACTAAAAAAATTACTTAAAAAACTAAATATACCATAGCTTTTAATCTTTTTATATAAGCCTTGCCCGAAGGCTTAAAATCTTTAAGTAATTTTTTAAGCTATTTTTATTTAAAAAGTAAATAGTATTTAAATATTTTTATATTTACACTTTTTATAATTATTTTTTAATTATTAAGGTAATTTAATACAAGGCATGCCTTTATTTTATTACTTAAATAATACTTAAAACCTAAGGTTCCCAAGCTAAGGTCCCTGGTTAAAGCTAATATTATATTAAATTTAATATTATATTAAATTTAATATTATATTAAGTTTTATATAATAATTTATAATAATAAGGTTTATTAAGCTAAATAGGTACTTAAGGTATTTTATATAATAATATTAATACTTTATAGTGGCATAACCCAGGTGCCTTAGGCATTACTTAATAGCGTGACCTGGATTAATATTGGCCCTGACATTTAGCTATTAATACCCTTTAGTTTACTAAGCTATTTACTTGCCCTTATTAGGCTTTAATTTTAATAGCATGTTTTATTATAATATTATAGTAAATAGCCTAGCCATAGGTATTTTTAAGGTAATATTTTTAATTAAAACAGCGCTTATTATAATATATTTAAGGTTAATATATTATATAGGATTTTTAAAAAGATAAGGTAATAAAAAATCTTTTTAAGCCTTACTTACTAAAGAAAATAAGTTATTTAGTTTATAATTTAAGTTATTAACTTTAATAATAAGGGTGTTATTATATATTAATAATATAAATTTAAATAAAAATAATAATTCTAAGCTTTTTTATACCTAAGTTTATATTTTAAAAATTTTAACTAAAATAGCTTTAGTCTATCTTTATTTATTTAAGAATTTAGTTTAGAATACTATATTAATAATATTTAAAAATTAATAAAAAAAATAATTTTAACTATAAAGGCGCCCTAGTACTTAAATATTTTTTATTAATAATAATAAAGCTTAGTAAAGTATTTTTAATTAATAAAAATAAAGTATTTAAAACCTTAATAAATTTAACTAAAAGGATTACTTAAAAAACTAAATATATTATAGTTTTTAGCTTTTTTATATAAGCCTTGCTTAAAGGCCTAAGGCCTTTAAATAATTTTTTAAGTTATTTTTATTTAAAAAATAAATAATATTTAAATATTTTTATATTCACGCCCCTTATAATTATTTTTTAATTATTAAAATAATTTAGTGCAAGGCATGTTTTTATTTTATTATTTAAATAATACTTAAAACCTAAGGTCCCTAAGTTAAGGTCCTTAGTTAAAACTAATATTATATTAAACCTAATATTATATTAAATTTAATATTATATTAAGTCTTATATAATAATTTATAATAATAAGGTTTATTAAGTTAAATAGGTGCCTAAGGCATCCCACACGGTAATATTAATACTTTATAGTAGCATGACCCAGGTGCCTTAGGCATTGCTTGATGGCGTGACCCGGATCAATGTCAGCCCTGACATATATTATTATTATTTTTAATTAAAATAACCTTTTTACCAGGGGGAGCTAGGTTCCCTATATAAGGCTAGGGATTTATATAATATTAAGGGTTTATATAAGGCTATAAAGGGGGTAAAGGCTTATTATAAGCAAGGTATAATTTATAGCTTAATATATTACTATAAGGCTATTTAGTTATAAAGCAAAATTTTAATAAAGGTATTTTAAAAGGTTATGTATAAAAAGGTTTTTTTTATTAAAATAAAATAAGTTTTTGTGTTTTTATATAATAACCTATAAATAAGGTTAACTAAGTTAAGTAAGTATATTATTATTTTTACCAGGCTTTTTATTATACTCCACCTTTTTTATTTTATTTAAAATAAATTATAAATCCTAATTAAATATATTAATAAGCTTTTTTAAAAGCTTAAGCTTAGGCTTAAGCTTATTTTTAATATAAATTTTAAGCTTAGTTTAAAAAGCAAGGTATATTATATAAAAAAGGATAAATAAGTAGTTATTATTATTTTTAGTATTTTTAAAGGGCTTTTAAAATTAAAGCTAAACTTTAAAAGCTTTATATAACTCTAAGTATAAGTTTTAGCTAGTAAATACTTATTAGGATTTAGTATATAAAGGTTAATTAAAATTAAATTATATTTAAAATAATACTTATCCTAGGCTTGTATATTTTTTTATAATAATTTAAAAAGCTTTAAATTAAACTTAATACTATAGTCTTGTATACTAGCTGCTAAGTAATAATAATTTATAAAAGGCTTATTAATAATAAGGTATAACTAGTTTTATTACTTATAAATAAAATGGTTATTCTAGGTTTATATAAAAAATATAATCTAGATTAAAATAATAAGCATGTAAATTATATATAAAATAATTTAATTAATTAAAATATTCTTAAAAAAGTGCCTATTTTATACAAGGGTTTAAAAATATACTTATTAATATAATTAGTATAAAATTAAAGTTATTATATAAAAACTTACTTAATATTAAAAAAGTAAACTTTTAGTTAATTACTTTTACTAAGCCTTAATTTACTAGTTTATAGTACTAGTTTTATATAAATAATAATTTTTAATAAAAATTTTAAAATAATATAATTATTAAAGCTTATACTAGGCCTTAATTAAAAAAATTATTTCCCCTTTTTAATTAAATTATATAAAGCAAGGCTGCCTTAAAGTAACTTTAAGTATATTTAAAAACTACCTAAGTATACTTATAATTATATAAAAGCTAATACTTATATAAACTTAAATAATATATTAAAAGTAGGTATTAATAACTATATAAATTTTAATATTATACAAAGCTAGCTTAAAATAGCTATTAATAAATTAAATAAAATTTAGCTTAAGTATAATATAAGCACCCTAGTAGCACTAAAAATTATATAAATATTTTTATATAGCCTTAAGTACTAGTTTTTTATATATTAAAAAAAGCTAATCTTGGTAAAAAAAGGTTATAAAAATAATATATATTTTAAATTACCTATACCTTTTAATTAATAATCCCTTGTTTTAAAAATAACTTACTAATATATTTTATTTATAACCTTTAATTTAGCTAGATTTAAGCTTTATATAAAAAGTTTTTATAATCTTATTTATTTTTTTTTATTAAAAATTAAATTCTAGGTTTAATATAATATTTTAAGCTTTATATAAATATATTTTAATATATAAGCCTAAATTTTAAACCCTTTAAAATATAAAACCTTAAAAATATTAACTTTACTAAGGCTAACCTAATATATTAAAACTTTAATTTAAGTATAAAGGGCTAAGTTATTATTTAAAAATATAATATTATTTAAAAATATATTTTATTTAATACTTTAATTATAAAGGTATATTTAAATTATATGCCTGCTAACTTTAAAATAGTACTTATATTTTAAGTATAAAGTAATATTATTAATATAAAAACTAGTTATAAAAAAATCTTTAATTTTTTTTTAATAAAAATTAAGATTAATAAGTAGCTAACCTATTATAAAGGCTTTAAGAATTATATAATAACCTAGCTATACTAAAGGTAAAAAAATTTTTTAAGGGGTAAATAAAAAGTGGTAAGCAAAGCAGTATACAATATTTATATAAAGCAGAGTTTTTGCGTGTTTGTTGATTTAGTCCTCCGTACGCCCCTAGCCGGCTCCCCGCTGGGCGACCCTCCCTGGCTTCCAACTGGCTACCATTTGGGGATTAGTTCCGAGCTAAATCAGAGAAAGCCTGCTTGCTAGGCTCTTGGCCAGGCACAGAATTCTGACGGCGGAGCAAATGAACTCTGACTCTTCGTCTAATAGTTCTTCAATCTCACCCCACACTTCTTCGGCAATAATCACTCGTCCTTGTCTACTCCGTACCCCAATCGTTCCGACAATTAGCCAAGAAAATGACGCAGGATCCAGCAACCCCAGCACCCAAACGCAAGAAAATCTTCGCTCGGAGATCCAGGACAGGCTGTAGGAGTTGTCGGTAGGGCAAGGCCGCTAGTCCGAAGAGAAGACCGGCTAACGATAGAAGGATCCGACATATGCGATGCGACGAATCACCAGGACAGTGCCAGAACTGCAGGGCGGCTGGGTGGAACTGTGAAGGCTATGACTTAGGCCGATTGCCCAAAGGACGCACCCGCTCCGAGACTGTCAGCGTCAAAGCGCAGCCCAGACCGGCATTGGCAATGACCTCTGACGAGCAAAGATCATTTTCCTACTTCCAGCATCACTCCATCGTCAACCTGACCGCTCTGTGGGTCTCCCCGCTCTGGCAGCAACATGTCCTACAGATGTGCCATGCAGACCAGGCCGTCTTCCATGCGGTCAACATGCTCAGCGCGGCGCATCAGGCGTCTGAGCTGCGCAATATGCGGGCTCTGGAAGGGTTGAGTCAGAGCCATCGGGTCTGTCAGTTCTCCCTTCAGCAGTCTGTTCACGCGATCTCTCTGTTGAATCAACGGTTGTCCTCGAACGATCCGGAGGTGCGCCAGATAGTTTTGCTGTGTTGTCTCTTGTTTGTGCTGTCCGATGTCTTCCTGGGACGGTATGAGAGTGCACGGGGGCATCTTCGGTATGGCTTGCGTATTATAAAGGAGATGGAGCGTACAGAAATTGTATCAAGAGTCGAGCCGTCCTTGGTCGCCGCATTCCGGCGATTCGATCTTCAAACAGACATTTACCTCACCGGACGCCAGGTTTTCTGCTCCAATCATCCACCTCTCATCCATGATGGGCCGGTTGAGCCTTATAGTACATTTTCCCCGGCACAACCTGCACTGGCCGAACTGCTGGGGTCGGGCATCGCCTACATCACAACCTGCCTGAGTCTCTCCGACATCGATTTCCTCGCCGATTATGCGTCTCTTTCCCTTGAGCATGCACGATCTTCCTCCCAGCTTAGCCAGGCCACTCAGCAATTCAAGGTATTTTGCCAGCAACGTCTCCCAACGCTAAATGCACAAGGCACAAGAAGCCTTGACCTTCTTCGACTCTTCCTCATGAGTCAAGCCCTTTGTCTCAAGATTACCATGAGCATAGAGCCCCTCCCTGATTACCTTCTGCCTGAGACACTTATCGTCCTTGAAGCCCATGAAGCGTTCATCGCTCGGTACCCAGACCTTCCCATGTTCACCGCTGACCATGGTGTTATTACGACGATGTACGTTCTCGCAACGCGAGCACCGACCCTGAACGCCGGGTTACGCGCAGTGAATGTTTTGCGCGCATGGCCACACTATGAGGGTCTCCTTAACTCCAGCCTCGTAGCAGCAGTTGCTGTGCGTGCGCTGAGAGAGCAGTTTGGAGCGAGTGAAGTCGAGATTGTGATGTCGGAGGAAGAGATTCTCTTCCTACGTCAATCGTAAGTTAGATTCTTGAAGGTATTCAGGAAGCAGCCTGTGCTGGCTTTGATACTGGTTTGGGTGTCTGATGTTAGGCTGTCTGGTGCCGTTACTCGTAAGATTCGCATCTGTCCAGCAACGTACTATACAAAACTTGGGTTAGAGAACCGCACCTGCGGTATGAAAGGCTGGATCTGACAACAAAAGGCGTAGACCGATCGATATCAGTCGCACCTTGCAGAATCCATTACTTACATTTCCCAAGCCCGCCGTGAAAACCGGACGAGTACATCCGCCCAACATGACATATGCGTCATCGCGAGTGTCTTTCTCCAAAATTGACCCCGGGCATTACCAGGATGGCTCGAATGTCGGCGGGAAAAGAGGATCTCCCTTCATCTGCGATGAGGCAAACACACTGTTTGTGTGGTTTGATAATGGATGGAACTAAGGAGAAACAGCGTAAGATCCATGGATTTGGCAGTTGTTTCCGAATCCAATTTCGTTGCATGAGACTGGTGGGAATTGGAAAGTTGCTGACGCAGAGTTTGGCAACTTTCTGAGATTCGGGATATGTTGGGCTTCTACCTAGGGGATGGGGAAGTTTGCCTAGCCAAGATATATATAGCCCGTCAACATACATACTGGCACTGAATGGAGTTAACCCACGGTATCATCCATCGTCTCAGAGAATACAGCCGCCAGCACCCTAGTGAACATACTACAGGCTCTCCGAAGCTCCTTAATTGTATATTTATTGATATCAGATCCATAAAATTTGAATCACACGCCTGTTCCCGTATCCTGCTTATGTAAAAACCAACAGCTGCCATCCCCGCATCACATGACATCACTGATAACAAAGATAAGCGACTCTTACCTACTCGAGTCTCGACACCGAACTCAAGCCCATCAGGAGAAGGCTACAGCATGAGCCATGCAGAGCTTCGACGGAGCCTCTCGCCCGACTGAGGCCGACGCAAGCCGTACAGCTTCCATCGCCGGGCGCTCATCTCGGACCGCCTCTCTCGGTGACAGCGGCTCGCTATTATCAACTGTAGCGCTAGAGCCCAACTCCGCCCCAGAAGCCTCACTTACATCGTCGTCAAGCCACAAAACCTCCGAAGACCAGACAGACGGGCCAACTATCGCACATCCCGACGATGATGGCTTGTTACGATCTCCTCTATCGCCCTTCGGGCCAGGGCCATATAATCCTCCACCGCCGCCCTCGATCAGCGAAGATGTCGGCGAGGAAGAAGACGAGGAGCCGCGGATCGCAACGTCATTTGAGCGGGACTCGATGTCTGCATCGGCGCAGAAGCAGCGACAAGTCTACCTAGATAGTGGCGGAGATGATGGGATTTACCGGATGCACAAGTTCTCTCTGTATGAGACGGCAACGTGGTTCTACATGGTCGGCATGGATTTGTCGGACACGAGGTTTCGCATTCTGAAGATTGATCGGACCTCTGAAACGGATGACCTGAACATAATCGAGGACGATATTGTTTATACGAAGAGGCAGATGAGCCAGCTTCTGGATGCAATAGACGATGGGAATAAGAGTTCAGGCGGCTTGAAGCTCAAATGCAGCGCTTGGGCTATACTTGGCTTTGTGCGCTTTACGGGGGCATACTATATGCTTCTGGTGACGAAGAGGAGCCAGGTTGCAATGATCGGGGGTCATTATGTCTACAAGATCGACGGGACGGAGCTGATCTCTCTCACGACATCTTCGAGCTCGTTGCGGTTTAAGCCCGAGAAGAACCCCGAGGAGGCGAGGTACATTGCGATCCTTCACAGCCTCGATCTCACCAGAGCGTTCTACTTCAGCTACTCTTATGATGTTACCCACACCCTCCAGCACAATATTGTTCGGGATCGCAAGCTTCATGAGGACGGCCAGCCAAGAGCATTTCGGCAGGATTTCAATACGATGTTCATCTGGAATCATCATCTCCTTGCGCCTGCCATCATGCATCTAAAGAACCCGTACCAATGGTGCCTGCCTATCATCCATGGGTATGTCGAACAGGCAAAGATGTCCGTCTATGGACGGCTTGTGTACATCACCATTATCGCTCGAAGGTCTCGATTTTTTGCTGGAGCGCGGTTCTTGAAAAGAGGTGCGAACGATCTTGGCTATGTCGCGAATGATGTAGAGACGGAGCAGATTGTCTCTGAGATGACAACGACTTCATTCCATTCGGCGGGACCGGACCTCTACGCAAATCCATTGTATACGTCTTACGTCCAGCATCGAGGGAGTATCCCTCTCTACTGGACGCAAGAGAACTCGGGCGTCAGCCCAAAGCCCGACATTGAATTGAATCTCGTTGATCCATTCTACTCTGCCGCCGCTTTACACTTCGATGACCTTTTTGCACGGTACGGTGCGCCAATATATGTCCTCAACCTCATTAAATCACGAGAGCGGACACCCCGGGAGTCGAAGCTTTTGAAAGAGTTTACGAACGCTGTGGAGTACCTCAATCAGTTCCTGCCCGAAGATAAGAAGCTCATCTATAAACCTTGGGATATGAGTCGGGCAGCCAAAAGCCGGGATCAAGATGTAATCGAGACGCTGGAAGATATCGCAGGCGATATAATTCCCAGGACCGGCTTTTTCCAGAATGGCCATGGTGTGGACACAGGGCTAAGAGTGCAGAATGGAATCGCAAGAACAAATTGCATAGATTGCCTTGACCGCACTAATGCCGCGCAGTTTGTTATTGGAAAGCGAGCATTGGGATACCAACTCCATGCTCTAGGTATTATAGAGGGTACGACAGTGGAGTACGATACGGACATCGTCAACCTGTTTACGGATATGTGGCATGATCATGGCGATAACATTGCTATCCAGTATGGGGGGTCACATCTTGTCAACACCATGGCTACGTACCGCAAGATCAATCAGTGGAGTAGTCATTCCCGCGACATGGTTGAGAGCTTCAAGCGGTATTACAACAACTCGTTCCTCGATGCACAGCGTCAAGAAGCCTATAATCTGTTCCTAGGAAACTATATCTTCTCACAAGGCCAACCAATGCTCTGGGATCTCTCCACCGACTACTACCTGCATCACGCCGACCCCAGATTCTGGGCGAACAAAAAGAAGCCCAACTACATCAAATGGTACACAGAAGAGAACTTGAAAGAGCGCGAGATGCCCGTCCCGCCAGCTCCGCCAAAGGAGCCATTATCTCGCTATGACGACTACTGGTTCGAATACTACCGCCCCCTAGCCATCTCCTCATTCTCCAAAATATTCTCATTCAAGATGAACTCCACCCTCCGCTACCTTCCCTTCCGCCCAACATCCACAGACGACTACAACCTCAGCCCCTTTGTGCCCCGCATTTCCCACGAACAACTCAACCGCGAACGACCCCAGCGAAGCGTCAAGATCCAAGAACCGGAACCCTCATCCAACGCCCCAGATCACCCTCACCAACCGTATACCACTGAAAGGCGCCCCGGGATCATGAAACCCATCTCGTCGCTCGGACCATTACGCTCCAACACGATATCCAGCCACCCATCCATGGATTCGTCCCTCACAACCAACACCCCGAGCAAAGCCCAGATTGCTCAGTGGACTCTCGGCCAGCTTGTCACCGACTCCCTGAATCCGTCCGTGACGAGCGCCGAAGCCGAGGAATACGAGCGCTATATAAACCACCCGCTTAAAGTCCCGCTGGTCGTGACGTCGGAAGACGAGCTAACGGCCGCATCAATACGTGAGCACGAGTCTAATCTTGATCTGGTCGAGTACGTGAATAAGTGTAATGTGGAGGAGTATACCCTTGGCGCGAACGCGGAGGAGAATCTAGCTGACTATGCGGAGTTTTTGAACGTCTCTGAGGAGGGTCTAACGGTTGTCGAAGAGGATAAGGATAAGAAGAGGTATAAGCGCTACGGGCAGTGGCTGAAGGGGAAGAGTCTTTTCAAACAGAGGGCGGAGACGTAGTGCCTACACTGGCCTTCTACACTACGAGGTATAAGGTAGACACAGGCAATTGATGAAGGTAATCATAAATCTGAAATTACGTGACGGATAGAATAAGCTAAAACGTGCATCTGCAACGCCAGAGATAGCAAGAGCAAAAAGAATGAAGAAGATACCGCCATCTACTCTTTATCACGAGGAGCTCTGCAGGGACAACTTTCCGTTGGTATAAAATCTGGCCACACCCAATGTCCCTGTCCATGCTTCGATTCGAATTGGGCGTCTTTCATCATCTCCTTGCGAGATTCTTTCTTGCGTCGGGGCCAGTTGGCGCTACTTTTGAAGTTCCGATACGCGGTATAACCAGGCAACTCACCCTCCGTATGCATGTATCGGTGATCAATCTCGCTAATGAGACGGGGAAGGATACCGAGTATTGGATCACCAAGCTCTTTGCACTTTTGGCAGAGAAGTCGACGATTTTTCAGGGTGAGATGCTCAATGACGAATTTGTGCAGGGACCAGTCCATGTTCGTGGCAGGATCCAGAGCACCCTTCCACCGGAAATCCATATACATGGCCTCGATATTCCTCAAGCGGCAGAATGGTAGAAATACTGCCTCGTGATCGTATGGGTTCCTAGCAATCCAAAACTTGAGGCGGTATGGAAAGGGCGCGCCATAGCGGAACGGCCATGGCCAGCGAGCGAAGTACACGCTCGTGCGGTCCTTTCCATCTCTCTCAGTCCAGGTGTATCGTTTCTTTGACCGGAACTTAAGCGTGAGCCGTTGGATTGATGATGCGTGGCCCAGCAGGTCCACCAAGTTGTTGACTTTTCGCCAAAGCACCATCATTTGTCCAGGGTCGCTGGGATCGGGTGCGTATACTTTGACAGGCACATTGGCCCTATGGAATGGGAAATGACCAAATCCTTTGCGAATAGCTGAACTGTATTTTCTAAGATACCATGATCGCCTAAGCAGCTTGTTCGAACTGGTCAATTTGGCCCGACCCAATTCGGCCCGACCCCAGTGTGTTCTGTCTCAGCTGCTGGGCTCATTGTGAACACCAGTTTTAGGTGGCGGAAAACATGGTGGGAGACCTCATCATAGAGTCTGCGACTAGTACGGAGGATCGAAATGGAGTTGTTTTCAGCTGATGCAGGAACGATAGAATCATATATGTAGAGTCGCAGCTCTGGTGGGAGCTTCGAGAGCCTTCCAAATCCGGGGTCGTGAGAAGCCATGGTGATCGGCTGTTTTTCGAGGCCCTTGCTTGGTGTGATGTGATGGAGAAAGAGAATATCTCAAGGGAAAAGGTGATGAAGTGATGAAATGAGTCACTCATTAGGTTTCTAACTAACAACATGGATAGGGGAGGGACACCGTCCCGATGAGTCGTAAGCACATGACCTGGTCGAATAAGCCTGTCTTAGCTTCTCCAGCACAGCAAGTGATGCATACTAGACTCCAGCACCACGATGAGGTGCGGGCTTCGCTGGGGACTCGGGGTTTGCAGAGAGTCAAACCGGGTGGCCTCTGGATGATCTCCCTCCCCAGGAATCAGAGCCAGAGAGCCTATAGAACGAGGGACAGAAACGAGGAACAAAAAAGCAAATGAAATGAAATATACAGGGGATAAGAGTTCAAGTGTCAGAAGGGCAAAGCCCAAAGCAAAGAATGGACTGGGAGGGAACCACCACTACCACCACTACCACTCCTCACCAGACTCCCACTCTCTTCCAATTCTCTCCTTCGCCTCCTGGATTCTCTTCTCGATGTCTTTCAGTGCGCGTTTTGCCACGATGTTGTCGCCCATTGATTGGAGCCATACTATGCCGTTCCGGGTACCATCGCTGGCATGACGACCATCCTCGACAGATTCCGACGCACCGAAAATAGTCGATGGCTTATCCCGTAGGACCAAGGACCCGGGAACCGTCCTCTTACTCGGCCAGATCGACCGTGGCTTGGCTGGCGACTTTGCTTTCGACGCTTCTTCCCCGCCTGCATGGCTACTTTCTCTGGACGGCAACAACGATGTTTGCGTGGCTCGAGATTACAACTGGAGCGTCCTCCGAATTGCAGGTCCTTCAGAAGGCGAAGGGGGAGAACCGGAGCTCGAGGAGGAGGTTTTCGACACTGACCGAAAGTAACCCATCTGTAAAAAGTTACCAGAAGGGGCACGTACCTAGAAAAGAACCCTATTCTTAAGCCTGTGGCGATCTTGGACAGGAAAACATCATCGGGACGCGTTCGCTGTTGTTTTACGGCCATGGACGGTCTCGCCACGGAAGGTGCGGTGGTGCTCGGTGTCCAGGGGCAGCCTTGAGGCGTGCAGAAGCTCCTTCCCATTCCAACAGGAGAGTACGAGCAGCAGGCTCATGACCATAGAGAGGTACGAAGGGCCTATACATCGCCATGACAAAGGAAAGGGGGTGTAAAGTGGATGTCTGTCCTGCCCACAAGAACATGCTGTTTTCGGCCGTGGCCTATTGTAACAAGCTGCAATAAGCGCGATGACCTTGTCCCTTCTCGAAGACCAAGCTTCCCAAACTGCGTTAATAAGAAGCTTACTTGACGCCCAGCTAGCAGTCTATGGCGTAGCCTGGTGAAAGGTCACTCTAGGGCTGTGGTCTCTCAGGGCTGCAGTTCCTTGAGACCAGCAACTCGCAGTACTTACCGCAGGTCTATTCTGTAATAATTGTTTTTAGTATGTCTGGAGAGCGCTCATTACCATCAATGAAACTGAAAGCTAGCCATGTTGTACACTGGGAGGAGGTCGAAACGAGGTACCTAGGGCTTCGCTCACTGCACACAACCCGACGAACACGGGTGAATGTGCGATCCAACCATATCCACAGCAGGCCAAACAAGCTCGATGTACAGTAGCTTAGGCCCTTTTATGGTCCTTGCTGAGAAGCTATGAGATTGACCATGAGGGGCGAGATGGTGTTGATGATGACTCATCCACACGTGCCGATGAGCCTCGGCCCAAATCGGACATCTCTCCAACACCCTGTCTCAGCCTATCTTTGCCTTTGCCATTGTATTTCCCAGGTCTGCAGAGCAGGCTGGTATCCCAGTCCGCACTATGGAGTACCTACCAAGCCTTCAGCAAGACTTCGATGAGCTCAAGCCATCCCTCTTCGGTAAGTCCAGATAGCTCCGCGGAGAACCCCGAAAGCTAACCACCACGTCCCGGTAGAGTTGCTCGCGGAACAACAGCTATCAGACCTCCTTCCTCCCTCGATACGATATATCCTTGCCATCGCTACACACCGTCATCCGCGGTATCTACTCCGGGTGCTTAACTCCTACGATGAAGTCTACGCGTTCCTTTCCCTCATCGTCGAGCGGTACTATCTCCGCAACTTTGGCGGTTCATTCACAGAGAACTTCTACTCGCTCAAACGCGAGCGAGTCCTTTTAACAAAGAATGGAGAGATCCCTCGCGCCCAGCTCGGCGCGCCTGGACCCGTCCGCGACAGCCTCAAACTACGGACTGCCGATGTATGGAAGAACCTGCTCATCATGGTCGGCATTCCTTACCTGAAGCGCAAGCTGGACGAAGGCTACGACATCCACGCCGCGCCGCAAGCGTCCCTGATCATGAGCGGCGGGCCTCGATATAACCCAAGCGACGATCTCCCACCACACCCAACAGTGCGCCAACGCCTCATGCACGCATACAAATGGTTCCTGCGCAACATCTACCCCTCCGTTAACGCAGCCTACTACTTCTCCATCCTCGCCTTCAACCTAGCCTACCTATTCGACAACACAAAATACTCCTCCCCCTTCCTTTGGCTTATCGGCACTCGCATCCGCCGTCTCAGCTCAGCAGATCACCACGCCATCGCAAAGATCCTAGATGGCAAGCCCCAAAATCCGCGCGGCGCGCGGACCCGTCCGGGCTCGGGATTGCTGGGCCTCCTCAGCCCGCAGAATATCTACCCGCAACTCCTCACTTCTCTCCGCTATTTCCTCCCGGCGTCCATCTTTGCGCTAAAGTTTCTCGAGTGGTGGCACGCTAGCGATTTCTCGCGCCAGCTTGCTCGCAAAGCCACCGATACGCTGGACATCCCGGCGCCTATAACGAAGGGTATGATCCCGCCGTCCGAACGAAAACCGAAGCCCTCGCAGAAACAAGACCCACAATCTCCTAAATCAGCACTCAAGTCCTCTTCATCGCCACGGAAGCGTATCCAACCACCCATCTCCGCCTCCTCATACCTGCCTATCTTCACCGTGCCCCTCCCACCAGCTGACTCCGACGCTGCCTCATCCTGCCCTATCTGCCTGAACCAGCTCACCAATCCCACGGCCTGCCAGACGGGCTACGTATACTGCTATGTGTGTATCTTCCACTGGCTGAACGGAGACCACCAGCGCCAAATTGATTTCATGAATGGGGATGGCGCCGGTGCAGCTTGGCAGGATGATTCCGGCGATGGTGAGGAGGGCGATGAGGCGGAGAAGACGCCAAAACAAGGGAAAAGTCGGGAGGGGAAATGGGAGAGTGGGAAGGGCAGGTGTCCGGTTACGGGAAGGAGAGTTCTTGGTGGGACGGAGGGGTTGCGGAGGGTCCTTATTTGATCTGATTTCTCACGACGTATGCTTTTTTGGAACATGTATAGCCACAACTTGAGCGCCATTTTGCATGAACATTCGCCTTGTTTCACGATTATTGTATATAGATTAAACTTGGCAGTGCCAACACTAATAACAGCATCATGATTGTGTATAACTTGTCTATTCAATATACCCATGCCCGGAACATGCTCACAGCCAATGGTCAATGTCGACATAACATCCGTAGAGAAAACACAATGCTAATATTAATAGTGAGGGCTCAACCAATCCTACCCCATCCTCACCAAAATACCCATTCTTCTAAGAATAACCCTAAGTCTAAGGAACATACGGCTCAGCGCCCTCCCCAAAAACAATCGCCGGCCGCTCAGCCGCAAGCTTGAGCACAGTCTGCGCAAAGACGGAATTCGCCCATGCAAACCAAGGTCTCGTATACTCGGCGATGTTGTTGACATCAACGGATTCGTGAACAAGGCCCAGCAGACTCGAGTTCTTGACCAAGTTCAGGCACTCTGTTATCTCGGCGTCGGAGTCGGAGGTTTGGGCTTGGATTAGGAGGGACATGGGCCAGGCGTTTTCGAGACCGACTGTGTTTGGGTTAGCTCGAGGTTTCAATTCGGTGATTGATTGGGGGCGAGAGAGGAGGGCTTACTATGTGGACCGCCGATACCGTGGAATGCAGAGCCTGTGAGGTAGTAAGGGTTCCCATCCTTGGATAGGATCATCTTGCGTGTATTCTTGTACACGGGGTCCTCCTTATCGACGAAGCCGAGGACGGGGAGAGAGAGGAGGGACGGAACATTCGCGTCATCCATGAAGATATGCGATCCGTAGCCGTCCACCTCAAACGCGTATACTTCGCCAAATTTCGGGTGAGTGACGATACCAGCGTCCTGGATAGCGCTGCGCAATCTAGTACTGCGGTCCGCAAGGTTCGTTGCAAGACCATCGTGTCCACCGGCCGCGCGAAGCATAGCAGCTGTCCTGTTGAGCTGAACCGCCATCTGCGCGTTTGCGGGGATAAAGAAGCCCATTATGGTTGCGTCATCGCTAGGTCTGAACGCGCTGCGAATCAGGCCAGTGGCGCTGTTCAGCGGGTTTCCGACTCCTGCTAAGCTCAGTGTTTCAGTTCCTAGCGTTGTGCTTCGTTGGAAGGTGTACTGGTTGGTGACGAACTGGCCTTCGGTGTTGAAGGTTGGTTGCGACTGTGCGTCTAGGACCGCGAGGAGGGTATCTAGTGCTGTGAACCAGCGGCTGGTGAGGAAGTCCGTAGACCCGGTATTCTCGTAAAAGTCCGTCGCAAGGCCGAGGAAGTTGGCGAGAGAGTCAAGCTCGTACTTGCACTCGAACACGACGGATGGGTCGTATGCTGGGTGGACCTGATCATCTTGGTTATGGCCCTCAGGTGGGATATTGCTCGGAGGCGGCGGCTGGAATGCATTGCAGTAGGGCGACTGTATGACGAACTCAGCCTGCGTATTGATTGCGCCCTGGATAAGGCTATAAAGGCGCTGGTCTTGGTTCGCCAGAGTCTGGTAGTTCGCCAATTGGTTTGTTGAATCGCGGAGCCATTCTGCGTTAATGTCACCAGTTACGACAAAGGTCTGTGGTCCGTTCCATTGCTCGGATTGCTTCTTGCTTTTCCTCGTCGCAGTTGTGGTGCCATCGGTATGCCAGCGTATGGTCGTGTCCAGGGTGTTAGGAAAGGCGTTGCGGAAAAGTTGCGCGAGATCTTTGTCGACCATGCGAGATGTGACATCTTCTATAACTTGTTCAACAGCAGATGAGTTGAATGTTCGGCATTCCGTCGCTGGCCTCTGGAATGGGAGGTTTAATGGGCCTCCGCTGTATGGAGGGCTGATAACACAGACATCGGTAAACAAACGTGACAAAGGGTAATAACAAGACTGAGAACCTACTGAGGGCTTTGAGAGTATGATAGGTAGTCTGGACACGCCCTTCTTAAGATCGCAGGCTCATCTGGCAGGGCTGCAGTTCCCCTTGTGCCCAGGCCGAGGATGGAGAGTGCGGAGACAAGTGCGGGGAGCGTCATGAGAAAAGAGCGAGCTCAGTTGACTGAGCTTGAAGATGACGAGAATGAATCTGAGAAGGTCCACGTAGTTATTTCCATTGAGGAAGAGGGGTAACAAGGGAATTGGATCCTGTGACTCGGAAGGTGTGGTATTTGTTGAGTTGCACATGGTGTGGCTGGTCTTGAAATGCGGAGAAGCGCGAGCGGATCTCCAACCCTGGCGATCATCCCCCTCCAAGCTCATCATTTGTCCTCGTGGTCAAGCGCCATTTCGACTGTTACAGTCCGTCATGATATTCGGATTATTAGCCTTGGGATTATTACTACATACTGACGTCGGACAGGCGATCAGACCTCTATAACAAGCATACTCCGTAGTTATGCCATTCTCGCGCTATCCCCGCCATGAATCATGCTTGAACCTCACTTCTTGCCAAAGAATGACATGATACTCCCTTGCCCCGCTTTGGGCCCAGCTTTACCCTTGGGTGCGCTCACTGCCGGCTTCTTCTTGGGCGGCGGTGGTGCAGGCTCATCCTCCGAAAATGACTCCCAGCTCGGTTCCTCGACAGTTACTAGATGGATATCAGTTGACTACCGGTAATTCTCCGACCAAGAGGGACTCACCAAGGTAGCCTTCGCTATCCTTCTTTACTGCCTTCTTCATCACCTGGCGTCGTCCTCTGCGGCGGCCGCCTTTAACCGTGGCTTCGACCTTGAGGTCCTCCTGTTTAGGGGGCGGTTTGTCAATGGTTTCTGGCTCCGCTGGAGGTTCAGTAACGTCCGGCATCTCTTCGTCTTCATCTACACTTCATTAATATTTCATGGTAGAAGTGCTTCGACGAACCCACCGTCATCTTCCATCATCTTCCTAAGCCTCTCCTCCCTTTCCTTTCTGCTTTCACGGGTCTCACTCGGGCCTTCCTTCTTAGTCTCTGGGAAGAGTTCTGCTTGCTCGTCTTCAGAAGCATCATCAAGCACAACTATTTACCGTTAGCCAGCATACCAAGAAAACGCATTAGCCTACTCACCATCTTCAGCACCGCTAGGGACAGCCTGTCAATTTGTTAGTACACAGAGTAGAAAGTGAAACAACAAATCAAGACACACCGAGTCAGCACCAGAAGCAGCAGATGTAGTCGACTCTTCCTTCTTCAACTTTGGTTTCGCCTTGGCGAAAGAGCTGAACAAGCTGCCGCCCTTTTCCTTCTTTGTCGGAGGCGCCTTATCGGTTGATTTTGCCGATGAGGCGGAATTCTGGCGCTGTAGAGGTTTTGAGGGTTCGTCCTTCTTAGCTTCTATTTTGCTCGGTTGTGAGAGTTCGGACTGCGCGGGTCTCTTCGCTGGAACAGTACTCGAAGGTGCGGGAGGTGGAGGTGGTGGTCGCACACCTGTCCTCCTCTGTTCGACTCTAAGTCAGCAAGATATGGTCTGCAACAGCATGCCGGTTGTAGGTAGACGGTACCTTGACATTCGGATTTTGTATCATCCCCCATTGCTTCCCGTACTCCAATGGGTCTTCTTGCGCATGATTGACGAGCATCTCGCGACCGACGTCAGTGAGCACATTGAGATCCTGCAATATCGTAGGCTGCAGGCTATACACGTATATGGAGGATAGTGATTCGAAAGTAGATTTTGCATCTACCACACCGTTAGCAGCTTTCCGAGGAACGCGGTCGGCATCACAGGAGCTCGCTACTCGCCTTCTAGGTCTTCCTCTCGCGCCAGCAGAACTGCAGATACGGGAACCTGCTCCGATTCGTCTTCCGGGTTGGGCATCGAGCTGCTGATATACGGGCTGCTCGGCATTATATCATCATCATCACCACCGCTGCCATTGACGGCGGCTCCATTCGTCGCGGGTTCGGCGGGTTTCGGGACTCCCGAGAGAACATAGGTCGCGTTGACGCTGGACGGTTTCTTGGAGTTCTCATTGTGGTGGAAGTCATACAGCATTCTTCGCACAGAGTCAGCATCATGACGTATCAATCCGCCAACCGGAAGAATACTTACTGCTTCGCGATCGTACTATGCACTCTCAATGCTCGACCCAGCGAGCGATATGTGACCTATTGATCCAAGTCAGGGAAGGAGCCAAAATCGCCGGCACCAGTACTGACCGTACGACGCTCATGGAGAATATTTTCCGCCAGATACTTCTTATAATCCGCGACAGCCATCTTAGACAGAATCTGGCTTCGCGGTCGTATATCGGAGATGCAGCGAGAGAGCATCGTGATCGACGCGTGACGCCGAACCACTTTACGCGTCTCAGTCAGCTGGTCTTGGCGGGCGGGTGCCCATCTCTTTCCCCGATCGAGAACCGCCATCTTGAAATCCACTCAAGCTCCTACGAAAAGGAAGACGCGGGTTTCGTCAAGGGGTCTACTGCTGGCACGCGCCTGCGGTCGCATGTGACATGATGGAGCCGACATTCGACATCCCCGACTCTACCGACTGGCTCGAAACGCCATTAACGCTTCTCGCGCCGTTCGAGTCCTTCCTCCGCTGTCAGGTCTGCAAGGACTTTTTCGACAATCCCGTGATTACATCTTGCAGCCATACCTTTTGCTCGCTGTGTATCCGACGATGCCTTAGCACGGAGGGGAAATGTCCTGCTTGCCGGAGCTCTGATCAGGAACTGAAGTTGCGTCGGAATTGGGCGGTGCAGGAGCTCGTTGAGGGGTTCAAGAATGCTCGACCGAGCATATTACAATTAGCTAAGAAGGCTAGTACCGGCGGGGATGCTGGTGCAGCTGTAGCCTCGGAAGAGCCCGCGTTGAAAAAGCGAAAAATAGAGCCCAATGGGAATGAAGTTGCCACAGATGGTCCTGCTGAGGACGGTATTCGCACACGATCACGAAGTCGAGGCGTTGCACGGCAGGCTCCGGCTGCTCCGATCGAGATCATGGATGATGTTGAGGACGACGAGTATATTCCAGGTGCGATCTTCTCATTGCGTTGATTAAGGTCTTTGCTAACCTCGAGATGCAGAGGATGGCTTGGTCCCATGCCCTATATGTGGACGAAGGATGAAAGAAGAAGCCGTTTTCCGACATCTCGACACATGCACCGGGGTTGCAGAGACCTCCAAGCCGGCAGCATTTGGGTAAGATCATGCAGCGGGAGACCCCAAAGGTGTTGGCAAGAGTGCTGATCGTCGACCAGGTCTCTAGCCTCTGGTTCACGGAGACCGCTCCCGGTACCTACAGGGAAACCTCCGGAAAGACTTCCAGCTATAAACTATTCTCTACTGAAGGATACAATGTTGCGCAAGAAACTCAAAGATCTGGGCATACCAAACTGGGGCCCGCGACCTCTTCTGCAAAGACGACACACGGAGTGGATGAATCTATGGAACGCCAACTGCGACTCCAGGACGCCGAAACCTAAACGGGAGTTACTGCGCGAGCTAGACATCTGGGAGAGAGCCCAGGGGGGAAGCTCCGTTACCCTCACCGACACAACGAGCTCTGTGATGAACAAGGACTTCAATACAGGGGAGTGGTCGGCCAATTATGACACCGACTTCAAGGCACTGATTGCGAATGCACGGAAAAGGAACGATGCTGCCGTTCGCTCAACAATACCCAATGCGTCACAGGACGGCTCGAATGCGTCGCAAAACACCCAGTCCATCGGGCAGTCGTCTGAGGCGACGACTTCTGCCCAGGCTGTGAACGAGGAAGGCTCAACGAATATCCAAAATATTGTTGTGAATCGCACAGAGGTCCAGGCCGTAACAGAATCTCCTCAAGCACTAAACGAAATAAGTGCTGCAGTAAAACTGCCAAGTAATATCGTGACGGAGACTGCGGTCCAAACAACTTCATCTGCACACAGTGATGCCTCAATCGATCTGCGCAATGGCCCGTCAAGCGAAGCCGAAGTTCAGAGATACCTCAATGACGGTAACAGCTAGGATTTTATCTTCTTCGAAAGCACCTCTCTGCTAGTCTTCCTATGTTTTAAATGAGCGATGAGTCCCGGGGCGTCAGGGCGTCGCTTCATGCATTCTCTTCCACCGACATCTGTGAGAGCTTCTCAATGCTGTCTTCCAAGGCAGACTCGACATTCTGTCCCAGTGGTGCTTTCCGCACAGCTCCCTTGGTCTCGAGGCCGAGATTGTCGAGCTCGGCAAGCTGCTTTCGGGTTTTTTCTGCTTCTTGCTCTTCCTTTGCTTCCCGCTCCTGAGATTCCAGCTCTTCGAGCTCGTCGTCGATCTCGCCCTCGTCGATTTGAGGCCCAGCTTCACCGATGATATTTCCGATCTCATCCACTTTAGACATCTCCTCACGCAGTTCATAAACCACATCTTCAACCCTAGAGACGTCACCAAGCTGAGCATTCAAGCCACGGAGAGCGCCCGTGCTGGTTTCCATCACTCTAACATATTCAATCTGATCACTGGCCTGCTCGATTTTGAGCTGCGTTTGCTCGAGCTGTGCCAGAGTATCCAACCGCTGCTGTAAATTATGTTCAGCGAGCTTCTTCGAGCGCACCGCAGCTAGGGCCGATACGCGGTTTTTCTTGCTAAGAGCGGCTTTAGCGGTTTCATTGAGCTCGGCGATCTTCTTCTCCAGACTCTCAACCTGTCTCGTCATTGTTGATGTAAGAGACTTGATGGAGGCAATAGCCGTGTCTTGCTCTGTGATCTCCCTCGGAGAATCATTCGTGGGCCGGAACTTGATAGTCTAGCTTATAATTAGCGTTGACCATATCCAGTAGATAGACCGCATTCATACCTTGCCATCGTAGGCGATGGCACCCTTATCGCGGGACAAATAAAGCAATAAAACATCCAGATCAATATCAGAGAGCTCGCTATTATCATCCAGTACCGTCCCGAAGCTTTCAACAAAGCTCTCTTTAGAGTAGATCAGGTCTGTTTTCGATGGACTTGCGCCCAGTACCTGCTTGACCAGCTTCTCTCCAGCCTCCTAAATCGCAATCAGCAACCACTTCTGTCTCATCATGACCGATATTTTGAGCATCGCGCATACCTGAAGATTACCCACCAGCACCAACTCCTGGTTCTGCAACCTGGGAGCATCAGGCCCAGATCCAACCACCACACCACGTATTTGCTTCAGCCCCCACGTCATAACATTCCACGGGCTCAATGCCGTAGTATCGATAAGACCCCACTGCGGTTTGCGCAGACTCGCGGCGCTGGCTTTATACAGCTGCACGGGTACCATGGTCCGATTCCACATGGCATCTTCCTGCAACGCACAAGCACGTTAGAAGCCGCTGAAGCCGTATCCTAGCGATGTACTCCGCAAAGGTGAACGTACAAGAACAGCTCCTAGCGCAACAGGGCGGCCGAACTCCGGGCTCTCCAAATCCCTAAGCAGCCCCTCGTCAGCACGCAGCGTCAAATGATTTGCCTTGCGCTGTTGCGTCGACCCATCGCCGGCACTCCGCGATAGCGTATGCGAGGAGATATAGCCGTTCCGCGCGGCTTTCGTCAGAGCCTGTTCCCATGCTGAGACGTTCACGTGGTAGCCGTCTGGGTTTGTTTTCTTCTGTACGGAGAAGTCGGAATAAAGAGAGGGGAGGCGGTTCCTGGTGCGCGGAGAGGAAAGAAGTTAGCGACAGGGACTGGGGGTGCTGTGAAGTTTCCACTGTACTTTCTGAATGATTCCTGGGAAAGGATGAAGTTGAGGAGCTCGCTCATGATTAGTATTCGTTCTTGGATGTGAGGTGAGGCGGAATCAAATGTTTATAAGGCTACCAGCGTCTTCCCCGCTATGAGGTCGCCCAGTTTGCGCCCGGTGGTACTTGGATCTGATGTTGGCCGTGGATCATTCTTTGATTCCACCACGAGGCCTTTGTTGGCGCCTTACCGATAAGCAGCAGGAAATCACGTGCGATGATCCCTTCCCCGTCAACCGCCACGGAGCATATCCGAACTATATGGATGTACAACTACAAAGACAGATGAAGAGTGAAAGCGTTATACAGCCTCACGTGAGACCACTTCATAAAAGTCTATTATAATATTTAGCCTGCGATAAGGCTCGTTTCCATTATCATCATGTAGTTATGCTCGTTCAAAATCGTCACTTGGCACGCTATCCCCATCTCTCGTGGTCTGGAGTTGAGCCAGAGTAGCTGTGTCTAAGGGGTTAAGGTTGCCAATCAAGGACCTTCGGTTCATGCGTCGGTCTAGCTTCTCGCTGGTTTCCTCGTCGTCCAAGGGATCCGTACTGCCTGTTTCCTCCTTAATATCCAACCCTCTTGCTTCGAGATACCCAACCTTCACGGAGAGCCGGAGGTTATCGACGAAAGTCTGCATCTCTGGCATAGGGAAAACGCCATCACTGCCCAGTACATCCGCGTAGAGACGTTCGGCTTCCTCGAGACAGGCCGAGGCTAATGCTGGCTTCCCAAGCCTGAGCCACATATCGGCGGCGAAAAGGCTCCACATGCCAGCCTTGCGACGGCGGCCACCAAATCGTACCCCGTTTGGAGGTGGTCGCGAAGCGTAACATGAGGATATCCTTTCGCTTAGAAGGCCTTGCCCGACAGACTCTACCAAGCCAAGGTCCATGGCCCGCATGGCCCATTTGGCTGCGCTTTCGGCTGCTGAGCCGCCTCGTGATCTCAGCAATTCGACGGCCAACGTAAGGCAACGTAGTGTGGTAGGGGCGTCCGAGCACCGAGTGAGATAGGAATAGCAGGCAGTGTCGAACATTTGGTCAATGGCCTCGACTTTAATCTTCGAACCCGCCCCAAGAGGGTTTAATAATGTGCTGACGGCGCACATTTCGTACGCACCTGCATGGTATTTCCAGGCTTTGTCATTCGCATAGTCCGAGCGTAAGAGCTCATAAGTAGATGCGGCCAACTTCCAATCACGAAGCATGAAAGCGTAGTCTGCCATCTTCCTCAGGATAGCTTCAGAATGATCATAGTGGTAGTAGCCTTGAGACACATTATAGTTCCCACTTGCTCCGCCTGAGCCCGAACTTGAGCGAGAGCTCGATCCAAAACCGGCCCATTTGCGCGACATTGACATAAACCGGCCACTGATACCGCGTCTTCGCGACGCTACCTGATCGTTCCAAACAGCAACCCTGTTTTCCATGAATGGCACAACAGACTGTGCGATGAGTTCTCGAACAAACCCTTTGATTGCCATCACGTCAGAATCGAAGAGGTATAGAAGACCGTCAGAGTCAAGGTCAACAAGTGGTTCTATTAAAGTTAGCATGTTTGGCTAAAAACAGACATCGAGATACCCGCTTACCTGGCCTTTCAGAAAGCCGCTCTGATGGCGATAACCACTCGCATTCTGGAACTTGCACACTATCATCGTCCGTCACCACACACTGGTTGCTGCGTAGCCTCAGAAGGTGACAGTGTAAACCAAAGTGACGCTTCATTTGGTCATAGAGTTTGGTTGAGGCGGTTATATCATCGCGATCCTCGTCGTGAACAAGAACATAGTACCGAAGGTACTCTGGATGGATCCACTCCGGCACTTTTCGTTGCCCATTGTTTGTATCGGCATACAATTGTCGAAGAGATTCCAGGGGGGCTGAGTTGCGAGAGCTAATAGCAATCACACTTGCTACAGGGTGACGAAACGTTTCATGAGGTGAGACGGAGGCGATTGACAACAGTTGCCGTAGATATAGCTTATATAGTGGTGACGTTGAGGAAAGACCTACTAGATCTTGAGGATGTATTGCCCCGCTTGGCGGACCGTCTGTTGAATCCAGCTGCTTAGCTAGGACCGCCTCAACCTGGGCTAGGGGCGAGCTCCGTCCCTGATTTGGGTCGTTGGGAGCTCGGCATATCTCCCCCAAGTCGACAAACCGCACCCCATAATCTTCCCAGCCACGGCTTGACCCAATACTGTCACGGATGACCAGTTTCCCTGGCACATTTTCTCCGAATGGCCGAATCAACTCCCAGAAACCACCCTTGAAGCCCTTTTGCCGCACCAGCTCATCAGTGTCGGGTGATGAGTAGACGCCAACAACTGGGGAGAAGGACCGAATAATCAGAGATCGCGTATCAAGAGCGGAATCAGCGCGCCCATCTAGAGGTGAACCCAGCGACGTTCTCCCTATTTGGGGTGTCGTGGACCTGACGGATCGAGCGGAGGGGGAGCCAGATCGAATTGGAAGATCGGTGGTGTTCGAAAGCGGGATGGTCGGAGGCGAGGCTATTCTGGGCTCAACCCTTTCCGGGTCTAAAGACGCGGACGAGTCGCGACGCTCAGGGTATCTCGTCTTGGAAGAGACTCGAGGCACGCCGGGCGAGAAGGACGGCGGAGGTTTGACCGGAGCAGCATCTCCGGGCGATGTCATCGACACCGATTGGATTCCGACAGGCGAAGAGTAGGAGAGGTAAATGAGGCTCTAGACCTAGCCCATCCGAGGACGTAGGGGGATATAGAAGTTGCTAAAACAATGGTAGGGAGTTTATATCGAGGCGAAGGTCGGAGATTCTTGAAGGTAAGGTTGCGGAAAGGCGACGGCGATATGGTACAGTAAATAAGGCGAGAATGCGCGGCGGTTCGGGCGAAGCCAACTCACTGCGCATGAACGTGGAGCAATTCTTCAGGACAAGCGGACGCACATCACTCCAGCTATGAACCAGATGACAAACTCAGGAATTAGCCACACCACAGAATCGCTCGCGACAAGAACTGTTCCAGTGCTGCACCTGGGATGTTGGAGGACTCGTTAGAAGCCAATGAAGGCGGTGATGATCGTTGACTGCCGCTGGCGGTAGGTATTGCTGGGCTTTATTGAGGTGACTCAATGCTCTTCAGGCATCCCAGCGATTGACTTAAAAGCTCCCATTGCCTCCGTCTCCCTCTGGGATGACTCTCCCTTTATGTTCGCTTCTTTATCTTTTCCTCTACAATTCTCCACTAGGCTAACGCGAAGAGCGACATTTTTTACCAGACACCCCTCATTGCGACAGCCCCTCTCACGACACACTCCACGCCAACTTGCTTCGTACAGCAATTTTATGAGCCGTCGTCAGGTCGCCGAACCCCTCTGTCCGCGCGCAACAAAGAGACGGCGAATTTCCGCGGCTACACCCGTGGAAGTCGACCTTGCAACCATGAGCACAGCCGCGGACGGTACCTCACAGAAGCTCCCGAGTATACAGCTCACTCCTCTCGAAAATACGCTGAAGGATCTTCTGCTCGACGTCGCTCAATATATTAGAAACCGTGGCACAGAGAACACACATGGAGATGGCACGGAGACCATCCTTAGGTTCACGGGTGGTTGGGTGCGGGACAAGCTGCTGGGAGTGGGAAGCCATGACATTGACGTTGCGATAAACAATATGACCGGTTACCAGTTTGGGACTATCCTCAAGGAATATCTGGATATTCCGGAGAACATGGAGAAGTATAAAGGGGAGCATGGAGAAAAGGCACTTAGCCTCCATAAGATAGAAGCGAACCCGGAAAAGTCCAAGCATCTGGAAACAGTGACAACAAAGATATTCGGCTTCGATGTGGATTTGGTTAATCTACGAAAGGAGGCTTACGATGAGAATAGCCGAACACCTCAAATGGAATTTGGGACCGCGGAGGAAGACGCCTTGCGCCGAGATGCGACCATAAATGCTCTCTTCTACAACCTGAATGAGTCCAAGGTTGAGGATCTTACGAGAAGAGGTCTGGACGACATGCGGGATAAAATTATTCGGACGCCGATGGAGCCATACCAGACCTTCAAAGACGACCCTCTTCGAGTGCTGCGGCTTATTCGCTTTGCTAGCCGGTTGGGATTTCGCATTGACGAAGACACCGAAAATGCCATGCAACATAGCGATATTGGCTCGGCGCTCAAGCTCAAGATCAGTAGGGAGCGCGTAGGTATTGAGGTGCAAAAGATGCTTCAAGGCCCTGATCCACGTGGAGCGCTTCACGTCATTGATCGACTTCACTTGTACCCCATCATTTTCGCCAACTATCAGGACGATGCTGCGCCAGACTGTTCAACCTGGTCTCTTGGCTACGATGCGCTTAACCGCCTCTTATTCTCAGCGGATGAGTCCGGAGCTGTTGGTCGGGTTCGCGCCTTGCTTGTTCGTGACTCGCTCGAAACATATTATGCTTGGACAATTGCTGCATTCGCTCCTTGGTCAGCGATTCCCCCACGTATTCAAGGAACCAAGCCAACAGTTCCGCGCATGGGGGAGGCTGCAAGGGACGGTTTGCGGGCGGATAACAAAATGATCAACATACTAAAGCAAGCAGCCGCCCACTGGCGAATTGTTATTGATGTGAAGACAGCGCTTGTCGAAAACCAGATGCAAGGAACGCCCGCGGAGATCCGGCAGCAGGTTGGGTTACACATCCGATCATGGACCGCGGACTGGAAGTTCTGTGTGCTCTTGTCCCTCCTCCAAGAAATAATGCAGGGAGGGGACTTTGTTCAAGGTGAGACCCTACCTCTCGTGCTTCCAACTGCAAGAATTGTCACTTACACACCAGCTTCTGCGGTAGTGCTGCATAGTTACGACCAGTTCCTTTCCTACATTGTAGAGCAGGGCCTTGAAGGCGTCTGTGATCTAAAGCACATCGTAAAAGGAGATGAAGTTATGAAGGCATTCGGTGGAAAGAAGGGGCCTTGGGTCTCGAAGGCTCTGAGGCTCGTGATTGAGTGGCAGTTGCTGAACCCGGACAGCCAGGACAAGCAAGAACTGCTGAAGTTTCTCGAATCTAAGCGAGAAGAGATAGGCGTATGAACGCAATAATATCGAAAACATACTACAACGCAATAAGCCTGAGAATTGCATCGCCCGTCTTAGCTTGTACCTCCGTACAGAAAGTTCACAACGTGATTACTCAGCAGTCCTATCTTATGCACTCTCAGCATGGACTAATTTATGCACTCTCAACTCTGGACTGAGCTCATCCACTGTTAATATAATACGTTGCCCGAGACTTCGGTTTGAAGATGGAAAGGCTACGCACTTTAGCGCATGAATCTCTCCGACAGTCAACGATCGCACCCATCGCAGACTCTGTCCTGGACGGTTTTACCGGACCTACCGTCACTGAGTTATGGCAAGCGATATCCACCAAGTTAGATAACAACGAAGTGTGTGCTCATGGGCGTCCCATAGTTCTAGACTGATTTGTTAACAGGCTCTTCAAAATCTGCTCGTTGCAGAGGCATGCTTGAGAAAGCAGGCTTGTGTAGCGCCGTCAGAATTGGACAAACGCGCTATCAACAGCCTCTACAACTGGGCGAGTGAACTTGCTCTGCCGTTGCCAGTATTCGCGGAGTCGTCAGAAGACTCGTCCTCGAAAGGTGAGACTGTTATTCAGAACAGAGTGTCAGCTGGCTAACCCAATAGTAGCGCAAGAAGACAGCCGGCAGCAGTCTACGCTTGCTGTATCAGTAATCTTGTCGCTCAACGCTCTGCTTCCGCTTGAGCAATCAGATGATGCATCGAATGTCGTGATTGCGTTAGGAAGCTTCACCTCTGAGCCAGATGCATGGAATACACATGATGCTTTTACAGCTTCTACTGCCTTGTTGAGAGATTTCGTTGAGAAAGCTGAGCCGTTGTCATTCTGGATGACAGTTGAATCCATCCTCAAGAACCGAGTCAGGCCTCTCTTCGCCAAATCCAAAAACCCTGCTATTACAGAGTCTGGTCGAAAGAATTTCCACCCCGTGCCCTTGCCGCGATTCGACCTGAGTATTTTGGATCCTGAGACGAAACCGTGGAAGAACCATGATGGCTACATTACAACCGTCTTTTCCTGGATTGTCAAGCAGTATAAGGTCCGTACTGATTTTCGTCACGCTTATCAAATACTGACTGATAACAGCCCGGCGATAGCGAGACTCTTGAAGCACACTTCCCCCTTCTAGTACCACCTATCCTCGCACTGATCGACGATGACAGCAACTCTTACAAACGTCTCGGTTGCGTCCTGCTCTCCCAATTTCTAATCCCCATCCGCGCATGCAGATCCGATATCCTCCGTCGAACAAACCTCTCCTCCGTCTTCGAAGACGCCGTCAGACCACTCTTCCACTCTCTCCCAACCATCACCCAAGAAGACGATTCCATCCAGCTCCTCGGAGAAGCATACCCCGCGTTCCGTTCCCTTCTGCAAATTAGCTACAGATTAACCCCAGCCGTCGCCAAAAGCCAGAGACAAAATACGCCAGCCGCATCCGCTAAGCGCCAGAAAGACGAAGAAACATTCATAGCAGCCATGACCAGGACGCTACGCGACCATCTCATCCCATCCTTCCACCACATCAGCTCAACGAATACGACGGCGCCGGGCTCTCACTTTGCGTCCTTCCCTCACTCCCGTCTCTCAACTCTCCTCCTTAATCAGATTGCCGTTACCTGCGCGGAGCTTAAGATCCACACAACCAAGTATCTCCAGGATATCATCCCCCTCATCTATAGCACGCTATCGAACCCCTTTGGTACCGCACACCCTCCCCTCCTTCTCTCTTCGCTTTCGGTCACGCGGGCTGTGTTGCTCAACGCGTACCCGCGGGTATGGAGATGGCGGGGTGAGCTCCTCGGTGCGATATGCTCGTGCTGGCTTCATATCCTTGAAGATGAAGAGGAGTCGAAGGGCCCATATGAGAAGAAAGCAGCCGATCTGGAGAAGTTGAAGAAGGAACTTCAGGGCTCGGTGTATCTGCTGAGATATGTACTTGAGCACCCTCTTCTTGATGATAATGATCAAGGGCAACTGGAGGCAAAGGAAAACATTAGCAAGGAAATGCAGATTTTGGTTGATGCTGATGAGAGCTTGAAGGCGTGCCTTTTTGCAGACGTTGACCCTGGTGACCCGAGTTATTTTGGGTATGATTCATGAGAATATATAGGAATAGCCTAGCAACTCAAGCTATATGATCAATGTTCAGGCCCTTAAATTCTTAGAGGGTTTAGAACCCATGCCAACTAGGGCTGCTTCCCAATAACCTTAGGCCTATTGTATCACGCCTAAATTCTGACGCAAGTTGTAAGACGAATAAGACCAATATGGGCCTGTCCAGGGAACTCAATAACCCGGCACTACAAAGGAACAACCACCTGATCAACATCCGGTCCCCATCCACCACCCTCCACGCCAAAAATCCGGATGGTATTGACCCCCTGCACCAAGTCAACATGAACAGCGGTGCTCCCAACACTACCACCTAGATGCGAAGTCGACACGAACGCCACCGTCTGTGCCTCGCCATCATTGACAGACACAGCGGCATAGCGCGGGCTCGTGTCGCCATTGAGATACTTGATATTAAGCGTCACACGGGCCGTGTCCGCAGAGTCAACCTCGAGCTCAACAACGCCCTCATTCTCGCCATCTCCGGAACCCCCAATATACCCGGCTGCTACTGCGCCACTGCACCGGGAGCAATTGATAGTCCGAGCACCGCCGGAGAGTTCTCCATCCTCACCTTCATACGCCGTTCCGTCAGATCCTGCGGTCCAGGTTCCCGCGGCCAGATCCACGCTCCATGAATCGTACCATTCAAGACTTGCGGTGGCGGTCGTGCCGTCGATCTCTAGAGGGAGCCAGATGTATGTGCTTGCGCCGAGGTTCGTTGATACCCATCGATCGCCCATGTATATTGCCTTGTCTGTGCCTAGAGGTAGAACGTAGTTCACCTGGCTGGTGAAGGTGTTTGAACCGACGGGAGCGAATTCGATCCAGTCTGTCCAGGGACCGGAGAGGGAGGTTGCAGTTGAATAGATCTAAGAAGGCATAGCAAGGTTAGCTCCTGCAGTGCGAGCGTATGATATTGGGTAAGGCACATTGTCATTAGGCGACCACCCGGTAAGATGGGACCCAAAGATGAAGTATGTCTCACCGCGCTTGATCAGCGCTGGGGATTCAGCAAAGTACTCCCAACCAAATGTTACGTTCGCGACATCAAGGTAATCATCCGTAAGTTGGATGATTCGAGTTCCGTATTCGCGCTGTGTCCGTCAGTGGCTTGCTCCATGCAGGAATAGAAGGCTGCTCACATCCTCAGTAAGCAGATAGGCAGAACCATCATCATCCTTGAAAAGCCCGATATCGCGACTCTGGAACCCCAACGGCCGGAAACTTTCCTGGTAGACATACTCACCACAGACACTGTCGCCGGTGGCAACACCAACCCTGGCATCTCTATAATCTGTTGAATCAATGTGCATCCACATGACATATTGTCCGGTGTTATCATTCTTGATAATCTTTGGTCTCTCAACAATGCGATTCGGGCCAAGGTCCGCGCCTTCCTCGTCGGTGACCGTGAGAAGCTGGTTCACGAATGTCCATTCGATCAAATTTGTAGACGAGTAGCAGTTTACGGCCTGAAAGAGGGCGCCGTTGGTTTTCTCTTCGCCGATCAGGTAGTAAGTGCCGTCTTCTTCGCTGTAGATAGTTAGGAATGTAATGGGGACAGGGTAGTTGAGGGGAGGACAACACACATAAGTCCAGCGCCGTGGGCTTGGACGTGCTGTCCAGTGTTTGTCTAGAAGACTATATGTTAATGCCACCTCCACGAAGCCCAAGATTGAATACAACAACTTACAGCAGTCCATGTTGCCCCAGGGATGATATCGAGTGCTGCCCTGGCGCATCCGGCGATCAATCCAAAGCAGGAAATCCTGATATATGGATGCATAATGCTTTCCCTTGTCCGCTAAACCCCAACACGTAGGTTGCACATCCAGCGGAAACCGTTGGTCAAGCTTGTCTCCTGACTGTCTTTTATACCTACCTACTTCCGTATACATCACGGAGTGCTTCTGCGGGGATATCGGGCCCGGTTGCTGGCCCAGTTCTTCATGGCCCTAGCTTCATGCAGGACACGACAATGTCCTGCTCTAGTCGACGGATAAACCCAGGCACGACTGTAGAACAAGGGTTGCATGATTTAACCGACTTGCGAATGATGCGATTCGCTGATGCAGTGCGCGTCAAGGGGTGCGTAATAGTTCGAGCTCTACACCCCTGTCAGTTCAGCTTCATTGGATGAGGACGGACGGAGACAGGGACACTGACGTAGAAGATTCATGCGGGGAAGCTGCCAAGGTTATTGTTATAGCGAGGTTGTCCGACAGTGCATGGAGTGTTTCGGTCGAGAGGAGTCCTGGGAGCAGGCATTGCAACATCGGATGATTTGAAAGGTTCGTAGGCCAAGACTGTAAGGACGCGTGATATTTTGTTGCTGGTTTGTTAAATGGTCAGAAGTCGGGTTGGGCCGCGGTTCTTGCTAAATACAAGTGGATTTGGAGAGAGTACAATAGATACATCATCCAGAGACTCGGGTATAACAAAACAATCAACTACTAGAGCCACGCTGTTCCAATTCCTGTCTCCACTCATCCTCATCCACAGCCCGATTCTTGCTCTCACACCGCCGCCACAACTTTGTAAGAAGACTCTGAACGCCCTGCGCAGCTTTAGCCGGAGTTTTCTTATCTGCAAGTAATATACAGCGCGAGAGATTCTCCGCTAAATAGCGCCCGAATGGAATCGGGGGGCTCTCGCGACTCATCATGGGAACCCAAGTATTTATACACTCTCGAGCTTGAGCCGAAGTGCCCGACTCGGCATGTAGTCGAAAAAGCAAGACGTAGTCGTCATACGTCCGAGGACTTTCCTTTAGAGGTAGCTTGCGCCACCATTTCATAAAGTTCTCGTAGTCGCCATTGTTGAAGAGGGAGACCATGAGGGTTCGAGCATGGGTTGGGTTGAAGGGAATATCGAGGGTCTCGATCATACGGACGACACGGGTACCCCTCTCTGCTGGGATCAGGCCGTCGTCGCTTCCTTCTGCTCCTAGAGGGGCGGGGGGCAGAGAAGACAGGTGGTATAGGCGGGCGAAAAACTGCAGATTCATGAAGTCGTGTCCTCTGAGAACAAGTTGATCTAGAACGGTGATGGCCATTTCCTTGTCTGTATCGGTGAACCATTCTTCTCCGTCTGGGTCCTCTCCTTGCCGGGGAGTGAGCAGGATATTAATGACCATGAGGCCTACGTGATTAGGCATAGAGGCGGCGACGCAGCATTCCATAAACCCGCGATATATGCTTTCTCTGCTGAAGCCGGGATGTTGTCCTCGGGAGTGTGCGTAGCATGCGAGTTGCAGTTCGGCCAAGGCTTTAATATTCGCTGACGCGCGTGACAGACTATTGTTGAAGAGATGCACGAAGTGGGTTTCCTTTTTCGAGTCCTGTGGGTAATCGCCTAGTGCAGTCCTTATTTGCTCATTTGACAAAGACTTGACAAATTCGAGCAGCACGTTAGTTGAACGAGGCACTGTTCGAATAGCACGAGTCCGAGACATTGATCGCGTAAAAACAGTGTTATGCCACGGGCGCAAGAACGGTTGCTGGCTCCCGCTGTGAAATTGTCGTCTCTGTTCAAGCGGACGACTGATTGGCGACCTGGGAACATGCGGCGATTCATAGTCAGATGGTGACGGATTTATTGAACTGGGATAACGAACCTCTTGGGGTGCGTCGTCCTTGGCGACATGGGCATGTTTCTCTCTCTCTCGTTGGGCGCGTGCCAGTCTCCCTTCCCAAAGCGTCTCCAGATCCATCTCCGCTCTTTTCTCCGCTGTGAACAGCTGAACAACCACTCTCGTACCTCCCACGAGAGGACCAAATCCCTCGAAATCACCCTCCACTTGCTCTGGCACAGCATGTTTCTCCACAACTCCCGCATTAACACAGACCCAACCAGTAGTAATCCCATCGTCCTTATCGTCAAACATCGCTCCAGTCCGACTAGCGATCCTAGCTCGCTTCATCTTTCGCCGAAGCTTGATCTTCAGCTCGTTCCTTCCCAACAACCCATCCGCGTAAGGTGACAATTTATACTCGCTTCGCAGCCAGCGACAGAGACGGTCCGCAGAAACATTGAGATGTTTGACGCTGCGCGCAGTTCCTACGATCATAATGACGTTTGCTCCAAGAGCCGCGGGCGTCTCCAACGCCCGCAGGTCGATCAACTTGAGTTCGTCAAGACCAAGGTCTTTGAAGACGTATTCTAGGAGTTCTGGTAGGATCTTGGGTGAATTTTCCGGGAGCTCTGGGAGCTTCTCTCGGGGGTTAATCTCGGACGCTGCGGGAACGGGGCTCTCTTCCTGGAGATACCAGGGAATGTGCTGTGAAGGTTCGGAGCTCTGTTGAGACTTCTGCGTCTCAGGCTCTTCAGCTGGGGCGGCATTGGGCGTAGACGAGGATGATGGCGGGTGGTGTTCTGTTGAGAGGTGAGAGGCAGAGGTCAAACTCCGTACTCGACCATACGTGAGGAATGCATGACGAGGTGCAGTAGATGTTCCCGATGCTAACAAACGAGACGCTTCCTGATAGCGCCGAGGCACCCTCAGTAATGACCGGTGCATGATGGAGTTTTCAGGGGGATGCGATGGAAATTGGAGTTAGCTATAATGCTGGGTTTTATGGAGGCAAAGACGATGGGGTTAATCCAGTGCAAACTGTGCAAAATCTGACTAAGCAGATCTATACATATCCGTTAACTAGGGCATCGGCATCAAGAGGTGAATGCTTACAGCAAAAGCCCTGGACATTGTTTATTTCTTCCGAATTTTTGATATTTCAAAAATGCTTATGCTGCCCTACCCTTCAGGCTTTCAGTGGTGGGAGTAAAGCAGGATCTAATCATCAGGTATCCGCTAACAGATCTATACAAGCAACGAAGAAAACAAGCCATTAGAAAATCTTTCCCAGAATCCTCCTAGTATCTTCCTCCACGTTGCTCTGGTCAGCAGACGCCTTGTCCCGCCCCTGCTTGACCTCGTTTTGCCTGAACAGTCTCCGCGCATTGACTGTTGCCTCTGGCCCTGCATCCCCACCACCACCAGCTGCCATCTTCCGTCGCCGCTTCTCCTCGTTCTTCTTCTGGATACCGTCCAGCATCTTCCCCTTCTCGTAGCCCTGCAAGAACACCTTCTCCTCCTTCCTTGCTCTCGTGTCTTCAATTCGCCGCTTCGCCTCCCGTTCCGACCTCTCCCTCTCCTGCTGCTCCATGAGATCGGCCCACTTGAAGCCCTTGAGATATTTCATATTCCACACATCTAGAATCACCTTGTTAGCCTGCAGAGCTAAGCCACGCAATGTCGTGTCAAACCTACCATCATGATACCAACCGCCCTTCCGCCCCCCCACAATCGTCGCATTCAGCGTCTCAGCACAGATCTTCGCCGTCTTCTTCGACGCAAACTCAACCCACCCATCCGTATACGTCTTCCGCTTATTCGACCGTCTTCTCGGCGCAGAAGGCGCCTTTACCGCAGGCGTAAGGAAAACTTTCGTAATGGGCTCGAACCCACGGGTCTCAAGGAGGGACTTGAGCGCAAACGGTTTCAGGTACGGCGGGAGTGAGGAGAAGTATACAACGCCCGTCTTGTTCTTCTTAGTCGGCTTCGTTTTCAGCTTATCGAGAGACTGTAGTGTCTTCTTGCTCTTTGCCTTTTCCACTTCGGCACTCACGTCCAGGTATTGGCCCTCTTGGTCGTCATTATCGTCTGATTCGTTTCCGCTCTCCTCGCGCTGTTCTCGCTTCTTGCTGGACAAGCGTACACCTCCGGTTTCTTCGTCGCTTGATTCCTCGCCTCCCGATACGTCGGAGCCCTCGTCTTCAGAGCCGCTTTCTAGTTCGCCCTTCCGCGACTGCGTCTTTCTTCTTTTCACTGTCCGGCCTTTGCTCTCTTCGGCTGCTTCAGAGTCGTATCCGGCGTCGTTGTCTTCGTCGTCACTAGAGACGATGTCGAGGAATTCGTTGCGCTTGCGGGTTGTCATGGTGCTTCGTGGAGCAGCTGCGGAATTGCCTTGGTTGTGTTAAGTATAGTCAGTAGCACGTTTGGCTTTTATTTTATATTCGTATCTTCGAGAAGGTTGCGAGAAACTCGTTGCGGAGATCATCGCCAACTTTTTTGTCCGCGGGTGGCCCGTGCGTTCATGCCTCGTAAATCAGGTGTTATTCTCCGTCATTATCAGAACTCACTAGTACGTAGATGGAGTGCTATTGGATTGCTATGGGGGACGAACGTATATACTATAACGCGATGGGGCATATTTTACTCCTTTATTATCATCTCTTATTTCAGATGTCGGAGGCGTCAGGTTTACAGAGCCCCATCCTAAGCCTCGAACGCGTAAACAAGTCTCAAATCTCTCGTCTTTAAATTCAATCGAAGGACTCATCTACAACACCGCGCCACAAAGTCAACTATATACGTAACCCAGATGTGCACAATAACGGGTATGATGATAAGACACCAACATAAGCAGAGACACCCAGCCCGAAGGACGCCTAAAGCAGGAAATGGAATGAAATGAAAACGATCTTGAGAAAATGCGAGGTCTAAATGCCCAATGACCACTTGAGCCGTTCATAAACAAAGAAACCAGTGGCTGTCATGGGTATCATCTTGAGATACCCAATCGTTAATCCAACCCAGAAGCCGCGGAATCCTCTCTCCATCCAGATAACGCGGGCAGTTTCGGCGATGCCCAGGCGGCGGCCGTCACCGACAACTCCGCCAACCTGCATTCGCCGGCGCACCACTTCGACAGGGTATGAGGATGTTTGGGAGATGAGACCGGCGAGCGCTCCAGAGAACAACTCCGCAGCAGCAGTTAGTTGCGGTCTCGAGCTCTTCTTATGACTCGATGAAGACTCGGATCGAGGAATGGTGGTGTAGGGGGCGAATAACGGCAACCGAAGCCAGTCGCCCACGGTGTCGTGAGTAAGGAAGGACACTCCCGCATAGGGAATCATTCCGAGGAGCGTCGGCGTAAATCCACGGTAGAAGTTTGCAAGCCCTGAGCTAGGCACTATTTTCCGGGTTGTAGAAGAGACGGTGTTTGCAGCAGCCGCAGCGGTTGCGGTAACGGGCGAAGTTGCCTTACCCGTCGAGATCTCCTTCGGAGGTTTCACTTGTTCGCCATAAATTTGCCGGAAAATGTCGACGAGGGATGAACGAGACGACTTCTTGGTTTCGAACGCCAACCGTACCCTAATCAACTCTAGCGGGTATGTGAAAAAGACCGAGGTTATTCCGGCCAAACTCCCTGAGATCAGTCGACGAAATGGGGTCTCCTTGTCTCGAGAGGGTATGACTATCGCGCGAAATTGTTCATAGGCGAGGAACTTGATTGACGCATAAGGAAAGATTCGAAGCAGGGTCGCCGAATGGCCTCGGTACAAGCCTCGCGCACCCTCATTCCGCTTGATATCCCGGATAGCGAAAACAAGGCCAGCCCAACTACCCGTGTATTTGGCGAACTGAGGATTTGACGCTTGGAAAAGGATCTTCACTCGATCGAGAGGCGCAACGACTGTCTTGGCCTAAAGTCCACCTTGTCAGCTATCTGTCCTCCGCCTAACGAAATATTAAAGACCTACCGCACAACCAGCTAGTCCTCCCGCGAGCCCGCTCCTTAAAATATAATCGGCGCTCCTCTTATTCTTCTCTTGCCCAGTACTCCGACTGCTCTGGCTCGGACGATGTGACGTGTTATCAGCTGTGGTCGCATGAGGGCCGGCCACCACTGCCCCGCTGCCTGCACTATGTGATGTCGGCCGTTGTACGTGTGAAGCCGATTCCATCTGGAGAGAAGCGGACTGATTCCGAGACTGAGATTCGGCGGCTATGGTTTTGGAAGTTGTAGAACTTGCAGGCAGTGAGGCAGGGTCCGCTTGCGCATGGCCGGTAGCTGCAGCAGACATGAGCGCACTCCGCAGTCAATCTCGGTTGATCTGGAGGTGGTGCAGGTGAGAATCTGGGGCCGACGGACTACCGGATAAACGCGGCCATAGATCTGCAAGGGCTGAGGGCGGGGGTTGCGCGGAGTTCTGCCCTAACAGGATGTCAAAACGTTATAAGTCTGGTACTGAGCACGAAGGTCAAACAAGGCTGTGTTGTCTATCAAGCAAGGTAATAGAAAATGAATGTAATAATAATCCTGTGGAGAGCAATCGAAATGGCGGCTCGTCATGGTGGCGAGCCGCGAGCGGCAATAAGATCGCTGACGTCCCGATACCTACCCGCCTCTGCGTGCTGCACCACCGAAACCGTTACATTACGCAGGTGGTATTCCGAATCTCTAATTGGTCAAGTCAAGTGATATGCATAATATGCATAAAGGACTTCACATGATTGTTCTCCGTAATTTGTGCTCTATTCAATGATCAGGCTAAAAGCTTCAACTCCTGCCGCCAAATCCCCAACCAGCCATAGCCCCCCTGTCTAATGCAATATACACTGTATAGCTGTTTGGTAGTCATCATCATGTAGCTCATTCAGTTCGGAGTAAGCAGAACCTGTGCTGTTGCTGGGTGCCTCCCGAACAAACCCTGGTAAAAGCACCAAACGCCGTTGGCCCAGAATAAGGACCATGATATGCAAACAAATTGAAGGGAAATCCGGAATTTAAAAGTTGTATCGTCCGCCTTGTCTGGTGAGCGGTTTTCCTTGTCGGTTTGTGGCCTTGAGGTCCTTGGGGTCTTCGCCTGACTTTCGCGCTCGCTTGGATGGTCGCGACGCCTCGACATGGAGATGTCCATTGTCCGCTAACGCTGTCGAGTTTCGCCAGTTCAAACAGCGATGTTTAGCGTCGGCCACGTACGTCTTATTTCGGGTGGTCACTCGTTTGGTTGTCACATCCTCGGGCTCCTCCTCTGTGCGTGACAGGTACTCGTGGCGTGCTCGTATACACTTGACAAGATTGTCGCGATGGAGAAGGAGTTCCTTGCGCAGTTTCGTCTCGCGCTCGCCTCGGGAGTCAAGCCAGTCCAAAAGCTTCTCGATTGCCTCAGGCTCGTCGTAGTAACCCCAATCGTGCGCCGTCGAAAGCCGCGTGGGTCCCTCTTCGTGCTTTTTGCGCTCGACTGGTGACATGTGAAACTGCTTCTGGTATTGCTTTTTCAATTCATCCGAGACATCAATGAAACCGAGTCGCTCCATGTCATCCGGCCCTTGAACCCACAGACGGCCATTGGCATATTTCGCCGCTGCGGTCGAGCTATTGGGCATGCCCTCATACGGCATTGCGTTGCGTTCAAACCACCAATACCTATTGCAGAAACGATCCTTTCCGAGACATCTCGTCCGCGGGCAGTCAGCCTCCCGAAGGTCATTGTCAATGACGGCAATCTTGTCCTCGCACTTCTTGACTGCAGCTTTTTGCTCCTCCATCTTCTTCAATACCCGTTGATACTGTTTAGAGCCCTTGGGTTGTTTAGCAAGCTGCTCCTTCCTCTCCCGCTCTTCATCCAATTTGCGTTTCCGCTCCATAACACGATCGGCGCCACCACGGAGAGCCCGTTGTGGTGTACCCTCCACCTCCGAATCGACTAGCGAATCGTCCATGCCGCCCATCTTCGTATCTTCTGAGGGTTCCAACTCTGGCAAGGGAGTGGGCGATTTCTCTGGTTCGGGTTCAAGAGCTTTGCGTTCTTGGTGCAACTTACGAAGCTCCTCGTGTCTATATGAATAGCGTTAGTTACTGAAAGCATGGCAGTTAGACTTGTCTTCACTTACGCTGCTTTGCGAGCTTTTTGGTACTCGATCTTCTCCTTTCGGAACTCCGTCATTTGGTTACTGCATTCTTCCATGTAGTTTCGGATAGCCTTTGTCTCCAGACTAAGCATGCAGATAATCTGTAAAGCTCGGATTCGTAAGTTGAGGTCGAGGACGGCGTATTGCGCGCGAGCGGTGCCTTGCGTCGGTTCTTGGTCGAGAGGTGCAAGATATTCGAGAATTTCGTTGCAGGCCTTCTCCATTCGCGGGCGAACAGACAGTTGGTGAAGGAGCCCAATCATAATCATCTCCCAGCCACCATTCCGGAAATCGCGTTGTCGTAGGCGCTCAACCCAGCCATATTCGGAAAGCATTTCGCTTGCGCGGTGCGTCTTAATTTCGCTGGTATCGTGATCGCCATTTACCAGAGCCTTCAAGCCCTCCGCCTCTGCTTTTGCTAAACTGCCCCGCGTCGTCATTCTTGTCACAGCGGGCTCCAGCGTATCTTCCGCCTCCTCTTCTTTATCTTCTTCGTCGTCTTCCACCTCCTCCGCCTCATCAGAGTCCTCTTGCTGCTCGACAGGACGCTCTGGAAGCGAAATTTGGATGGCACCGTTGTTATCCTTTTCCGCGTTGACCAGTTTCTTCAAGACAGCACAATGAATCTCCACGAATAGCTCACAATCCATCTCGTCGGAGGAGAACCGCATAGCTTGCAAAAAGTCATCGAACGTAAAGGAATCCAATTGGAAAACCTCGCAATATACGTTGAGAGTATTCCAGGTTTCGAGAAGGAGGCCGACCGATTCCATCTCGATGTGATCCTGCAGAAGGTCCTCATCATCGGGGTGATCGAGTTCGTTTATTCTTAGGAACTTCAGTGGCGGCCGCTGTTTCTTCTTCTCCCGACTGGGCGGTATGTCGAGGTCTTCAATAGGATACTTGATAGGTGGCGGCGACGGCGGTCTCGGAGGTTCGGCTTTGATCACAACGCTCGGGACCGGCTGCGGTTTCTTCTCGGGCTCCTGGGACTTCGAAGCCCTCGAGGGCCCATTCGTAGATTTGTTACCGACAAGAAAGCTTGGGTTCCCGTTCAAAGAACGTCTATATTCCAAGTATTGTGCCTCTTCAGAGCGCGCGAGATCCTGTGGAGACGGTTTCGCCTTTTGGCCCTTAACAGCTGGCTTCAGCTCCGGTAGTTCCTTGGAAGCGAAAAAGCCAAAGAATCCGTCTTGACCAGCCTTCTTTTGCGCCTTCTTCTCAGCGACCCTAGCTCCATACTCCAGGTGTTTCGGCACTTCCGAGGGTATCCTATACTCGTCGGCAATCGACTTCTTAACAATCCAAGGAGCGCCGTTCCACGATTCCCGAGTCACGTTATTTTTTATGAACGCGCGAAGCATTTGCTTGGTAAACGTCTTCCTATCGCGGGTGATGTGATGGCTATCCAGTAGGGCTTCCTCATCCAGACGATCGGAGACTTTGACCAGGTACGTCGCATGGGCCGGCGTTTTGACGGTTCCGTCGTCATACAGCTGCTCCGGAAACTTGGCTTTGTCTCTGATTATCCCGTGTAGGCGTGTATTGTCGTCCAATAGAATGAGAACCGGCTCCCCAGGGTAGAATTCAGACTTAAATTCCTACATTCAGTCAGCAACAATGGTTTACCCAACAAAGTATTACCAAGCCACCCACTTCATATATCTCGTCCACTAAGACCACAAAGTTAGCAAACAATGCCGTGTAGAAATGAAGCCCGATGTACGCACCGAGGTTATCGACCCGCGATACCGTGGAGAATTGCGTCCTCCGTAAAATAGGCCCCTTCAACGCTTCGGGAAAGGTGTTGTTCACCTCACGCGATTCCTCCATCTATATAATTATCGATTAGGCTTGTAAATTGGCACTCATCCATACTTGATCCGCATACCTCGCTTCGAAACGCCTCGAAGAAATTTAATCCCGAATGACCCGTGATCTCGCAAATAAATTTCCGTTGTTTGTAGAAATCCATGCGCTGAAGGTACGATTCATAGTTGGTAAAGACCTCGTTCGTCTCTGAGATAACCCAGACCTGTGCGCAAGGCGTGTCAGTATTTCTTGCTTCTTCACGGACCTCCGCGGAGTGTACATGCCTCGGAGCTGTCGTCTTCGATAGTGGGCCGCGGAAGATACTGTACGGGTTTTCGTTTGAATAGCACCTGAACATGGTAAGCACTGGTCATGCACGGTAGCGTCGTTGGTTCCGGAACTCCCAACCCACCATTATGGTCTATCGGTCTCGGGCAGATGAACGCGTCGACGTAGCATAAATATCCGAGAGGGGTAGACAAGGATCGCATAAAAGTCTACTGAGCAACATGAAATTAGTGTCAAGCGCGATTTATAGCAGTACCAGCACAGTCGTCGTTGCGGTTGCGGAGTGCATATTTACCTGGAGAAACGCGTCACAATCGCGCCGCAAGCCCTAATGCGGAGTTGACACGGGCACGGATGCACAGCAGTAGTAGCGATGAACAAGCAGTCGCAAGGAGAGCCCGGACGTAAAAAACCAGGCGCGGAGGTAGCAAGAGCAAGAAGTCAAGCTAAAGACTCGACAATTGCGAGGTAGCGGAGCGGGAGAATGCGGAGTAGGTAGAGTGCGTAGTTTATAGATGCGCAACTTGTTTGGGGAAGGATGGGATGGAAGGAGAGTAAGGGAGAAAGAAAAGAAAGCGAAGAAGAGAAGAAGCTTTACAGAAGAGGAGAGAGGAGGAAAGGAGAAGCGGTCCAAACCAAAGACGGCAGAAACTTGAAGGGGAGGAGACCCGGCGGCCAAGGGCGAAGGTGCTGAGGGCCCGCCCAATTGACGAACAGGCTTTTCCCCTTTGGGAACCCATCTCAGGTGCCTGCCCGGCCCTGGTCTGACCGTCCCCGTCCCTCGCCTCCACTGCCTCCCCTCAGCTCCATCTTCCCGCGTATTTGCACTCGTTCTGCTCCTTTTTTCTTGCTGATTCTTGCTATACTCGTCGGATCTGTCAATTCTGTTGCTGCGACTTGATTCTGCCGAAAATAAACATTCACGCATCGGGGGCTTTGGTGCAGTAGACAAAGAACAATAAGACCTACAGATACCTGCAAGTGCCCATTGAAACATCCTTTCAAGCTGGTTTCAACCACTATTTTTATTTCTTTTTGTCTTTAGTGTCACCCAAGTGTGCATAGACCGCTTTATCTTTGTCTCTTTCATCCCGGCAAATATACTCGATCTATGCAGGCTGCCGGCCTCGATATCTGGTATACCTCTAGAAAGTAAACCCGCCTTCGCCACCTCATCATACGCTCCAGTGCTAACTCTATTCCTACAGACACATTTCGCTCTAGCTCACGACTGTAACCACCTACTGTCGTCGTATTTTCGTTCATCTTTCCATCCATACACATTATCCGAGCATACTTTATCAACAAGCCGAAGCAACAATGACGCAAAGGCTCTCACTCAATACCTAATCTCAGCCCATGTCTTTGTACCCCGCAGCTTCATCACCACCGCAGATGGTCTATCTTTGTCAACTGATTCTCTGGATACGATGTTTCATGCTTACAGGGTTCGCCCTTTCATTCTCGCCAGTTGGATGAAAGAACTAACCTATCAAGCGCTTCGTCGCCAATCTGGCTATACGCTATGGCTTTTTAGCGTTCGTCGAGAGCTGCAAAGTTGGAAATCTTTTTCCAGCTGGGCATGAGTCTGTGTTCTCACCGGTCAAGCTTCTTCAATGCCCTAGGTCTGGAAGCCAGTGTCCCACAGCGTGAGCGCACGACAACGATTTTCATCTGATTCCCAGAAGGAACCCTTGGCCAACTCCCCTCGTGGCTGACTAGCTTATCTTCATAGAATGAACCCGTATTTTGCCACTAAGCTGGTTTGCCTCATACTCGAGCTCCTCTTTCTCAATGAACGGTTGTTCAGTATTGCCATTTACATGCCAGGCTGGGTAGCACAGCATTTTACAAACCCCATCCGCTGGGATAAATCTCACACTACTTCTCTACTGACGAAATAAATAAATGCACTTACAAATCCATAAACGGGAAATACTTACGTTCATGTTGCTCCTCGTGACCGGGCCAAACTTCGGGGGATGCAACGGGACGATGTATGTATGAACTTGATAGTAACCCTTACATTGAAGCCTAGAGAGATCCATCAATCATACAAGGTAGAGACAGCCCAAGATATCATACAAAGAAACAAAGTCTGCTCCTGCGAGTCTCACCGGACAATTGCAGCAAGAATATACTTCCTGCACACATCCCTGCAACTACCCTTGGACCCACTACAAGGTAAAACATTCTACAGAGCATATCCTCAGAGTACATAGATGAATATGGCTACCTTTATAACGCTCTGAACTCTGAAGGGGACCATTATAACACAAATTGAGAATCTGCAATTCCTGCAGTATCCCTTTCTCGCTTCTATTTCTACCCGTCATATGGAGTCGTCAGCGAATGGATTGATCATAATTTAGCTCATGATCTAGCCTCTTTGGGACTAGACAAGTGGGTTCATCAAAGTTTCTCGGGGCGGGAGAAAACACATGGAAAGATCAAACAGTGCAAACAATCACTAGCTATGATATCATTGGTCTCGCAGACTATGGCTTTGTAGACATGGCAGTATATCAGAGAGGTTGGTATAGATGAAACAATTCGAGTAGATAGATGTACATTTCCTTATGTGTAGCTGCACAGAAGCCAATCAAGTGTACATGATAAAGGCGCCAAAGCGATCACAATCCACAACCCGGGATTGTAGTTATACTTGGCTTGAAGACCATTCAACGCTGGCTAGATTCCATAGATAAAAGAGATACAGTACAAGGCAAATCATGTCCTCCGTTAATCGTACAGAGCGTGATCAAAGAAATTTCTTAGGCATATTGGCACGGCGGCGTTTGTAAATAACGTATGAACCAGCGAGGAGGACCTGGAAAGCGATAATGGCAAAAATGAAGAAGCCCATGCGGGGGGTTGACGCCGTGATGACTGTTTGGGCACGTTAGAAAGCTATATCGTCATTACTTTGAATTAGTTGAATTGAGAACTTACCACTAAGCACATTGTCCTTGAGGTTCTCTGTCAAGCTTTGATGCGACGACCTCAGGGTTTCATGGAGCTGGTTGAATCGGTCACGGTAGTCCTTGCCTTCCAGGTCACGTTGAATAGACAGTAGCGTTTGCTCCATACGTTGGAGGCGAGCGTCAAGTCCTTGGATTTGCTCCTTTGTGGCAAGTCGCTGGAGAAGCTCCGATTGTCTAGTTTCGGACTTGGAGGCCTGGTTCCCAAGCTCGCGGATGATGTTGTTAGTAGCGTGGTTGATCAGCTGGATGCGGCTGCCGATGTCCACGAATTGTGCGTTTATCGAGCCGAGATTGTTTGATGAAGCCTGCTCTTGTTGGGTGTTTCCTTGGGGCTGGGCTGCGCGAGGTTGCTGGTTGGTGTTCTGCGCCTGGACTGGGGGAGCTTTTCCCACAGGAGAACTAGCGGTCTGGAGGACAACCTTGAAGACTTCAAAAGAGTCAGGGTTTTCGGGAGTCGCAGCTGTGACACCTATGGTGTTTCCAGCGGGGATAGCAACCTACACGGGATTAGCTAGGCAAGAACAGATTCCTTGAGCACAACAACGTACCTTGTCCGTGGCGAAGCAGGGCTTGTCGTCTACCGTGACTTCAAAGATGGAATTAGTGGACTTGACGCGGACGACAGATGGCCGTCCAAGGTTACGGTACGAGTAGTCGCAGTGTCCAAAAGCCAGGCTATCGACACTCCTGTGGCTCTTGTAGTCTGTCGTGCCGTCGTTAAGAAAACCTCTAATGCTGCCACCCTTGATGAACATTAGTCTGGGAAATGGCTGCTAAATAGGAACGCTCACCCTTCCACTGTGGGTGTCTACGACGAGGGCAAACCCATCCCATTGGCCCACGGTGTAGATGCTCGCGGAGCCGACTTTCTCTTTTCCATCCTTGGCGTACCAAAACTGGAGGTTTCCTCCAGCTCTCTCAACTCCAGTGGCTCGAAACTGAAACTCGGCTGCCCACTCTGATTGGGATAGTCTGTTGATGTCAGTACCTGAGCACATGGTGAGAAGTCGTCCAGGCGACTTACGGGGTTTGAGACCAAGCATATCCTCTTGTATTGCCTGGGTATGGGGGCGTCAAAATGACTTTGTTCGAAAGCTACAAACATCAGTCTCTGAGCATAAAATCTAACCCCAGACTTTAGTAACGTACAATCTGAGGGAAATGTCCTTCTCCTCCAATGTCCCAACCGGGGATGCCCTCCCGGCTAGGCGCTACCCTGTACGGTTGGTCAGTTATGTAAGATACATATGATAGGTGATGAATTCGGAGAATTACATGGCGCCATGACCGAAGCTTGAGGACTCAATTACCGTCTGAGCCGTGGCAACGGCAGAGAGCAGGAGGAATGAAGCTGGGACCTTCATGGTCTATATAGTCCGGCGGCAATTACCGGTGTTGCTACGCCTGCTTTGGAAAGGAAGAAATAAAAATGAGACACGAAGCGTTATTTCAAGGTTAGAATATCCAAGTAAAGGAGTAAAGCGTCGCGAAGCCGGACTGAAGAAAATATACACAATAACGGGGTCCGATTGTATGGCCGGGATTCGAGGGAGCTTGGTGGTACAGCCTGAAGACAACAATAATAAATCACTCGGGTACAAAGGCAATCACAAAGGGCTGATGGTCTTTGCGAAGAAAGAGTAGCGACCGATTAAAGGTCAATTGAGGGCGAAATCGAGCCTGTCGAGTGTCGAGCCTGCCGAACCATGCGAGAGCTTTCCCCACGATATTCGGAGACGGACACATTGCCTCTCAGAGCCTCCCGAGCACGTGACTGATTGCTCCCCGGATCGACCGCCGGGCCGCTCTTCAAGGTCAACAGCAGTCAACATTCAGAGTCCGAAGACCAGAATAGCCTCGAAGTCTCCCCGGATACACTTTGGTCATTGATTGGACATCCGTGATGCCCAAGCACTGCTCCAATGGCTGATTTGTACCCATCCCTCACGCAATGCGCCATTGTCGCAACGGCGTTCAAAATCCTCCTTTTCCCCGCCTAGTAAGTGCTTTCGGTTGGCCCTCTATACTGTGAATGCGGCCTGGGTTCGTGCGGCTTTATGCTGACCTGTGGTATCTTTGGTATAGCAAGTCGACCGATTTCGAGGTTCATCGCAATTGGCTAGCCATCACCCATTCATTGCCAGTGCAAGAATGGTACTACGAGGTACCTGACGCTCGCCCACCAGCTCCGATCGCCGGGAGATAATAATTTTGTGCCTAGAAAACCTCGGAATGGACGCTCGATTACCCTCCGTTCTTCGCGGCATTCGAATGGCTGCTTTCGCAGCTGGCGCAATATGCGGACCCGGCAATGCTTGATGTCCAGAATCTCAACTATGATTCCTGGCAGACGGTATACTTCCAACGAGCAACGGTCATTGTGACGGAGCTTGTTCTGTTCTATGCTCTGAGTCGGTCAGTGTAATTACGCGCGTATCCGGAGCCCTCGCTAACGGTCCGTATAGATTCGTCAAGTCCGTACCTGAGCCGAACAAACACCTCGCTCATGCCGCCAGCTTGTCGATTTTGCTCTCTCCTGGGTTATTCATTATCGACCACATCCATTTCCAATACAATGGCTTCTTGTATGGGATCCTGATACTCTCTATCGTCTGGGCTCGGAAGCAGTCGACATTGCTGTACAGCGGTATGGCTTTTGCCGTTCTGCTCTGCCTTAAGCACATCTACCTTTACCTCGCCCCCGCGTATTTTGTCTACTTGCTGGCGGCCTACTGCCTAGATCCAAAATACACGTTTCGACCTCGATTTGGAAATATATTCAAGCTAGGCTTCAGCGTGATCACGGTGTTTGGGCTGGCGTTCGGACCGTTTGCATCTTGGGGCCAACTTCTCCAGTTGAAAGACCGGCTGTTTCCGTTCTCTAGGGGTCTATGCCATGCATACTGGGCTCCGAATATCTGGGCCATGTATTCCTTCACTGATCGCATACTCATACCATGTACTTATGACTTTCCGGCTTCTCGTACCATGACTGACTCTCGCAGTTGCCCCAAGACTGGGACTCCCAGTCAACCAGGACGCGCTCACAAGCGTCACTCGTGGCCTTGTTGGTGACACCTCTTTCGCCGTATTGCCCGAGATCTCGAAGGAGTACACCTTTGCTCTAACACTCCTATTCCAAATCGTAAGCCCATCGTCCTTCCAACCATTATTCAATCCTAACCCAATTTATTCAGCTTCCCCTCATTAAACTCTGGCGCCGCCCAGACCCCGACACCTTCATTGGAGCCCTGACACTCTGCGGCTACGCCTCCTTCCTCTTCGGCTGGCATGTGCACGAAAAAGCCATCCTGCTCATCATCATCCCCTTCAGCTTGATCGCCTTGAAAGATAGACGCTACTTCTCTGCATTCCGCCCCATCGCAGTAGCCGGGCACGTTTCGCTCTTCCCGCTCCTCTTCACGGCCGCCGAGTTCCCGCTCAAGACCGTCTACACTCTCCTCTGGCTGATCCTGTTCCTATTCGTCTTCGACCGCATCGCGCCGGTCCCCGAGAGACCAAGGATCTTCCTCGTAGATCGGTTCAGTCTGCTGTATATCACCGTGTCGATCCCCTTGATTCTGTACACGTCGCTGGTGCATCAGCTTGTGTTTGGCCTAGAACGGTACCAGTTCCTCCCGCTTATGTTCACGAGTAGCTATGCGGCGCTCGGGGTTGTGGGGAGCTGGGTCGGTTTTATGGTTGTTTATTTTACGGCCTAGCGAGGAGATAGAAGGTGGCTTCTTCGTATGTATATAGATGTATATCAACTGTGCCGTCGCCTTGTAACTACATGAATCCGATCCACGTTCTAGCAGGATATAGCCGTGAAACTACTTTATTACCAGGGAGACCACATGTTGCGTTAGCCCCACGCTATTTAAGGGTTCAATCATGCATTCCGCCAGGGCCTCGAAATCAAGCTGAAGCGCGGCAGGGTTACAGTACTCCGTAGAAAATGGTTTTTTAATTAGCCGAGAAACGGGCAACGAAGGAAGAACACCAATGAAATCTAGTAATGAAGTCGTTATAATACATATCAGGATTGGGTGGGTTACATCGTAGTCCAGTCCGGTATCAAGCCCTTGACTCGTTGCTCAACCCATCCGCATCCGTATGAAGTCGGATGGCATGGCATGGCATGGCATGGCATGGCGAGTCTCACAGGAACAATCGAGGCAAGAGGAACAGGCCGAGAAAGGCCGAGGCTTCCAAAAAGCTGCGCAGTCACGGCCATGTCCAGTGAGCTGGAGCTTTCCAGTGAGCGAGACCGAATTTGCTTCCAGTCTGGGTAGCACTGTTCAAGCTCGGCCTCTGCAAGATGCCAGTGACAGTAGGGGTAGGTAGTTAGAACAGGGGAGAAACGAAAAGAGAAAAGTGTTTGAGGTCAGTCTGGCCTTAGGCAGATGGACTTCATGCAACAATCAACACGCTCGACAATGCCATGTTTTATGCGCCGGGAAACCTTGGAGCCAAATTTAAAACCGGAAACTCGAGAGACGAAAGGTGGATGAAAAGTGGAAGGGCGACAAGAAAAGCCGTGACCAAGAGAAACCGTTTATCGTAAATTGATGTGGTATATAGGATTATGGGCAAGATTCGATCAAGGTCTGTTTTGCTGATGACCCAGTCGATGTGGCTCAAACTTCAGCGGACTGAGCACTCTCAGCCGGTTTTGGTTGCAGCACACTGATTCGTTGCTCAATGAGCTTCTGGAGAGCAAGGAGAGATGAGATTTCGTCTTCAGGTGCAGGTAGGTCCTTAGGCGCGTTGGCCTTGAGCTGGTCAATTAGGAGACTGATTTGGTCGTCTTCTTCTTGCCAGGTGACATGGTTACTCTGGGCGAATGATATCAAGTTCGCAGCAGCTTCTCGCTCCGCGTCCGTCCGTGAATTTAGTATAGCCGCAGTGGTGTCTGTAGCTGGTTTCTGAGATGCGAAAAATGCTTCTGCCTCCGCAGTGATAGCATCGACTTTCGATTTGGCGTACTCGAAGTACCTGCTTTCTGCTGCTTTCTTTGCCGCAGCATTTTCGTTCTCCCTATTGGCCTTGTCAGAGAAGATAATACATGTTAAAGGAAGGTTCACCAACCTTTTGACTCTCTGGATAAAGTCGAGTTTGATTCCTTTTTCTGAGACACGATACGTGATGCCTTCCTTCTCTTCATCCTCGAGGTTCTCCTCTTCCTCCTTTTCTGGAAGGATCTCAATGTCTACATAACGTGGGTTCTTAGGACGGCGAATGCGTTTCATAGTTTCGTACCCTTCGTCATCCTTGACGGGATAGCACATGTCATGTAAGGCGTGGTTCGGACACATCCAGGTGTGGTAAAGACGATCGCTTCCAGCTCGCTGGGTCGGCGGAACAGCCAGTGGCGGATCGATGCAGTCCATGTGGAAAGCACAGGGGCAGAAGTCGCACTGAATGATCGGTCGACGGCCATTGGTAGTTTGCCCACACTTTATGCAAACGATGAGTTTACCCTTTGCGTCGGTGATTCGCAACAAGAAGGGGTCGTCGTAGCGACCGATGCGACTTCCCCTAGCCGCACGAGGGTTAATGCGCGGTAATGATGCTACCTCCTCGTATTTTCCGGAATCATCAGTGCGAACTCCGGTAAAGAAGTCACGAATTTTACTGGGCAACGCGAAGTCCCGCCCGTTGACTTGGTCCATACCTCCCACAAGCGTGCTCAATGATTTTGACATTGAGCATTTGGGACAGAACCAGTCACCCCCCGGGGGATTCGCAGGATCTAGAGGTGGGTCCAAGCAGGAGAAGTGGTACGAGTACACACAGCCATCACAGCATAGAAGCCGCCCAGTTCCCTTGCATTGTCGACAGAAGTCATTGTTTTCCTCGGGTTCGTAATCGTCACTATATAATATCAGCAAAGCAATTATTTAATGGTGAATGCGCAATAGCAAATCTGGCAAAGTGAGTAGGTTGGGGCAACATACGTGAGTGAGGGAGTAAGAGTTAGACGTCTATTATCGCCGGCGTCGCTGCTTGCCAGACTGCCCGATCGTTCTCTACGCGGTCCCGTGGCTTCTGGGGTCGAGATATGTGCATTTGGTGTGATGAGACCAGGCGAAGACAAGTTCGAAGGGGGATTTGACGTCAAAGAGAAGCGGATTCCACTTTCGGATGTCACGATCCTGGGCAGGGTCTTCCGCAGCCGGGATTTCTTGGCATGTACAGCGTCTGCTGAGAGCTCACGGTTTTCCGATGCCCTTTGCCGTTGAGCATCAAGGGCTGAGGCCACGAGATTTTTCTTTTGCGCCGAGTTTTTGGACTGCTTCCCTTTCTTGGGACGGGCAGCCGACGTTGGAGCAACCACCGGGGCGGGCGCATATGTCTCGGCGTCGAGTGATTTCGCAGAGGAAAGAGTAGACACGCTGCTAGCTGAACGGGCTCGTCCTGGTACCGGTGGCGCGCTGGGTTCGATGATCGTGGTGTCGTTGGACTCCAACTCTCCGAAGGCGTTCCTCATCACTTTCTGGAACATGGATTTCTGGGGAGAGGCGGGCGTCTCTTGACAGACTCCATCCAGGATCCTGAGAGCGTAGGGATCGTTTCCGCATTTTTCCCACATGCGGAGTAGCCCCTTAATGACGGGCTGGTTGTTGGCATCTGAAGCCAAGTGCAGGGCGCTCTCAACCGCAGCCTTCAGCGTGTCTACATCGGCGTCCAGCGAATTCGGGACGGGAAGGATTGTGAAGGCAGCGAGGTCTTCTTCAATGGCAGGCCTAGGTAGAATCGGATCAGGGGCCTGTTCCTCAGCCGGCGATAAGGGAGTTGGAGGATTGTCATCCTTCTTCTCTCCGTTAGGTACAAGTTGCGGTTCCTTGACGACAGGAATGCTTGGGGTACCCGGATGCGATGGCGCCAGACCCGCTTTACGCCTATCTGCAGTAGAAGGCAATGCGCCTAGGGGGCGCATAGTTCCCAAGACAGGGTTGTGAGCTGTCGAGACATTTGACCAGGGCGTATCAAGATAACTTGGAACCGGAGCTCGCGGTGGAGGCTCTGTCCAATCTGCATTATGACCATTCAACTCTGTACCATTTACTCCATTTGTTGCGGACTCCTGTGGCTGATCGGATTGCGATTGACTCGAAACCGGCGTCTCCCGCAAGGAATCGGTTCCAACACGGGAGGTTCTCCCAGTCCGCCGTTGTTTGCGCGGTCTCGTAGATTCTGTAAATGAAGAGGCCATATTGCCAGTATGTGTTGCAGGTGTCGGGGGGCGGGAATCTGCGTGCGACGATGAACGGAGATTCCGAGCCATTGCACTGAAGGCAGGGCACGAAAGTCGCGAGGCCTGCGCCGCGTGCGATTAGCTTTTGTACCGGTCTTTGAAGAGTATTTTTTTATTTCGGCTGTCAAGTCAATACTTACTGATTAACAGACTCCGTAAAGTCAGCAACCGTGCCCGGCGTGGCTGGTTGGAATCGTGGCCAGCCCGCGCGGTTGAAGAAAGATTGCGGAGTTTCAGCGACGGGGACGGGAGTTTTCGACCAAGCCCCAATCACGCCTCCCAGGGGTTCGCCGCGGAAGCTGCCACGACCACTGGGTTTAACACCTGAAAGAGCTGAACAAGATATTAGAATTAGCGAATGTGAGATAAATATTGCTGTTTAATAAACTCAAGTCCTGGTTAAACCTGCAATAGGCGTTACGTGATGCTCACGTACCTTGTTCTCTAGTCAATCAATCCAAGCAAAGGAGTGAACACAAAGGCAGGACAAAAAGAAGGCGATATCCAAGTAGGTACGCAGATACAGCAACTTCAAGGTTGCACGTATTCTGACCGGGGCCGTCAAGTTGGTCAGAGAGGCTGAGGTCAGTCTTTTGTCAAAGTCAGCATGGTACTCGGCTCAGTGACCGCTAATTGATGAAGCTTGATGAGAACAACCAATATTGGGTCTCGAGAGTTACAGGCAAGGCAGATACAGAAGTATCGTCAGTGCTAAGCAACTGGTCACGGACGTTGAGGCCTTCTTGGTAAGCTCATCTGGAGATGAGGCCAGGGCCATCTGGCGAGTCCAAAGCTCAATAAAGCATGAGCACCCGAGATCGGCGCAAAGGGATTCTCCGCTCAGAAAATAAAGAGAGTACATGGACTTACCGTGAGCAGTGACTTGCAGTACTGTGGACAATGAGAGGGCAGCCTGTGAGTTCTTTGTTGAACCCACACTAGGCGGTCTTTGAAGAGGTACTCTGATATCACCAGGAACACAGAAACAGCACTTCTCAGCCCTAATAGCCTATTGAGAATTAGCTGCCGATGCCTTCCTGAGCGAGCTGAAGTGGCAGATAAAGCGTACTAAGAAGGGAAGACGCAGAGGAAGATGTCTGGAGGTAGAGATGAGAAGAGGTACAAGAGGCAGATGGGACGGGAAAAGGGAAGAAGATGATCTGAAGAAAAGACAAGAGGAGAAGTGTTACCGGAGACAAGAACAATAGTGTGTTATTGATGCAGCTGTCCTGTGAATGCGACAGTAAATGTCTTGCGTGGCGCTGTTCCCAGGCAGACGAAGGGGCTGGAGCACAGCAGAAGAGATTTCGCGTCTTGCTCTTGAGAGGCCAAAGTCAGAAATTCTGAGTCTCTCAATCTAGAGACAGTGAGATAGAAGTCTATAAAGATAAAATCTATCTTGGGTTGATGTGTAAGATGGGCAGCCCAGCTGCGACTTCCGGAGCTCGGGCAAAGCGTATGCTCTGACAGCTGGGTAACAAGAACAAAGGGGGCTTCAGCAGTAGAAGCAAACTTTACTCTAGAGGCCAAGCGATATATGCCAGTTGGACCTGGTCCGGTGGATACAGCAGTGTTGTGGAGGAGGAGGGAGAGCGCCGGGGAAGAGGAAGAAGAAGAGAGGATGCGAAGAGCAGACGAGCCTTGCCGTTGGCCCACTCCCCATTCATGACCAGCTCACCATCCACCATCCAAATGCCACAACCCGATGCCAGAGCACCCTACTATAGCTTTCGCCTCTAGATCTACTTCTTCTACTCCTTATAAAGACTTGTCGTGCCTTTTGAGACGCTTCATTTACATGCACTCAAGACCACCGGCAGCTCCGATAGCGCCCCAGCATCTGGGGAATGCTTGCCGGGTGCACCGCGAAGGACCGTGACGCCGTCTGACATCAGATACACAGACTTCTACATTCCTTTTATCGAGGCTTGTTGGTTTATAGGAGCAGGAGAAATGTGCGCTCATAGGGGTGGCGAAGGCCTAATCCGCCATGGCCGATTCAAGAATCAGCTGTCGCTACATTATCTTAAGGAGCAGCTGGCCAAGGCATCCATGATGACTCCGAACGGAAATACATCATATCAAAAGTTGCTGTGATATAAAGATATCATCAATCCAGGTAGCTCCAGGCATGATGGGAAACAGGGGTGTTTCCCTGAATAGCTTCAATAGGACAGTGTTCCGATGGGAAGTCCGGCCTTCCTGCCCATTGAATATCATGATCCAGGAAGCAGTCAGAACGCATTATAAGGAACGGTATGTCCGCGTTTCTGTCTCCAAAAGAAGCAGAAGCAGACCAGGTCGTACGGAGTAGTCATCTCTTCTTTGCTACCTTTGTTCATGTGCGACTTTCATGTGACTTTTTCTTATGTATAGGCTAGGTGATAAAGGCTCCTTATAGGTATAGACTGAAGAAGCGCTGGGGACCAGTAATCTGGTCCAGTCTTTAGTTCTGTCCCTTATCATAGAAATCCCTCCTTCTCCGGCTTATCATAATAAGCCGTGCCAGTGGATAATACCCGCAAGGCATAATCTCAGGCTGCAGTTCTGAACAGGGGACCACGAGACGGGTCCAGTAGATACACAAAAGTTCATCCAATCGTGCAGTTCATTTACTCATCAGTACCGTCGGCCTTCTTGGCCTTCTTCTTCTTGTTCTTGTTCTTCGATCCCGTAGACTTGGACAGGGGAAGTTCCAGGATCTTGAGGATCTCCTCGTCCTCGATCTTCTTGTCGGACTTGACCTTCTCAAAGTCGGGAGCAGCGGGGGCCGCGAGCTTGGTGATACCGTTCTTGGTGATAGCTGCAATGCTCGTTAGATATTGGTTTAGAAATTGTGGACGCGGAGGACATTGCATCCGAGATATCAAAGTTTAGGAACTCACCAATTGTGGTCAGGTAACGGGAAACCGCGGCGTTGTCAGCATCACCAGCGGGCTCGTACTGCCTCAGGACACCGTTGCGAACGGACTCAATAACACCGACCTTGGCGCTCTTCTCGTCATCCAGCTGGCGCAAGCTGAAGGGGAACTGGCCGAACTTCTTGACGATCTCAGTGAGGGTGGCTCGGGAGCTGGGTCTCTTGAGCTGGTATGTGGTGGTGGTACGTCGGTGCAGGGTGGGACGGTGGTCCAGGTTCTTGACCTTGCCAGATCCAAGGGACAGGCCAACCTCGACACCCCAGACCTCACCAACGTCGGGAACACCCTCGCCCTTAACGCCGGAGCCAGGGGAAAGGATGATCTTCTTCTCGGCCTCGATTTCGTTGCGCTCGAAAAGCCAGCTGGTGGTGTTCTCAACAACGTTGCAGTCGTAGGTCTTGGCGACCTTCTCGATCAGCTGGGTGATGCGGGCCTGAGTAGGAGCCTTCGCGGCGGCGGCCTTCTTCTTCTCCTCCTCGGATCCAGTAGCAAGGAGGCCGGGGGGCGCCATAAGTCTCAGAAGCAGCTCGTTGGCGTAGTGAGTCGCGTGGATGAGGTCCGCCTCGCGGCCGGTAACCTCGGAAGCACCGACAACGACCATGTCGCAAACAATGGTTCCGAATCCATCGATCTGGGCACCAAGCTGGATCTTCGCGATCTCACCAGCCTTGAGAGTTGTCTCCGCCTCCGCAGCTTCCGAAACCAAGGGTGTGTACGGGGTCACATAGGAGTTAGGAGAGACAGTCGTGGGGTGGCCGATACCTGCAACAAAGGCAGGTCAGTACAATCATTCGGCGGGCATTTCAGGCCATTCGGCTGATGATGTGAGCTGATGACGCACCCTTCTGGATCTTCTTGCCCTTGTAGACCTTGGCAAGCTCCTCCTCCAGGAGCTTGTCACCATTCTGGCAGAGCTCAATGATCTTGGCTCCCTCAACACATTGCGCTAGAAGACTAGGGTTAGATTGGACATCTGGCAAAGGAATCGTGCGGCGTTACCGCTCGAGCAACGCACCTGAGACAGCTTCGAGGACCTTGTGGGAGATCTGAGCAGCAGTCTTGTACTTGGTCAGAGTGTCGGGGTTGTTCAAGGTGTAGTCTACAAGCAATTGAAGCCTTGGTTAGCTGTACCCAATGCGACAGGGCGAATAGAGCGCGGTCAAAACAAGAAGTAATCAACGAGCTCGAGGAAATATGCGTTCAGTTTTCGAGGTCATCGCCGCAGACGGCAGAGCACAGAGGCACTGGTTGTCCTGTCCAGACGATGACGCCGACAAAGCAAGCGGGAAACCCACAAACGCGGAGCTTTTTCGCAGTGCAGAATGAGGGGCACTGCTCTTGCAGTCAACACTTACCAACCTCGGGGGTCTGGGTCTGGGTGGTTTCGGCCATTGTGAATAAATCTCGCAGCGATGCGAGGAGAAGACAGTCGACAAGCGCAAAATCAGTCGTGCGGAGGAAGTGGAGGGAGAAAATTAGACAGGCAGCTTTAGGTATGGAGCTGGCCACGGTCGTGTGGCCGTGTGCACTGGAGCTGGTGAGTAATAATTATGCAGGCGGGGCTCCTGCTTGGGCTTGGGCTGTGGGCTCCAGATCTTGGGTAGGGCTTGTATGTCCATTACGTCGGTTTCTTACAAGTTACCACACCGACCGCCCGCCTGGTCCCTCTCAAAGAGCATCTCGTTTTTGAGTTCATCGCCTATCCCAAAGTAGTACATTCATGCCATTATCATGAATGCAAGTGTTTTGATATCAAGCGAGTATCGGAACATGGGGAGTGATCGGAGCCTGCCAGGTGGATGACATCATTCAATCAAGGGCCACAGGAGCTTCCGAGTCCACAGTGATGTATTCCAAACCTATTTGGATGGTACAAGAGATCACGGCAAATGGGGGTCTGCAAAGGTAGACGAACATCAGACTTATTTCGAGGCCCTTATTATGGATAATAGAAGATAGAAGCTCCGGGTGGCTAATGAACGCTTCGTGGTTGTACCGATAATCATCTTGCATTGAATATATAGTTCTACAACCGATATCCGCGGCCATGTCCCTTGGTTCTGCTATCAACCACAATAACCATTCAGTCCTGACCAAATGCATCACCATGTCTTCAGCAGCTAGGTCATCTGATCCTGTGTGATTTGCCAAAGGCTCGGGATCATCAAAGACATCAAAGCGCCCCAGCCACCTTAGGTGTATCCGTCTCGGGCAAATCGCGGGGTTGCGTCAGCATCTCCTCATTTTGACCCCAGATTTATGAACAGCCCCAGCTTCAAGAAGGCAGTTGAACAGCCCAGTATGAAGGTAGTCGCGACTGAGATTCCCCTGCGAGTTTTGACGCACAACATCCGGTATGCAACTACTTCCCCGTTCAAAGGCGAGCGGCCTTGGGAAGAACGAGCACCGCGCCTCCTCAACGAGCTCCGCTATAACACTCGCAACCAGGATGCATTCATATGCCTACAGGAGGTTTTGGACAACCAGCTCATAGATATATTGTCTGGGCTGAACGCGAGCGACTCTACCAACCCGGCAACCGCCTCTAAGAGCCCAAACCAGACGTGGGCCTATATCGGCGTTGGTCGAGACGATGGCTACAAAGCCGGCGAGTACTCACCCATACTGTACCGCCCCTCAGTCTGGGAGCTTCGACATTGGGAGACCGTCTGGCTCTCTGAGACGCCCGAGGTGCCGTCGAAGAGTTGGGATGCCGCATCAATTCGCATTGTGACCATCGGGGTCTTCACTCACCATGTCAGCCGCCATACAGTCCTGGCTATGAGCACGCATTTGGATGACCAAGGGTCACGTTCTCGATATGAAGCGGCTCATATCATTCTGCGGAAGATTGAAGAGTACCGGAATGGGCGCTTTGGTAATATTATTTCCGGCGTCTTCCTTGGCGGAGATCTGAACAGCGAAGCTACCCAAGAAGCGTACACCGTGTTGACGGCTTCGACGTCACCGCTGGTCGATTCGGCGAGTTTGGTGGACACGACCGACTACTACGGTAACCAGACCACCTGGACGGGCTTTGGATACGAGGGGCAGCCTCCCACACGCATCGATTATGTCCTTCTGGGACCAGCCGTTCCAGACCAGAGTCCTGATCGCGGCCTCCCATGGGGGATCGAAGGGTATGCCGTTCTGCCAAACCGGTTCGATGACGGGGTGTTCAATTCGGACCATCGAGCGGTGGTGGTGGATGCCAAATTGCGCAGTCCATTTTAGACTCGGATTAGAAACTTGTGACAGAGGATTCCAGCAGAAGACTCGTAGACAGTAGACTAGATCCTCTGCAGCATCTTCGTACTGTACAACAGAACAGGCACGTTGAACAATAATAACTTACGCTGTCATGGCTGGACCGGAAGTGGGCGCGTCCATACTACTTTCAGTATAGTCGCCATCACATGATGCCCAAATTCGGGATAGCGCTTTTCAGAATACAGTCTTTTACAGTATCATATAGTCAGTGGGAAGGACCTCAGAAGGGAGATGAAGCTCAAGGAGATATCTGAATGGCTTCAGAATGATTCCAATATGAGTGCTTTCGTTGAGAATTGGAGAGGAACCGACCAGGGCCGCTTGCTCGCCTCCAGCCCTTCCCCAGCTGCTCTCTGCTTCCCCTCGGAACGCTTGTAACGGGCAGGGCGTTTTGTCCATTTTGCCTCGCAAGTTCGCACCTCTGCTCTTCTCCCTCTCTCCCTCCCCTTTGCCTCTGGCGTCCTGGCACAGCACGCGACTCGACCAAAGCCCAAGCCAACAGCAAACACTCGCAACCGAGAAACAACCTTTAGGGCGCATCCCAGGAGGAATATCGACAGTTGCCATCGGACTTGCGACGCGCCGTGATACGTCGGAGTCAGTCAGCTGATCCCGCCGCTCCTTTCCGGTCGCTGTTTCTCTCGCAAAGACCCAGACCAGACCCGGCACGAAGACCCATAGACTGCTTCGTTTGGCCCTGGAGCCTCTTTGCTCTGTTACTCTAATTTCTGGTTAGTATATATCCTCTCATTTCGGCCTTTCTTTCCCCTGCTTGCCTTGCCCTCAATTATTCTCACGTCCTCCGCCATGCCCCCCTCATCAGAGTCATTGGTTTCGGTATGCGTGGCTTGCTCCTCCTTGCCCTACCGAGGCTGCTGCGACGCTACATCTCCTGGCTATGCAGATGACGGCTGTTTTACCCTGGGCTTGTGACATGTTTTTCATTATTCTGGATGGCGACGCATCGCGACTCTTCGATTGGTGCGATGCCTGTCGCGTCTTTTGTGATGATCGCTTGTGCAGAGAAACGCTTGTGCAGTACCGTAACTGATATGCTCTCTCCACAATTCAGATTAGCTTGCCTAAGAATGCTGCCATTATAAATTCTCGATTCCTCCTCGGATTGTTCGCTTTTTCTTTCCACAAGCGACTCGCCGGCGTCATTTGAAAAGACTCGTGGTATCGGTGTGAGGCATAGTCACAGATAATGTCATTTCCGGACCCATCCCAACACGGGATGGCCGACGCGCAGTCGGATGCGCTTCATAATAGCTCGGACTTATTGGATGGAACTGCCGACTTCGATCATGATGTTGATACTTCACTTCTCGCGGAGCACGGAATCGAAGGGTCGGATAGGATTGAGGAAGGAAAACAGAATGCGAAAGCTGTTCTCGCAGCATCCGGAGTGACAATACCCAAATCAGATATTGGCCATGATTCTGCCAATGCGGATGCTTCTTCGGGCTCACAGAACGGCAATGCTAATGGAGCCGCGTCCGGCAAAAAGCGATCGAGAGATGGTGCCTTCATTCGATCCTCTTCCCTAGGCACTGCATTACCCGTGCGCGTTCGAGAGACTCCAGTAGACAAGATTCTGCTGGATGACTACGTCAATAGAGAATTTCAGTATTCTGCTCTAACGGCATGGCAAAACCCTAACCAACAGCTGCTCCAGGAAAAGCGTGCAGAACGCGATTATTACCTCACTCTACGACGAGAGAATCATATGAACCCTGCCGCTCTGTATGGCGTTGGCTATGAAGGATTCGGGAATGTCCGCACCGACTTGCGCAATCAACACCCGCAATTGCTATATCCCGCCCACCGGCGCCGCCCCGGCAATCGGAAAACACGAGAGCTAAGGGTTTCGCGAAAGGATATGAAAACACAAAGCGAGCAGCTTGAAAATCTAGTACCCATTAGATTGGATATCGATTGGGAGAAGGTAAAGATTCGGGATACATTCACCTGGAACCTGCACGACCGCGTCGTGTCGCCCGACCTATTCGCGGAGAAACTTGTGGAAGACCTGGGCCTGCCGCTCGAATCGTGCGTACCGCTAGTAAGAATGGTATCTCAGAGTATACAGGAGCAGATCTGTGACTTCTATCCGCATGTCAACATCGAGGAGGAAGCGCTCGACCCCCACCTCCCGTACAGCGCTTACAAAAACGATGAAATGCGCATTGTGGTCAAGTTGAACATCACCATCGGCCAACACACCCTGGTTGACCAATTCGAGTGGGATATCAATGACCCGCACAATAACCCTGAAGAATTTGCGGCGCGGATGACGAACGACCTTTCTCTTTCTGGCGAATTCACCACCGCAATTGCCCATTCTATCCGTGAGCAGTCGCAGCTATTCACCAAATCTCTCTACATCGTTTCACATCCATTCGACGGACGCCCCGTTGAGGATCCGGACCTCAAAGCATCCTTCTTACCCTCACCACTCGCCTCGTCCTTCCGGCCTTTCCAGGCTGCCAAGGAATTCACACCCTATCTCTATGAACTTAATGAAACGGAGCTTGAGCGGACAGAGGTCTCATTCCAGAGAGACCAACGGCGACAAAAACGGTCCGTCAATCGTCGCGGCGGGCCTGCCCTGCCCGATCTTAAAGACCGTCAACGAACGATTCGGACGTTGCTTGTATCATCTGTCATTCCGAACACCGCTCCCTCACTGGAAGAGAGCAATGTATTCAAACGGTCTGGTTCGAGCCGCCGCGGACGGGCTGCGGTAGGAATGCGGGACGGAGCTGATGACTCGGATGAGTCGGACAGTGACGAGTCTTCCTTGGTTGGATCTCCTGCCATTGGACCTCATCTGGCCCAAGGCACGGCGCGCACCAGAGGTATGCGGGGAGCTGCCACTGCAGCACACGCGGCTCTACGGGCGAATCTGGGCCAGTCAGCAACCCCTGAACCCCATCATGAACCTCGAGTCTCGGCCCGCAGGCGCGACTATCGCGAAGAAACCCCAGAAGAACCGGAGAAGCTGGTCGTGACGCTCAAAATCCCGCGCGAAAAGTTCCGTCATTTCCTTGTCAATGGCTACAAACTCAACCCCGCGGTCCATAGTTCCACATCGGCAACACAACCCACCTCCCAACGAAGCACGCCACAGGTTCCCACGCCAACACTAAACTCTACCCCTGTTCCACCCCATCCTCATCAACAAGCTCGGTTACCTAGCGCCGGTCGCCCAGGCCCTATCCAACACCTCGGGGCTGTAGAAGCACCCAATCCTCCTCAGCCAGGCGTCCCTGGGGTACGTAATGAAGTCCGCTTTCCTCGAACCGAAGGTTCCAGTTGGTAGAGGATCATGCTGAATATGGGACACCGTACTGATGGTTTCTATTTTAGCCTCCGCCTCCGAGCTGGCTAGTAGCAGGTCTCAATCGGCTCAACCAGGCGAACCCGAATGACTCGTTTGAAGCAGTGATGCGATACACGGCTGTAGACATGGAGACTATGCAACCGGTTGGCAACGGACAGGCCCAGACCGGCCAGAAGTTGAAATACCTCTATCTTCCACGAATTAGGTGCCACGATTGTCCCGGGAAACTCTATACGCCGGGTCCTGCCACAACGGTGGACAACTTTGAGGTTCATCTTCGGAACCGACAACACAAAGAGCGCGTCGAAGAACGACTCTCGAAGCAGGCGGCAGGCAATCTACCTGCACAATGAGAGACTGATAGAGCCGGCTGAGTCGATTCAGCCTCTCCTCTTACCTTTCACCTAGGTACTTCTCACACTCTATGTATACTGCTCTTCATCTATCTCTGGATCTGATTTCTTGACCTCGCATCACAAAACATTCTGCTGGCGTCAAGCACGTCCTACTTGATTCTATTTCTTCCCGGTTTTTACTTTTGGTTCTGGTTCTGGCTCCGGTTCTGGTGTATATGATTTGTGAGCGACTTAGTGGCCTATGCCTGTTCAATACCTACCTCTGGCTCTGGTGCCTTTTGCTTCTTGCATTCACGGCCTGCTTGGCCCTATCCATTATATGTAATATTCTCGACGTAGAAATGGCTAGCATACCATTGCTCTAATTCATTAGCTTCGACGACTTTCTGACATGTTATACTGCAGAACAAGGAATCAAGCTAGGTACTGCATCATCAAGTCACAGCTTTATCTGTCTCTCTGGACCTTCCTAGGTTGCATCTGCTATTCATCTCCATTGCTTCTACAGCCCTGCCAGCACAGTTCCTGGCGTCACGAATACATCCTGTATCATCACAGTCTCTACCTACTTCCACGTAGAACGGGATTATCTTGAAAGGACACACCAAAAGCAACTAGAGCTCACGCACTACCTACCCTTCTAGGGCCTAGATGCCCCTGTCTATCCATGGATTACGCACGCACCTTCTCGTTTCCTAGACATCCGGTCATGGTCGCGCCTTCCCTTATGAGGTAAACTCACGTATGCACAAGCGAAGAAAGAGCGACCCGTCTCTCGCTGCTAGGCAAAGGCCCTGGAGGTAGATAGTGCCTTCCGCATTCGGAGGCATACAGAGCTTGAGAAACTGGGGAAGGTCCTAAGCCCATCCATCAAGATTGTCTACTTAATGGAGTTACCTACTGGTTTGTTTGTCACAAGGCAGCAGAGCTAAGGTAGGATGGTATTCGGATAGAGAAAATAGCATAGACGGGAAAAGAGACAGCAAACTCCGTTCCATCAAAGAAGACAAACTGGCAGCATAGCTAGATAGTATCATATAGATATAGACAACTTGGGCCGAGATCTGTTATGCACACAAAAAGGGCAGAAAAGACTGATGGATAGCACGCATATAATCGACTCATACCGGATCTCGCGTAGATGTACATACACAAGGGCGACAGTGGAAAAAATGACATGGGAGAAAAGAATGAGACATCAACGACGAGCAGATCTTCGCGTTGGAAGAGTCGTTGTTCTCGTCGGTGTCTTTGGTGCCCGCTTGCCAGCTGATTTCGATTTCGCCTTTGAGTCGACGGGCGCCGGGGATTCAGATTTTGCATGATCCCCGTTCTGCTCGTCATGAGGCTCGTTTTCCTTCTCTGAGGTCTCATTGTCATCGTCGTCAAGCTCCTCTAGCATATTGCTATCGGCTTCACTCAGTTCGCTGTCACTGGACGCATCTTCAGCGCCCTCGGCTTGCTCTTCACCTTCCTCTTCTTGACCCTGGTTCCATTCGTCCATCTCCATGTCGTCGTCATCACTGTCGCGGTCCGCATAGCTGATTCTCCGTGAGCCGCCTCCTCTGTTGCTGCGTCTCCGAGCGGCACTGTTGGCGGCTTCACCTGCCGCTTCGCCGCCATCCGATGACCAGTCATCACCAGTCTTCTTAGTACTCTTGCGCTTGGGTGTCCTTGAGCCCACGGTCGACGCGGCCGATTTCCGCTTGGATGAAGTTTCGCTGTTCTTCTTTGCCTTCTTCGTCGCGCTGGCGTCGCGATTGCCCTCGTGCGCGTTATCAGTCTTCCTCTTCTTTGCAGCGGCCTGACTCGACCCGCTCTTAGTCCGCATTGACGCTCGCACGACTCGGTCGAGTCTGTCCTCGGCGTCTTCTGGGAGGAACGTTGTGTCGGCGACCTCTTGCGCCTCTCGGTGACTGCCCATTGGCGCGAAAATGGAACTAGGCACACCCACCTTGCCGGGGTATGTTTGAAGAATGCTGACACCACCGGCGCCTCCGCCGAACCTCCGTTGTTGAGAATAAATGTCCGCAAATCGTCGGATTGTTGCTTGTGCTAGATCGGAAAGTGTATGAAGGCGTGTGGACATTTCGTCGGACTTGGTGATTCCGTCCCGTGCCTGCTTGACACGCTGGGCGATGTGGAATATGAGGGAGAGGTTGTGCTCATTCGCCACTGCAGAAAGGTAGAAGAGAATATAACGGGCGAAATCTGTCAACTCGTCCAGTTTCGTGGACTCATCTAGATCTGCCGGTGGGTAATCAGGGTGATACGCAAGGAGGGATAAAAGACGTGAGAACAAGGCTTCCATGACTGTCTGCTTCTCGCCCTTCTTGCCGCCCGTCTGCTGGGCAAAGAATGCGGCCCGGGATCGCAGCCATGTCAGAGTGCTATCTTTCAGACCAACTTGCGGCTCAAATGCGAGTAAGTAAGGTATGACATACCACCGCGGACCCAGCCGGGTGTCCTGCACAAGCTTCTTCTTGAGTTGGTTAATGAATCCGCTTCTCACTTCTGGGATGGGATCCTGAGCTACAAGCGCAATTGAATTGAAATCTTTTGGCGTGAGCAGCTGTTCGCACAGAGCATGTGAGCTACATAGCTTTAGCAATGAATTGGCGGCCAAGAGCCGCAACCTCGATTTCTGGGTAGCTGGAGTGTCTTTCTTCTTCGACAACTCGCCCGAATTCACGATAAGTTTATTGAGGGTATCATAGACGGGCTGTGCGTGAGCCCGGAAATCTTCGTCACTATCAGACCCATCTTTGGCGCGCAGGCGGTTGACAATAATTTTGAGGGCCCATTCCTTGGCTGCTGTTTCATCGTCCACTTGATTAGACCAGGAATACTCTGAATCCGGAGTGGGTGATCGATTTGTCAACAGAATCTGATTGACGGAAATCTTGATGATGGCGTCGCTCTCCTCGTCAGCTTGTCGCGGAGCAAGAAGATTGAGTTGCGATAACGTTGCGAGTTTGGTAAGGAACCGGTCGGAATTGTAGGTGCATTTGGAGACACATTTCTCGACGAGATCTTTGGCGTACATCTCCTTTTTATCAGCGACAGCCATAAGAATAAAGACTGCATGCTTGGCAGCACGAGGCGACGGGCTGTGGAGGGCGTAATCAACAAGAGCCTGATAAAACTTGCGCTGCTTCGGTAGCTTCGAAGGGAGCTTCTTCGCGAACCCAGAGCAAGCCTTGAGGATCTCCTCTGTACCAGCAGCGCTCACCGTGGCGGCCTTCGGGGCTTGTGCCTCTAAGTCTTTGCAAATCTCCTGAACCTGAGCTTCCAGAACCTCGGGGTTGAGCGACGAGATTTCTTTCAGCATTTCATGCGCCGGGGCCGCTAACCCGTTCTCATCTGACCGCGAAATGCCCATGATCGCAGGTATATGACTTCTATTGAAGACAATCGAGCTACAGCGATATAATAAGGGTGTGAGGGTCTCGTGGAGGATTGTAGTATTGCTGGCTTGTATCCTCCTTGCAAGCTCTTTGATAGCTTTGGTAACGGTGCGATAGTCACTCACAGCAGCTATCGCAAAACGGATGAGTTGATAGCTTCGTCGGTCATGGATCTTTGCGAACTTCCATAAGTCGGCAGATGTCCTCCCTGAATCGGGGAAGGTCTTTGCCAGAGCGTCAACCACTTTTGTAAGTTGAGCCTTGATTTGATCCTTATTCTTTTCCATTACGCCGCCCTACTAGCAGTTAGCTACCGTAACCAGCTCATAGCTTGCGCCTCGACTTACGTTGTACTCCTCGCATGCTTGTAGATAGACGGTGACAGCAGTCCTCAGCGATACCTGGCGCTTCTGCATGGCGAAGAACACCTTTTTGGCCTTTTCGTCCAGTCCGCTCAAGAGAGTGAGAATGCGACGAACGCGGATCTTGTCGACGTCAGACTCGCTCTCGGGCTCAATAGCTTGCGAGTCCTTTAGTCTCTGAGACTGACTTGAACCACTTCTAGAAAGCTTGGGCTTGATGGGAGGATAGCTGAGCGGAAGAAGGACCTCGAACATGGCACGGTCGATTGAAACGTGGATCTCGGGGTCATTGGTATAATAGGCGTCTAGTATCCTCGACGGCCCTTCTTTTAGCAGGGCTGTAACCTGTTCGTGGTCCTGCTCTATTTCACCAGACGCGACAGCCCAAGCCCGGGCCAAGATTTTCGTAGCATGTTCGCGCACCTGCGACTTTCGGTCTTTGACACGCTCTGCGAGGATGAAGAGTAATGAGTCCTCAGTTGAAACCCCACCGCTAACCCCTAGTTTGTTTACAATATGGGAAAATCCAAAGGTGCCAACGGCATCGACCGCTGCTAAGCGGACTCTTTCATCAGCGTCCCGAAGCATCGACGCAAGATGTGTGATAAGGGTTTGCTCTTCGTTATCGCTCAATCCCGAGCCACCCGCAGAAGTTAGTATAATTCGGCCAATAGCTGTAGCCCAAGAAGCTCGCACAGAAGCTGATTTGTCCAAGCGACGGCTCAAAAAGCTGTCATACGCAGAGCTGTGTGCTTGTGAGAAAGGCTTCGGAGCGAAAGGCATAAGGAGAACGTTGGGCTGTGGGATCGATTGCGTGTATTCGTCCAGTTTTACCTGTGGATAGGCGGCAGGGTCCATCGGGAGAGAAGGGGGTGGTCCAGCAACCCCGGTCCCTGATGTCAGGTCACCAATGGTCTGAGTCGCCAATAGGCGCAATGACATCGATTCGGCGGATAATTCTGCTTCTAATTGAGGAATAACGTTCTGCAGGACGTCGGGACACGCTCTCCAGAGCTCACGGATCAAGCGATGCGCTTTGCCCAATTCTTTGATATCTTCGCCCTCCTCATCCGAGTCATCGAGGTTAGGCTTGCGAGATTGCTTCGAGGGCCTATTCTGAGCTCCGGCGGATGAAGCATCAATGATAACATTGTTAAAGTACTGGCTGACATGACTAGTCATTCTTTCCGGACAAGCCTGGCAGATCGCCTTCGCCATGTTGTAAGCTGGTGGGTAATCCTTCAGAAGCAGCGTCTCTTGCTTCTCGTCGACCTGAGCCTCGGGTTTCTTCCCTTTCTTTCCTGGGCCTTCCACGACACGGGGATCGACGCGCAGGAACTGCGCCATTATTACGTCTACCACATCGGGCGCGAGAACGGGCGACTCATCGATAACTGTCACTAACAGGCGAGTCATGTCATACTCAACATTCTTGGCCACTGGCTCGCCTGTTGAGGCTTTGGCGGAGCCTGCGACAATATCAAAGCAACTGGTAAACAACGGAACGACTAAAGTGTCCGGGTGATCTAAGTCAGTCATAAGAACAACACTCTTGACCTCCGCCAGCGAATTCAAGACGTAGATGTGTTGCCCGTTGTAAGGATTCGAGGGATCCCCCAGCGAGGGGATGATCGATGACACAATACAAGTAAAGATATCCTAGAAAACAAGAAAAACAGTCAGTTGCTGAAGCACAGCACCCAAAGGCATGGAGATTGAGCAAATCGCACTTTCAGTTGATTCCCCGTGAAAGGCGCGTCAGGCGCACAGAGGCGCAACACATCCACGATGCAGCATGTCGCCCAAGCGCGGACACCTTTATCCTTATGTCCTAGTAGTTGAGCTGTAGCAAGCTCCTGCGAGACCTTCGTCAGAGATTCCTTCTCGACTTCTTCCTGGTCGAACTTGCGCAGCTCTTGCGACAGCGTCTGTAGGCGCTGCAGCAGATCTGCGATGGGGATGGCGGAGCGTCCGACGCGCCATGAAAGCGGCTCATTGAATTTCAAGCGGCGAAGGCCACCGGAGGGCTCTTCAGATTCCACATCCTCCACTGCAACGGAGGGGCCTTGTCGAGTGCGCGACGGCATCGTTGGAGCGCGGGGAAGCCGAGGGACGAACAAGCTGCGCTGAAAGCACCATGCGTCGGATGGAGGGACTTGCAGAGACGTTTAGATGCAGGTTGCGACAGGCAAGCGATTGGTGGCTGGATTCCGCAACGGAATCAAGATCGACTGGAAGGAAACGAGATGCGAAGGACTGTAGTTTGGCGTTTCGTACTTTTGCCCAAACGGGAAGGCACCCCGCTCACCGCCTCCACTCTGGGACGCGTCGCGCGTCTACTGCATCTTTCTACTCCACTCCTACTGCTGCTGCTGCTGCGGCTACTAATGGATATTGATGAGGTGCTTGCTGAAATTCACTTTTTGGTATCGACTGGGAGATTATAATTACATTATCTGTATGATCTGAGAACGCTGAATGCCTGGCCACAATGCGAAAATCACTATGCAGAATCATCAACGCCATGGATGCTAATGAATGCTGATAAGACGGACTCAGAAGTTGGGCGAGAACTTGCTCAGCGCCCGAATCTTCTTGCCATAGATGAAGAAGATAATGGGGATGGGAATCATCGCAAGGGTGATGAACCCAAGCAGACTGGACGCCCAGGGCACGCCCAGCTTGTGGTACATCTGCGTGGCGAAGAGTGGGAAAGCTCCTCCAAGTGAGCTTCGAATAAGAGTGTTCGCCGCGATGGCAGAGTTCGCAAACATCATGTACACATCGATGATGTAGTTGAGGCCCTGCATGAAAATCACGAGGATGCCGGCGCCAATAGGGACACCAGCGGCAACCTGAGCCAACCAGTGCACGTTAGGGCTAGACGTCCAGCCAAACCAGAAAAGACCACCCGGAAGGAGGACGGAGGCGACCATCATAGGCACCAGACGTTCCTCAGGGATGACTCTGCCATGCTTGGCAAGTTTATGAGCAAAGCGGGTCTTGGTTTGCCAGATGATGAGGGCCACGCCGCAGAACACTCCGATCATGATTCCTATAAATGGAAGACCAGCGATACCCTCGTTGGTCCAACCGCGCTCCTCCTGAAACGAGACCGGGTAGGCTTCGAAGAAGAGGTACAGGATTCCGTACACCAGCGCAAGGTAGAGAGTGATTAGGATGAGAATGGGCTCGAGAATGAGCATCTGAACAGGACGGAACAGGTATTTGCGGACGATGTCTCCAAAGCTCGGCTTGTGGTGGTCGAGGAACGCATAAAGATCTTGGTTGCCAGTCTCCTTGCGAAGTTTGGCAGCGCGTCTTTTGAGAAGTACCGGATGGTAGGTCTCTGGGACCACGAACCAGGCAATGGTGCCAAACGACCCGGATGCAATCAGCGTGATCCAGGCAGTCCACCGCCAGCCGAGATATGAATCAGTGAGAAACCCGCCAACAATCGGACCTAGAGAGGAATTGTCAGTCAGGAGTACTTGAATATCGAAAAGAGTATTACATACCTAGCACGGGTCCAACGAAAGTAGCTGCTGAGAACAGCGCAATCGCTATGGCGCGATCAACAGGATCCCAGAAGTCCGCCATTGCGCCTCCAACAACAGCCAAGGGTGAGCAACCCAGGAAACCCATCAAGAACCGACACACAAGGATAGTTTCGACGTTCTTGGCCACGGCAACCGGAATCTGGAAGATAGCGAACAAGGAATATCCAAGGAAGAGGGGATATTTGCGCCCATACAGTTCCGACATGGGTGACCAGACCAGAGGACCAGCAGCAAAACCAAACACCACCAAACTGGTAGCAAGAACCATAACCTCTGTAGACACGCCAAACTGCTGTGCCGTCACCATCGTCGCCGTCGAAAACACACTACTCGCGAAAGTGAGCCACATGGTCATGGACGACATCGTCATTGTTATGATCCACTTCCTCCAATGCGGCATATTCTGCGGGTTCTCGGGGTCATCGGGACCATTCCATTCGACAAGATTTGGGTCCTTGGGCTTTTCCTCTTTGGAATCCTTGGACTTTTCTTCAATCGGCTTTTCGTCGGCTGATGGTTGCTGTGCGTCATAGTTGCCACTTTCGAGATCGCGATCTTCTTCCGCTGTATCTGGCGAAGGCTGCGAAGCCTTCTCGCCATATCCTAGACTGGAACGAGATTCTGAACGTAGTGTTGTGCTAGACGAGGGCACGTCATGCCCATTACCGTCACTTGGGCGGAGGTTGTTTGTATCGCTCATTGTTCGCCCGCTATTCGCTGAATTCGGTGCGTGATATTCAATATAATAAGGGTTTGTATTGAGGTATGTACAAGAGCCCCTCACCAGAAAGATGAAAGAAAGATAATCACCTTGTGCAGACAAAGGGGCAGAGAAAAGGTCCCATAACGCCATTAATATACTTACGTGCGAACCCTTCGCCAAGTGGGCCTTCAAAAGCCTGGATTTATAATTCCACCATCTTGCAAGAGGGGCGACTCCATCGTGGACAGTACCATCCGCTTTATCTCCGGGCCACGGCCAAGAACTACTCAAAATCCATCAAGTCCGGTCGCAGATGATCGGACAGGTCAACACCACCGCAAGTTGTGCGCCTGTTTCTCACTCCTCAGCAGCTTGCGGTGTAGACTTCCTAGTGTCATCCTCATAGTCCTGGCTCATTGCGCTATGCCGGTTACCCGAAGCCACGCCCTAGGCGCATCAGCCATCAGCTGTCTCAGAAATCCGAAACAAACAAGCTAGCCCAGCTACGTCAAAACCAGAAATGCCCAGGAAAGATTCTGGAAGCCATGATACATCGTGGACGCTTGATTGGCTGGAGACAAAAAAAATTATTACCGGAGATGACCCACGTCCATATCTTAGCTTCCTCGGTGGGTCAGCCTCGGGAGATCGCAAAGCTTCTCATTACCGAGTCCGAGGGTCATGGTGAAGTCATTGTCAACACATGGACCATACTTTATTCGATCTTTGGGCTTCATGGGGACACATGATCTATTCCCCTCGTTGCCGTGGAAGCTGGGTTCACTAGTCGCTCTTGGTGCGTATGTGTGTGCGTATCTACCATAAGGTGAGTACTGAGTACTATGAGAATCGGCTAGTCGGAACCGAGTCGGCATCGGACCACAGATACGTCCGACCACAGAATCTCGAATCTCAATCCTTCCAAGGTTCACGAGCCTCAACAGCCGCCCGGCGCTGAATAATTGGTTCATGACTTGGTTCTTCTTCGAGCCTCAAGGCTGAACTTCGGGATCCGAGAAGAAATCATCATCAATGAGCATTCAGTTTGCGCTGTACCTAGGCTGTACCTGTGCCACCTGATATGCAGAATAGTACGTACGACGGAGGGACGCGTCGACTCGCGGGCCGCGGCTCCCGTGACATTCCCTCATAGTTCTCATCTGCATTTTCATGACTCAACTATCGATTGGAGTTAGTTTCGCTAGCACTAACCCGGGAAACGGTCCGCCTCTGCAGCTCTGCTCGCTCGCTGCTGCCTGCTACAGTGCGTAGTGCTTATGCTAGTCTAGCTCTCGGATTTAGGCATATCTGATCCGACAGGCTCATGGAGTTTGGCGAGCTGTTTATCTGATCGGGCTCGGCTCGGATAACTTATACGGACTACCTACGGAGTACGGAGATGCTTTATAATCACTACTGAAGGATTTGGATGGATTCAGAATTGGATGGATTCCAAAGAAGAGGGTCTAGGACGATAGGGTCCTAGGTTAGTTATGCTTTCGTAGTATGAAGTGGGGATATGAGCCCCCGCTAAGAACTAGACCTGTAGAAGCTGTAGATGTACAATGCGCTTAGTATGCTCGCCCACATCGATATGTAACAAAAACAAGATCGCTATCAGGCGCCGCTATATGCTTCAAAGAATTATCATGAACTGTCATCTGAACCGTTAACCCTTGCCCTGCTCTGCCTGAGAGCGTCAATCGCCTTAAGCACTTCATCTTTGGCCGTGGCTTCCAAGCGTGCTTTCGTGGTCGACTCCAACGAGTCCAATCCCAAAGCATGTTCGTATAATTTGCGAGAGATGTTTCGATTAATGTCGGTGTACTCCTCCTTGGAGATGACCTTCGAGCGGTAATGCGGTTTCAAAGCTCCCCCGACGAGTTTTTGGATGTCAGACTTCACCTCCAAAGATAGCCCGGGACGAGACGGCGAGCTATTATTTGATCGTACGGTTCTGACGATTTGTGGTGCTCGAGGGACTCGACGAGGTCGAGAGCGCGATGGTGTTTCCTCTTTATCGTCTTTCTGAGAGCTAGCTGGTGAAACTTCGGGGGAGAAAGGGGGAGGAGACGACACTTCATGTGGTGGTGTGAGTTGCATTGGGGATATTGGCCTGCTCCCCAAATGCGGGGGTGGGGTGGCGGCAGACAACCGGGGAGACGACTGGGTAGACGGTACGGGTGAGATGGAAGGTGATGAAAGCCCGGGAGTGCTCTGTTCGGCTGAGATGTGAGCCGAAGGACCGTACGAGTGGACACTCTGTGGTGTTGAAGCGTCTTCGACTTCCTTCAGCAACGACGAAAGGAAACTCGGTTCGCTAGAATTATCGGCATTGAGACGTGCGGATGCTTGGGCAACGGCACTTCTCGAAGACTCGCCGTTCTGCATCGCGAGGGCTGCGAGATCCTGGGCCCTGCGAGTGCGAGGTCGTTTCAGCTTCCGTGCCGGTTCGGTGGGCTCTGGAGAAGGGGACATTGTAGGCTCTTTTCGTTTCCGTGCCGCGCTCGGGTTGTTCTCGATCTCACGAGCTCGTTCGAAAGCGTTCCACGCCCTCATTTCTTCCAGTGATTCTGGCTCGGGTGTCGGCTGTCTGGGCGCTCGTGGGCGCGATGGTCTGGGCGCTTCGACGTCAAGCAGAGCAGCAGTGTCTCTGAATCGATTTCTTCCCCCTTGTCGTTCGGCGACTTCGAAACGACGTTGCCAACTGCGGAACTCTCTCTGGTTGGCTTCCTCGCGACGTCGTTGCTGTAACACACGCTCGACAGCTCGATCATCGTCGAAAGGGAAGTCCAGATCTATGTTGAGGTGATCCCATACTGATTGCCAGACACGCGCCCAGTGCAGCGAGTTGATTTGATTCCTGCTTTGCACCGTCCGCTGCTGCGCTCTAGTACGGTGACGCCGTCGGTTCTGGACATTCGACGGTCTATCTACTGCATCAGAAGATAGTCCGATGGGACGTTGGGTCTCACATCGGGAACAGTACCAGGAACCAGCTGGCACCCCATCAAGCCCAACGCAGTATGTATGTGTCGGCACATCACAGCCGTCACAGAGAAGGAGCAACTCCTCGTTCTCCGAGTCCCCACAGATAGGGCAGGGTTGGAAGTCGGATACATCATCATCTATATATTCGACAATCATGGACGGGTCGACATCTGCGACTTGGACACGGTCTTCGACCGCATATGATGAAACTACGGGGCCTATAACAAATAACATAAGTATGCGTTCCAGCAAGAATGCATCATGAAAAGGGTTGAAATACTACTTACCTCCGACCCGGTCACTCAGCTCCACTTCATTGAAGGTCCGGCGGCATATCGGACAGCTATTCGCTCGTTCGACCCAGGGTTTCAAGCAGTTGTTGTGAAGGATATGACCGCATGGAAGTAACTGAGCGATGAGACTGTCCTTATCTCCGTCGAGGCCATCTGGCTTGGTCGAGGTCTCAGGTGCCTTGCCGTCCGGTTCAAGGTCAAGTCTTGGCACCGGGACGGCAAGAGGATCGCTGGCGCTTTCGCCAAGGTCTCCTAAGCACACAATACAAGTGTCGGACATTAACGGATGGGGATTCGATAGAGCTGTGAGTAGAGGAGCTGAGAGAAGGCATTAAGAACAGCTATCAAAAAGTTTGAGGAGAGGATGAGGAGGGAAAGGAGAAAGAGGGAGAGGAAGTAGATGAGTGTGGGGATGGGGAGGCCGCTTTTGAAGGTGAGCAAGCGGTCACGTTGGCGACCAGACTGGAAAAGGTTAGACCAGCCCGACGCACGGCGAATCACTGACCTCCGAATCAAGATACTGTTGGCTCTCGCGAAGACGGTCACAGCGCTTGAGCCTTGGTTGATGTGCTAGTTATGTTCCTGCAGTTCGCTCGAAGGGGGTTACCCCTCTTACGCTTACCTATCTTTAGAATAGATGGAAGTCGAGAATGTGGCGAGCTCGCAATCGATCAGTCTGAAACGAAACCTATATAGCCAAAGCACATTGAACAGTGAATAGATCTGGGATAGTGAATGTAGGCAAGATTGAGTACCCGGTGATATCAGAATTATTGTTACTCTCATTTCCGGTCTTCCGCAAGGTGCAGGTGAATGGTTTTGGCCCCATGGTCCTCACATGCCGCTGGCATTCGTCAGAAGACACAATCAGGTGCCCAAGCGCAAGCAAAAAAGACCGGACCATAGGAAACGAAGCGACTTTTGTTTTTATGCGGTCCAAATCGGTAGAGTTTGAAACTAGAATATGTGATCTGAAATCATCGGTGGTATTCATGTCTAAGTGATAAATCGAGTTCGATGAGGCAAACGACGCCATCAACACCGAGGACGAAGATTCGTGAGGAGGATGCGTTCATGACAATCCATATCTTGTATTTGTCTCATTTTTTAATTAACCGGAACAGAAAGGAATCCCATCATCACATTTAGACCTCCGCGATTTCCCTGAGACGACGGATGGTGGAGCGGGTAGCAGCGGCGGCGGGGGTACTAAGTGAGAGCGCGTGTTAGTCAATTATCCTGGCGAGATTCCATCGATGTCGATTTTGATCGGGCGAGGGCGGCAGAGATGTCGACTTACGAGACGGTGTAGGCACCACCGGCGATGGTCTTCTTGCAACCCTTGCACTCCCAGATGCCAACAGCCTGGCGCTTGACGGTGTTCTTTCCGCAGAAGGTGCAGACGTAGCGGGCGTGCTGGGACACTTCCATCTTCTTCACCTGCTTACGCAGGGAGGCACCGTATCTATTGACGAACCATCAGTCAGAAAAACTGTCCAGTCGCTCGTGTTTCTGGTCGTAGAATCTTCGAGTTTCGCCGTGTCGTGAACGATAATATCGCGCTCGATTCAATCCGGGGTTTTGGGGGTGTTTCTGGCAAAAGCATACCTGGTACCATATTTACCGGTGATGCCGACCTCTGCGGAACAAGTCAGCTGCTGTTTTCCATTTTTCGTTCTCCCAAAAGTCAAGGGATAGTATCCGGCTATACTCACTCTTAGTGCGCTTCGTCATCTTGTCTCTGTGCGGCTGTTGAGGTCGAAGATGGGAACAGTGCGGGAAGTTCGAAATCGAGACTGCCGCTTTCAAGTGGCCCAGTTGTGGGTGCTCGCTTAGGGCTTAGCCTTGGCACCACGTGATGGGCCTCAACTATAGCAGAATACGGCCTCCTTCAACCTAGAATTTGGCTGGAAACGAATAGAGCCAGATCCGCTTATTATCTTATATCTACCAGTATCGAACATGGACAAGATTATGCGTAGCAATTGAGATAGTGGCCTCGTTCTATCTGGAGCCTGGTGCCGTTTTACTGATCACTATAGACAGGCGGTCTGGAAAGGCAGAAAACTGTAAAATTATCTGTCTTAGATAAGCGGTTTTGTCTGGTTGCTGAGCTCGCGTCCTGCAGGAGCCCTAGTCATAGCGTGTCCCAATATAGTTATGCGATATGATCGTCAGCTATTATTCTATGCTTTTTGCATATCAGGTAGTTTATAGAAGCAAAAAAGCAGAGAATGGCGATACCGCGGGCCAAGCCTTCTCGCCCACGAGCGCCTGACATGACGTACCACTAGGTATTTGGACCGCGGTCGCCAATTCTCCTTTAAATTGGTCTCGTAGGCACTTAGTATTGGCCATCGTCAAAGCTGCTTCACTTGCGAAACAGGTTGATAGCCAATCCTTCTTCTATATAGTAGCACTTGATTGAGGTGCGCAAGGTGATACCGGACATTGTCTTGTTGAACACTGTTCTCAAAACGAGCCCCCTGCGAAGCCGCAACACCAAAGTCATGGAATCCAGCAGGGAATTCGATATCGTGGTCCTCGGCCCTACTGGGTACACTGGAAAGTACTGCGCAGAGCATATCGTCACTCATCTCCCCACGAACCTGAAATGGGCTCTGGCAGGGCGCTCATACAAGAAGATCCAGGGCGTGGCTCAGGAGCTAAAGGAGCTCAATGCTGATCGCTCAGAACCAGGTAAGACTGACCACAAGACGTGCTAGCCGGATTTACTAATACGTCCGTAGACATTATCACCATCCAGCTTAATAAGGAGGAGTTGCGCTCTCTTGCGGAGAGAACAAAGCTCATCATCAACTGCGTTGGTCCCTACCACATCTACTCGACCCCTGTGGTCGAGGCTTGTGCGAATGCCGGCACCCACTATGTCGATGCGTGAGTCTTGGTTACCTACACAGTGGATCGACGGCCTTGACTAACTACAGTAGGACTGGAGAAACGCCATGGGTCAAACAGACAGTCGACGAGTATCACGAAACAGCCAAGTCCAACGGTGCTATTGTACGCCATCAGACACTCTATACATACAGCAGCCTTCTAATCAGCGCAGATCATTCACTGCGTCGGTATTGAAAGCACACCCGCCGACATGTTGGCTTACGCCCTCGTGAAAGAGGTCCGAGAGAAATTATCCTGCCCTACTAGGGAGATCACCGGCTCAATCTATGAGTTCAAGTATGGGACCGCCTGATGTTTTGTATCACCTCTAACACGTATAGATCTTCCGGCGCGAGCGGCGGCACCCTCTCCTCCATTCTAACCTGCATCGAGGACTTCTCCGGCAAGCATCTCCTCGAATCAACAAGGCCGTTCTCGCTTGCAGTCTCCCCAGCACCAAAGGACATCCCATCCGAATCGATCATGGCTAAGGTCTTGGGAGTCCGAGCCGTTCGCGACCTAGGCACTCTCGCCAAGTCCCCAACAGACTTCTGCGACATGACCATCGTCCACCGCAGCAGCACCCTGATGCCAGAACTGTACGGACCCAGATTCTACTTCCGCCAATTCCTCAACGTCCGCAACTCATTTATTGGCATCCTATGGAACTACGCGTTTATACTCGGAACGGCCCTCTTGCTCCTGGCTCCGGTCCGATGGCTGGTGAAGAAGATCATCTACGCACCTGGAAGCGGACCAACTACGGAAAGCGGCCGTGATGACCGTTGCGAGTACCGTGCTATTGCCACGCCAGACCGGGATACGCCGAAGCGTGTATTTGGGAAGTTGGTATATGAGGGTTCGTCGATGTATCACTTCACGGGCGTGCTGATGGCCGAGGCGGCCATGGTGATCTTGGAAAACGAGCAAAAGGTCAAGAAGGTCTCGAGAGGGGGGATCGTTACTCCGGCGACACTGGGTCAGGAGTACCTTGACCGACTGGAGAAGATCGGTTGTCGTGTTCAGACGCAGCTTCTGGAAAATTGAGCTGAACCCGCCTGTCTTTCTTCTTATGATTTAAGCCTAGTTTATGCTGCCTTATGACTTGCTTGTTCCGCTTCCCGCTTGATATTGTACTATATACATCACGGTGCACACCGAATATACATCTCAAATCCAATTTCTCGCCCACGTATCGAGGCAGCAGAAGTAAATCACAACTTAGCCACTCCATTACTTCCCTTAACAACCTCATCCATCCACGCCTCCAAAGCCGCATTGACCTCCTCGGGCTTCTCCCAAAGAGCCCAGTGCGAAGCGTTAACCTGTTTCGTCGTCAACTGCGGTATGACCTTACCCATTCCCTTGCCCAAGTGCGGCGGGAGAGCAGCGTCCTTGAGCGCTTGGATGAAGAGGACAGGGATGTCGATGGTTCCTTGTTGCAGAGAAAGCTCGTCTTCGTAGTTTATCTTGCGCGTGCGGTACCAGTTCACTGCGTTCGGTTAGAATATCGTCATATGAGTTGGGAGAGGCGGAAGAAGAAGAAGAGAACATACGAGGTCCACGAAGCCCATGACGAGCGAACTCCCAGGCGTAATACTCCATTTCCTGTAATAAACTCAGTCAGCCCATCTGGTTAAGTAGCCACATTAAGCGAGCAGGTAACAGAAAGGAAACTATCAGGATACTAACATCCTCCTCTATCACCCACGTCTTCTTCAACCTCGGCAACAACCCCAAATTCACACCCTTGTGAGGATCAAATGCGAATTCCTTCTCCTGCGTCCGTCCACCATAGAGCGCAATCAGGAACTGCTTGTTTTCATCTTTGCTCTTGACAGCCTGTTCAATCTTCCCGCTGACAAAGTGCAGCTGGTACGCGAAGTGCGGCGCTACTTTGGCCACCATGTCTTCGAGCGTCATGTACTTCTTGTACGGCGGGCTGTACGGCACGCACACGGTGAAGAGGTGCGTTACTAGACCTGGGTGCCAGAGGGCGACGCGGTAGGCAAGCGCTGCGCCCCTGATCGTGCGGTTCTTGGTCAGCTCGGTGGGAGGGTAGGTGTAGGGGAAAACCTACCAATCATGGCCACCGAGGATGATCTTCGACGCTCCAAGTTGGTTAGCTAGTTCTTTGATGTCGTCCGCGCAGCTCTTGTGTGAGTACGCATTTAGATCCAATGGGGCGTCCTGGTGGAAATAACCGTGTCCTCGTTAGCTAAGTATCTTGACACCAAGGACCTGGTCAAGGTTACCGTCCGCCCATATCCGAGGCAGTCTGGCGCGATAACTCGGTAGCCTTTGTTGATGAAGAGTGGGATCTGATATCGCCAGCCCATTGACAGGTCTGGGAAACCGTGAAGCTAATAAGTTCCAGGCCACTGCGTCAGCTCAGAGCTTTGATAGGGTGTATTGTGCAGTGAGCACTTGAAGTAGTTACCAGGACTACGGTGCTTTTGTGTTGCCCTGATGGCGGCACACTATATAGGTAACCTGGATATATAATCAGCGATCTGTCTTGTTGAATTTTCGTTAAATTGCGCCCTAAGGCCGAGTATCCAGTTATTCATGCAACTGCCGACCTTTGCAGGCCTCTTAATAGACGAACAAGAAAATAGAGCTCATACCGTAAGTCTTCCCATTTACGAATGCTGAGCGATGCTCAACCCGAGAATCTCCCGAGATCGTGATCTTATCGACATCCATGGCGCAATATGAGCCCGAACGAGAGTTGATATTGTATGGATATTATCGAGAATACCGCTCACCGAACAAAGAACAAAGCCCGGTGATTCAATGAGATTGTACTCTGGTGATGGTTTATGACGGTGCTAGAGCTAAAAGTCCCAAGTGCCCCTCTTACTATCACGTGAAACCGACGTTTCTTAGATCAGAGTGGACAGGAAGGCAAAGAAATATTTCTCAGAGCTGGGAGTCAAAGACCTTGGTAATATAGAGCTCAGAAACAGCTTCCAAGGAGCAGAAGGCCATGGAGTTGGGTGCGTACTGAGCTTCGAGAAAATCATACTCCGAGATGCCTCGGCCCTCGTCAACCGTCTCCTCAATAATCATTGATTGTATCGTACATTATTGACCACCTTTTGGAGCTAATTTTAGACGTTCAAGGGGCTTGCTAGTTGTCTAGTAGATCACCGTATCCTCGTTATCCTCAACTACCTCCCCTCCATCGTCGTCGGCTCCTCGGTGGTCTTCTTGATGAGAGGTCGCTGGGACAGCTTCAGTTGAGGCACTGTCAGGTTTAGTCTCTTCGGGCTCTTTCTCGTGGTTCGTGTCAACAGCTGCTGTTTCCTTTTGCTCCTCTGGCTGATCTTCTTGTGCGTCTTGACTGGGTTCCGCTTGTTCTGTTTGCTCCTCTGGTTTCTCTTCAGGCTGGTCGTGCTTCTCGGTTTCTGCCTGGGCCTCTTGTGCATTGCGGCCATCGAATTCCTCTTCTTCCCGTGCTATTGTGGCCTCCGCTTCCCGTATTTGATCCCGTATGATATCTTCTTGCTCGGGTCGCAGTTGCCATGGTTTGTAGTACTATCCAATCGGTCAGAAGACGTAACAAACTGGTTTCAACGGGAACATACCAATATTGGCTCCGACTTGGTCTTCAAAAAGTGGGCCATCGCCAGGAGGTTTGCGTGACGAGTATGCATCTAGATAGACCGAGGATCAACAAGCAGTCCTCTTCCAGCCAAAGACGTAGGGAACCCACCATCTCCTTCTCGTAAACCTTCTGCTCCTTCTTCCGCGTAGCAAACCGTTCCTCGCGCCTCTTCTTCTTCAGCTCCCCATACTCCTCATCCTGTAGTTTGAGCTTGTCTTGCTGCTTCCGCTCAATATCCGCCCGCCGCCGTTGCGCCGCGGAGTTGGAGCTCTGCGAGAGTGTCCCAAGTAAGGAGCCGAACAATCGCTGTCCACGCTTCCGCTCCTCATCCCGGCGATTGCGCTTGCGTTCTGTGTCCTGGGATTCTTGTTTCGGAGAGGATGGTCTGCGGGCTTGAGGTTGTTCGGGACTTTGGTCATCGTTTTGAGTGCTGAGGCGACGGCGCTTGATGTCAGAATCAAGGTCGGTCGTTGAGGACTGTCTTCGCTTTTGTCCTGCTTCCGGAGACGCATTGTCATCGGGAACAATCACCGCGGAAGCTAGTGTTCTAGAGCGAAGGTCAGTCAGATATCGGAAGGTATGACAGTGAGATTCGTCAAGAAATGCGTACGCTTCTGCCATGGTTGGTGTTGGCCTGAGTGATAGCCGGGTCTGACTTTGCAAACGAATGGATGCGAGTAATGGCGATGAAGAAGCGCGAAATTTTAGTTTACAGATCGCGCGTTAGATTACTTGCATATATAGAAGATAAAAGTAAATGCAATCTGGATGCATTGGAGAGAGTTGCTGTCGCGATACGTAGAGCCGCAAAGCCAGACTCGCACGGACCAACTCCTGTCGGCTGGCCTCGCAGAAAATGGTCACGCCGTTCCTGAGCTACCCTCCCTACCATGACCTCTCCCTCGCTTTCCAACACTTTCGACAGGCTGCTTTCCAGGACAACCACCTCCTGACCATTTATAAGCAGCGTTTGCTTAAGACAAAGGATTCTTTAGCTTAGCCTTCGATTTCTACTCATCTTCTCCCACTCTCTCCGTCGACCCCTCTCCAGCAACAATGTCGCGCCATCACCCCGATCTTGTTATGTGCCGCAAGCAACCCGGTATCTCCATCGGCCGCCTGTGTGACAAATGTGACGGAAAGTGCCCCGTATGCGACTCCTACGTGCGTCCTACGACCCTTGTCCGCATTTGCGACGAGTGCTCCTTCGGCAACTATCAGAACAAGTGCATTGTTTGCGGTGGCGAGGGAATCAGTGATGCGTTCTACTGCTTCGAATGTACGCGCCTTGAGAAAGACCGAGACGGGTGTCCAAAGATTATAAACCTGGGAAGTTCGCGGACGGATTTATTCTATCAAAAGAAGAGTTTTCGGAATCATTGATGAGGCGGCTTCGACCCGCATACGCAACTGGGTCCAGGATACGGCGAGCTGGCGGGCCCTGTCTTACATGGCTGCTTTACTGGCGGCGGTTACTCGTGGCATCTAATAATGGCAATGGATCTTGACTACGGATATATGTGTATGAATATCTACGTTGGGACCTGGTCCGACTCCCCTCGACAGTTGCTGGAAAGCAACGGTCAATCTCTACCTCCCAGGGCGTCTGGGCTTCGCGAACCCTTGCCTGAGACCGTTGTTCTGTGGCGGGTTAACCTCTTCATGAAGGCGTTCGCCTGTAACCTCATCGGGAGTGCCGGCCTCAATCTGCCATTTTTTGTCAGTTCCCACTCAGTCATACTTTCGATTCGCCGTACCTTTTTCGAAACCTTCAGACCCTGTTCTTCCGCCACCTGGAGCGCATACATCCGAGAGCTCGCGTACAACATCCGCTCCTTAATCGACGAGCCCGAAGGGCAAGTATAGATGAAAATGATCGCGTCGGAGTCGGGATAGTGGTAGAAAGTGTACCTCGGCGAGGATGTGGAGATGTGGTTCTGGACGGAGTTGGCGTCAACACCAGACTCGGCGGCAGCAAGCTTGAGTGTCTCCGTTGGAACGTCAATGGCCTGTTAGATGAGTTAACAGTTAGTTCAACCATGGTAAATCACAGCGCAATTGAATATATTCCGTGAAACTCACCACCTGCACCAGGCCACCCTGCTGCAACCCCGCTAGAGCACCCTTCGCATCCTCATCCACCTGCATCTCAATCTTCATCCTAGACGGGCCCCTGGCAAACGACCCTCCAATTCCAATATCCCGCCCGGGCGTCCCACTCCTCCCCGCCTCCTCTGCCTTCCGCACGGCCTCCAACTCTCTCTCCTTCTCACTCATTAGATCCTCCCGCCTGTATCCACTAGCACTGGTCCCGTTCTTCTCGGCATCCCGCTCTTTCCACGCCTTCTCGCCCACAACCTCCTCCTCATCAGTAGCAAAGATAGTCTCGCTGAACTTCTCGCTTCCTAATTCCCTGACCAGAGTCGCACGCGTAGACGCAAAGAGCGTCTTGGCACGCACCCCTGCATTGGAGGGGATATAGGTCAACGCGATGAGGGTAGATCCGCTTCGTCGGACTAGCAGGTACATAGGCGTCTTGGGCTCTAATACAGAGGATAGTTGGGAGAGAGAAGCGTAGAATGCGCTGTCGCCATAGCCGGAGAAAGGGAGGGTTGAGAGCGGGGTTAGACGCTCCGCAGTGATTGTCACGGGGAGACAGAAAATGGAAGTGTCTGACGCGAAGCGGGAGAAGGCATCGTGGAGCTCTTGCGAGACTGTATGTTCACCAGATTAGTTAACGGATTCTATATAATCCCGTGTTTGCGGGCTGGCTTCGGGGTCGGGGATGGCGGGGCGGAGTTGGATGATTGCTGGCACTCGATTGTAGGGAGCGGAAGCGTACCTGAGATTCCGGACTGCATATTGGATGCGTCGGGATAAGCCTTCCGTCCCGTCTGGAGAATGTGATATCAATATGACTTGTTCGAGGGAGTTGTTGGTTCGCTGGTTGGACTATTTATTTCACCGCTGCGGAGGGTGGCCTCAACGCCATATCACATGACAACGTAGGTCCCGTCATTTTTGGGGCGCAGGCTTTAATGCCGGGAGTAATGCGCGTGGCGCGGAAGGCTAACCTGGCCAAATTAGGAAATAGGGCGTAGCTCTATTTCTCTATAGAATAAGGCCTTTAATAGAAAGGCGTTATATATCTATAGTAAGAACTAATTACTAATTCTCTACGTTAGAGTTCTAAGTTAAACTTGGTGTTTTGTGCGCCAAGGCGGCGGCCAGTTCGGCGCCAAAGTTTTTTATTAGGCGGCCTTAGGCCACTATGCGTCATGTGACTGGCCGCCGTGTTTAGATATATATATTTAACCTGGCCTAATTAGGAAATAGGGCATAGCTTTATTTCTTTGCAGAATAAGGCCTTTAAGTAGTATTTAAGAATTTTAGAACTAAGGGGGCTGCGCCCCCTTAAACCCCCCTAGCTCTGCGAGGCAGATATATATATTTATGGCAGAGCTAGGCAAGAAAACGCGGTAAGAAGAGATCATGTGATCGCCCTTTTTTCTAGCCAATCAGCGTTATTTAGTCTAAGCGGTAAGAAGAGGTCATGTGATCGCCCTTTTTTCTAGCCAATCAGCGCCATTCTGCCGTTTTACATGATCCCTAATAAAGCTCACGTGACTGGGAGCCGGGACCTACGATTATCATGCGCTTTGGCCTCCACTTCGTTTCGGCCACGCGCAACAATATACGTGTACGTGCGGCAAAATCAAACAACAAACTTATCCAATCTTCTTTTGAGAGTACTATTTTAGCTCTCTGTCTTGTCTCCAGAGTACTGAGTTTCATGCAAGCGCCTGGGTACCAGGGTGCTGTCCAGCCACTACTATCCCTGGCCCATGTCCGTAGATATGCCTACCTACGGTAACGCCAGACGTGGTGCCGCTTTTCGCCAATTATTCGTCAAGAACACAGAACCATCCGTTCGGACTTAGCTTATCTGTCTCTGCTGTTATAGGCGTACAGAGACGTGAAATGATTATTAATGTTTAAACGAGCACTTGTTAAGTCTGGGTTGCCTAGGAACCGTCCCAGAACCCGATTGAAGCCCCAGCAGGCCCTGATACCAAGGGCTTAATTGTTACCACGATCGAGCATCGAGGCTTCCTGGCTTACACCCCCTGAGAATGAACCAAAAGCGCTCAAAGAGCAAGACATTTACATGGCTGAAGCCGGTGAGCCCTGCCAATTCGCTATATTATATTGCAGCTTCAACGACATCTCTTCAGGGACTTTTCATTGACTTAGGTGTAAAGCCTGCCCACATCGCATCACGACTTTGATCCCCTCGCCTTTGCCAGTTCAAGAACTGCTTCGCTTACTGTCAAGTCCGTCAGACTCACACCAACGCTCTTGTAAACGACGAAGCCCTCTGAGATAAACCAATTCATCTCCTCAGCACCCCTCTCCGCCACTAGTCCAGATATCTCATTTCTTCTTCCCTTCCTCAAGGCTATGATTTCGCCCAGCTCAACAATATCTTTTGCAGCAACTTGGCTCTGAATGAGTTCACCCGAGTTCGTGAGGCCAAACTCCCGATCGTCGACCAGAATCGCACCACCAGCTTTTTCAGTGACAGAACTGTTGCTTGCAATGGCAAGTCTTAGTAGCTCTGGATCTAGCTCGATCATGTCCGGCTGCCAGGAACCAACGGCTGAGATGAAAGGGAGTCTGCTGCTGCTGTTGCCCTTTGAGCCCACATTGGGCAGATAGGATGGCGGAAAGAGAGGCTTCTTGGCCGGCGTAGTACAAAATATACAACTTGCTTCATGCAAACAACTTTTCAGCTCTCGTTGGAACTCTTCTTCTGGCGCCAAACTGGAGATATGACGCAACGAACAGCTAGCCTTCCACCGAGCGTCATTCTCCGCGGAAATAGTGGCTCGCAGCTTATTCGCGCGCGCTCTGTCGCCGCTAACATAGGTGATTGATTTTACCTCGTCACCCCGGAGAGCAAGAATGAGCCGACTATGCCAGAGAGCTTGCACCCCAGCGCCGAAAATCACAATGTTCTCAACATGCTTCCTCCAGCAAAATGGCACCATAGCGTTCATTGAAGTCCTGTAGCCGGTGATCTCCTCGGCGCTTAGAACACCTGAAGGGCTCCCCTTCTCATCACAGAGGACAATGACGCCGCCTTGCGGATCTCTTTTCCCGGTTGAATTTGGTGCAGGGTCAACAATGATCTTTGTGCCAATGCTGGAGGAGGATGTGAAAGGACGGAAGAGAGTGTTTTGGCCATCCGGGCGGTTGGCCACGCTAGGAGCTGGCTGGTGGTGGCGTTCAGTTGTCGTGAAATCCAGCAGTGTTTGTTCAAGGATGTGGAGGAAATCGAATGTTTCAGTGCGGGAGAGGTTGATCAGGATATCGTGAATTGTGGAGTTGTCTAGGACGCGGATGCCGGCCATGGTCAATGATGGGCTTGGTATTAGGCAGGTAGATGCTGAAAGCTTACGGTTTGGTTCTTAAGGCATTTGGAGAAGAGACCGGCAAGCCTTCCGATGGCGATAGGAAGCTGAGCCGGTCTTGCGGGGTTGTGTCAGGTACGCTGCCTAACCTTTCCGGTGATCAAGTTACTGAACTCCAGGGACAGCTACAGAAGCATTGAAACAATATCTCGGACTATCACTAACTTCATAAATGTGAGACCTGAAAATCAGCTGCAATCAAGATACACTGTTATCGGACGAATATCAAGCGCGGCTCGTTCATTCTCCTGGCGTATATCGGGATTTGTCAACAAATAAATGCCTCAACCTACGTGATATCGCGTTGGCAAGAGGATTAGGGCTTTGAGGACGAAACTGATGCTGCGGGTATTAGGGCAATTTCACTATACTGGAGCCCCTGCCATTCACATGGAGAGAAACTCGAGTATGACGCAGCCCTTGTCAATACGTACCTGACCCTTCTACCGGGAAGTGGAGGTATCGAGCCTAGCTTCAACTGGAAGTGCCACTATGGATAGCTGTCCCGATCCCTGCACGCTTGCTCCCCCGTGGGGTATACTGTTCGGCACTGGTCAAGATCGTCAACATGCCTTGCACAGCAAGGTACCAACGTCAATCTGACAAGTAATCAGTCTAATATGATCTAACAAGATGGAAAGTGCATATAAAGCCAAATGCCAGTCAAGAACCAGAGACCATGCTACTCCCATCTTCATCGAAAGAAGGCTCCAACTCTTAACCCGCCAGTTCTGCAGATGTTACCACCGAAATTATTGCTTCCGCTCTATTCAAGCTCCTCCTCGTCGAGGCAGGACTGGCGGCCAGTTTTGACGGCTCCCGCTACCTCTGGTACGACACGGCTGCAACCCGCTTCAGCGCAAGTCTCCCAGTGGGCAACGGCCGCCTAGGAGGGACTCTCTATTGCCTCCCAACGGAGATCATTACTTGGATTGAGAACTCTGTGTGGAGCGGCACTTTCCAGGGCCGGGTGAACGCGAAGTCCTCGTAGTCTTTTCCTCCCATTCGAGACCTCTTGGTCGGTGGTAACATTACGGCTGCAAGGACCAAGCCCTAATTGATATGACAGGTACATCTATAGACCCTCACGAGTACCGCATGCTGTCGAACTTGTATGTCGACCTTGGTTAAAACAAGGACGGGGCGGATCTCGTGCGTTATTTGGATACTCTTGAGGGATATGCGGAGCAATTAACCTGAGTGCATACCTTCAACGGTCGAAAGGGGTTCAACAGAATACTGCAACTGTCGTGGACGGAGTGGACTCGATCGTGCTGAAAGCCATTACAGGAGAGGATGACTACAGCACATTTACTGCTGAAGTGAGAGTCGTCGTGGACAAAGGTAATGGCCTCCCAGAATTAAACCGGTCAGTGACTAATTCCTTGCAGGCACTATAACTGCCAGCGGAGGCAGATTGGTCGTTTCAAACGCCAAACGGTAGATTTCCTCCTCGGCGCGGAATCCCCGTACCGGTACGAGAGTGCCAATGATCAAGAAGCAGAACTGAAGAACAAAGTTGAAGCCGCGGTGAACCTAGGCTACGATGTTCTATGCGAAGAAGCAATCAACGACCACAAAGATCTAGCTAGACGAGTCACCCTCGACCTTGGATCGTCCACGGGCAATGATGCATTGCGTCCTACAGACGACGAGGACATCGAGTTCGCTACCCTCCTTTTCAACTACGGACGCCATCTCCTGATCTCTTCCTCCCGGGACACGGGAGACCTGTCTCTCCCGCCTGAACCCCAGGGCCTCCGAAACCAAGACTACGCCCCATCCTGGGGCGCCAAGTGCATCTTTAACTCTCCTTGGGACACTCGCAATGCATCTGCCAATCATTGTTTTTCAACCACTGACCTTACCTTGGTGCTGAACGTACTCTGAAGGGTGGCAGAAGTTGGCAATACCAGCTCGCGGCTCTGGTAGATTAGTTACAGGAAGCTCTAGAGTATCTAGCTCTCTTTGTTAGAAAGCTCGAACATTGCCAGGTATTTGTTTGGAAGTCTTCAAAACCATGGCACTAAGTGTATACAATGTGTTAAAGCCTTGGATTTCAGGCAGCGAAATGGCACGTGCAGTCAGCAACAAAGATGCCTAGTACTCCAATGGCGCGAGATCCCCGCCATTCACAAATGAATCAACAGATTGGAATTACATGCGGCAAGGGCAAGCCCTCTGTCTTCTTCATCAGCTCGCATTTTGGTTGAGCCGAGGCAGCGAAGGAGGAGTCATGGATTCAGGTCCATTGCAGCTGCCCGCTGACCCCACAGAGCGCCGCCGGCTGCAGAACCGCATCGCACAGCGCAGGTTTCGTCGTGAGTGCTCCGCAAAGGACGCTGCTCCGGAATGCTAACATCAACTGGGCATGTAGAGAAAAAGCAACTCAAACGAAGCACGGACCGTGGCCGAGCTGATCGACCAGCTACCAGCGCAACTAGCAACGGTGATACCGGGCTTGCGAGATCGGCCGACAGGCCTTTCGATGAAGAGGCTTCAGGAATTCCTTGTTCGGGGAATGCGCGGGATGAAGGAATTGGTTTTGGCCTAGAGGCGATGGACAGTTCTTTGAATAGTTGCAGCTCTTTCAATCCTCCGCTGGACGCGCAATTCTTGTCGTTCCTCGCCTCTCGCTCCAGCTCCACTACTTCCCCCGACACAGCGCCTCAGGGTACGTCTAATTCTTCTGGCAATACAGGGCCAAGTACCGACCCATTCTCTCTCCACGATGTGTCGGGTGCTATCGCAGCGGAGCCTGCCGCTGAGAATGGCGAGGGCTGGCTCAGTTCAATGCACATAGCCGCGCAAAATGGTCATGAGCGGATACTCGGAGTTCTGCTTGAAAAGGGCAATATGGATCCCGATTGCACTGACAGTGATGGACGAACACCTCTTTACTACGCTGCGATTGGGGGTCACGACTCAGTAGTGCGGCTATTACTCAATCACGGGTCACGGATCTCTCATGTGGACAACCATAAACGAACCGTGCTCCATTGGGCGGCGCACTGGACACAACTAGAAGTGTTGCGGACGCTCCTTGAATATTGGTCTAAACACGAGCGAGGCACGTGCGACATCAATGCGCATGACAGTCATGGCTGGACACCGTTGCATCTGGCCGTGCAACGGGGATTTGACGATGGTGTTCTCTTGCTCATTCAGTGGGGAGCAGATATCAACATGAAGGCGAAACAGTGCTGGATGACCGAGAGGAATATTCCGTTCGATATGAATCTGTTGGTAAACTGACCCGTTACCGTTGGTTTCTTGAAGCATACCTGAGACGGGCTGAAACTGGGTACATTGCCTTTTTTTTTGGAGCACTGAACTACTGCCTATCATCTACCCAGAAGGATGATCGATTTCAGTCTCAGATCTTCATCATCTAGGGACATGAGCATAATGACGCGGCCAAGATGCTTATTGTCTGACTGCTCTACCAAGGCTCCTCCTGCCCCGTCCACTTCCACAACTTGCCTGAGTGCGTTTCCCTGGTAGACGCATCAATCACCCCAACCACACCCCGAGCACTCTCCTCGACGGTGACAGGTGCTTCCTCGAGTCCAAGCAAACGAGCGGCGTTATTGCCCAGGTCACTCTGGACAAAGCTATTTGTGGTCAGTTACGCTCAATCAACAACTAAGGAGCGGACGAACCCTGGATCAATGGGGAACGCTGAGAGCCACCGTTCCTGATTGGCAACTGTCCTAGTATACCAATGCTGCACGACTTTTGTTGGCGCGTATGCAGCGTTCGGAGCGTCGCCCACGTTCCTACTCTCTTAGTACTCGTCTGACTACGGCTCAACATAGCTCCACTCACTGGCACACGTTAGCTAGGAACTCCTACTCAGAGGCAGGAAGAAATAGTCATACCGTCAAAAATGCCGCAGAAGACCCAATCGTCACAAACTTCGGATCACTCGCGGCCTTCAGGAACGGCAGAAACGCCTGGTATACTCGCACAAACCCAATGACATTCGTCTCAAAGTGGGCTCGGATATCCTCAACTTTAGCTTCTTCAAGCTTCGGAAACGCAAACGCAATCCCCGCATTGGCAATGAGGATATCGATGTGCTCAATCCCTTCCTGGGCCTTCAACGTCTGCGCTGCGTCTTTCGCATCGGTCTCGGAGGTCACGTCAAGCTTCACAACTTTGACCACCGTATCCTCTGCAGTGGGCAAAGATAGGATCTCCTTAGACGTCGGATGTTCGGGGTTCCGGTTTGCGGCGATGACGATGTGGTGCGGTTTGGAAAGGTATAGCTCCAAAAGACCGCGTCCGATTCCGCGGTTTGCGCCGGTGATGAGGACAGTTGTACGTTGTGTAGACATGATAGCTGCTATGGCTTGAAGAAGAGAGAGTCGATAGTGGTAGTACCTCCATCATGCCTGGCTGGACAAATCGAGGCCATTTATACCTATCCTGCTTACGCCCAGTCTTACCTACTCTAGTTTGTGGACTATGGCCCTTACGATTGCACGGCCTCATGCTTATTGCCGCTCTTATTACTTTCTTACTGTAGCATTGACCGTTCCGCTTCGCCATATCGATGAACGACTCCGGTGGCATGACCTGGTGGAGCTTTACTTAGGGTAAGCGTAAGCATAAGCATAAGGCGGCGCGCCAAGATTGCGAAGTACACAAATCAGCCATGGTCTATTGCGCGATATTTCGTTAATACTACTTTGGAGAAGCAAATAATAATATATTTTCTTATTACTTACTATTTTTTTTTTTTTTTTTTTTTTTTTGAGTTAATCAAATTCCATGAAAAACGGGTTGAAGCAGAATACATAACTGCTGTAATCGATCCACCTCCACTGACTCTACAAGCCCTAACTAACTTGCGCGGGTAGACAGAGGTAGAAGCGCAGCAAGCTTTCAAGGTAAAGCACAATATACAATTGAAAGTAATTCCAAGTATCAACAAAGAAAAGATAGTATAATATATAATACTCAAGCCAAGGCCAGACAGGCCAAACGACAACGCCACCAATAATGCCCAAGAGATGGTATCTATTGTATCAAATGCTTTTCCAGCCAGCCGGGGCCAGGACAAGAAGACCAGAAGTCACAAAAAGCAGAGAAGTTTACTCCTCGAAGTTTCCGCCCACAAACGCCCAATTCGACGCCTCCAGCTTCCCCCTCAAGAACTCGTACACTGTAAACGTCACGGCCTGACCCGGCGCAACACGCATCACACGGGGTGTGATGCCCTTGTAGAATGCGCTTGCACCCTCTTGCTTGAACATATCCTTGGCGATGGTCATGATTCTGCTGACGGCACTCTGACCGGGCTCAGCCCTTGTCTTCTGAAGGCGAGTCTTGATGGTATCGATGGGTGCGTTAGAGAACGGACCGACGGCACCAGAAATCAGACCAATGACAGTCGTTTGGTAAGATGGAAGCTGGGAATTGGCGTACTCAGGCTGGCTGCGCTGCAGGAAGGCCTTGAGTTCCGTGTAGGCTGTGAAGTTGGCAGCTTGGTTTGTGCCCTGGCGGAGGGCAGTTAGGGAGACACCGCGGTAGAGAACCATGAAACCTTCCTCTTTGATGACGGTGAAAAGGGCGTGCGGTGCGGAGCGGTACTTGGGTGCGTCGAGGGGATCGGCGAGAGAGTGATGTTGCGCTTGCAGACGGATCTTGATGACTTCCATGGGGTTTACGACGGCGACAGCTTCCGTTACACCAGCGGCGAGACCAGCTGTTATCCATGTGTTAGTACCAAGCTGGGATTATACAGTATGGGGGCGAAATATACCGAGAAATGTGGCTTTGCTGGTGACAGCGCCAGTGTTTTTATCGGCGAGCAATTGCTTGTAGTATTCGTAGGAGGTGAATCGGATAGCCATTTTAGGGATGATACCGCCCAGAACGGCTCCGAGACCCTTGTATAGACCAAGGGCGGTTTCCTTCTTGACGATCTCAACACCGGTTTTTACGAAGCCGCGGGGTTTGACCTGCAAGGAAATTAGCTGCTGCGACTGGGCTCGGGGTAGATATTGAAATCATACACCAGGCGCTGTAGCTCGCCGTGAAAGCTGCATGCGGACTTTGATTGTGTCTGGACTTTGTAAGCGCGTGCGCTTTCAAGCTCGGGTTGGGGATTTCGTACCTAAGGGATGGCAAACGAGAGCCTCCATCATACCGGCACCACCACCAGCTATTCGAAATTAGTATTGAATGGATCGCAGCGCAGTCGCGAAGACCTACCGATCAGATTGACAGCCGGGGAGGCCGGTTTCTTTCCATTTCCTCCTTTAGCAGACATTGCGACTCGGATGTATAACGTGTATAGTGTCTTCCCAATTGCAACGGAACAAACTGGCGCAGGTCAACCCTCCAACTAAAAAGAAAAGAAAGGAGAGAAAGAACAATTTAAAGGAAAGAAAAGGATAGGGAAGAGCCACGAGGACAGCGACGATGTCGGACGTTCACAGAGTGAAATTTCCCCAGGTTTAGAGCGGAGAGATACGGAAGTATAAGTACCCTCGGTTGGACCGAGGAAGAACGAAGCTCTGGAGGAGGGTGTTAGTCAAGGCAAATATTGGGAGTCAGAGCTTCGGATAAGGCGATCATTGCCCGGGGACTCGGAGTCAGTAGCGGCTTTTGTCTCTGCCCTTTTCTGTGGTTAATTCTTAGGCTGAGGGCAAGAGCCGCGGAGGTGGAACGGGGAAGCGGAGACGGGGAGATGGACGAGCGGAACTTCCACTGCCAGTACTATGTCGAGATCTGGACAGCCGAGTCTTGTGCTGGAGGATTTCAATCTGATAAAGTCGATGAAGTAATGTCTACAGAACCTCTGAGATTGGTGCGGAATAGACATATTTGAGAGATCGAGTCTCTGTTGTCGTTCTCATCATTATTACCTCCGTACCATGCCCTCGACTCGACGACCCCAGATTTGCCGTGAGGGCCGGTAGAGCGAGCTCGTCCAGGCCATGGTTCTGGCTTTGGCTCTGTCCTGCAGCGCGTTTGGGTCCAAAGGGCATGATCTCATGAATCAATGCCAATTGAACTTAACTTCAGCGACCAGTAAATCTGGGGTGTCCGCATGTGAAAGCGCTGACTACTTGACAGCTTAGGTGAGAAGTATAAAGACTTGCACATCTTCTAGCTTGTGATTCCGCGCCACTGAGCCTCAGCTCTGGCTGTCAACTGACCATCTCAAGGGGTGAATGGAGGACAAAGGCGGGAGAATCCGGACCCCAGGAAGAATGACGTTGCTCACTTATGCCGAGGTAATTCCTCTCTGGGAATGCCGACGTTAGCCACATAGACAGCTGGTGATGCTGTATAAGCATCTCCGTACAAAGCGTTTGAAGCTTGCATCTGAAGCTTGCGATGATCAGCTGGTTGTTTGACCAGAAACGAGAAAACAGTTCGTCGGAGTAACTGCGAGCCTGCGAGTCTGCTGTGATACTCGAGGCGTCGGCACATGTTTTATCCAGACTTTTTCCACAAGCTGTACGGTATGGTATGCCTGAATCCCGAGGCATCAAAAATCGACCATATGGCATATCCCTCGACCACTGATAAGATCATTGAAGTTGATTCTGTCATCGTCAAGGTCTGCTGTAGCCTGTAGGTTTACTCCATAGGGTGAGCGGAGTAAAGAATTGGTGAACCCGACCAGGAAGTCATGTTTTTGCTGCGTCAATGCTGCAGCCTTCCAGCGGCTCGAACAAGGGCAGAGCGACGGTCTACTGTAGGTAGAGATGGCCGCCCTGGCGACATCTCCAGCAAAGCTGACGATGAGCTGGAAGGGATATTTTCCGGACATCAGAAAGTGCGAATGGCGAAGATCAGCGATGTTATCGGTCAATCATTCTCCCTATCAGGGCTTTATCGTCTTGTATCGGCCTCTACTCCGATCCAATATCTCCAACTCGGATGTTCAACACTTTCACACATTATGGTGGGCAAGCAGATCTGACGAGGCTAAACGATCAAGTCTAGATGACTAGGTAAGCCTCGATCTATGCGCCATGAGCACCCCGCAGCCGACGTGGAAGCGCATCGCCCTGTTTGTCTTGCACCAATGGCTCATCATAGGCATCGGAGTCGCCTGCCTGCTGGGGTACTTTTTTCCCAACGTCGCAAAACACGGCGGTATAATTCGGTCAGAATACAGCATTCTCTATGGCGCTGTCGCGGTTGTCTTCTTAATTTCGGGCCTCAGTATCCCGCAGGACAAGCTCCTTCGGCAGCTCTTCAACTGGCGCCTTCACGTCCTCGTCCAGGTCACCTCGTTCCTGTTTATCCCTGCACTTGTCCTCGCTGTTGTGCATGCTATTCTTGCTGGCGACAAAGCGGGCCGTGTCGACCGTGGTGTGCTGGCAGGGTACATTTTCACCGCTTGTATTCCGACGACGATTGCCTCGAATGTGGTCATGACCAGGTCGGCGGGAGGGGACGATGCCGCTGCGTTAGCGGAGGTTCTTATCGCTAATATCCTGGGTCCGTTTGTGACGGCAGGATGGACGGTGACGCTCCTACCAGCTTCGGAGGAGTTCGATGTCTGGAGAGACCAGAATGAGGACCTTACGGCAATGTATCGGGATGTTTTCAAGCAGTTAGGTCTGGCCGTGTTGCTGCCTTTGGCTGTCGGGCAGGTGATAAGGTTTCTGTGGCCTAAAAAGACGGGGCATATCATCCAGAAATATAGAATCGCGAAGCTTGGGTCATTTTGCCTGCTGCTTATGATCTGGTGAGTTCGTTTGAGGTCAGAAACAAACCAGGGACGAGTTACTCACCGTTACACCAGGTCAACGTTTTCCTCGTGCTTCGCAACTGGGGCACTTCAGGGCCTGTCGACCGAAAGTATCATCTTTGTCGTGCTATTCAATATTGCCTTGTACATGTTCCTGACAGCGGTGTGCTTTTCCATATCTCGTCCGCCCCAGTCTCTATGCTCTCGAACGACGTTTGGGGGTTGGCAGATCCTGAGGCAGATGCCCGCCGAAGAGACAATCGCCGTGTGCTTTTGCGGTCCTGCGAAAAGTACAGCTTTGGGCATCCCTCTGCTGTACGCGATGTGGACGCCCGTCGACTTGTACATCAAAGCGAAGACGTCTGTGCCTGTTTTACTGTACACGACTGAGCAGTTGTTCGTAGCTCACTTCTTCGTTCATGCGTTCAAGTGGTGGAAGCGAAGAATTGAGAGGCGTCGTGAGTGGGAGGAAAGTGCAGAAAGTGGAGGGGCTGAGCCGCCATCTGCTTCCCTATCAGAGGTGACAGAGGAGGTAAAAGCTGCAGAGTTTGGCCAACCCAAGCCGCGAGGGCTTCCTGCTACTCAATGCGTTGACACGTGAAGCATTCATATGGCTGAGCTTTCGATCTATTTTACATTTATACCCAAAAACATCGTGACAATTCGTTGCCGGAAGCATTCCCAGAGCGTTATTAATCTACAGCAGAATGATATGTATGATATACTTTGTCCAGATGGACGAAGGTTGAAATAAAAAAAGACAGTAGATGCATCATATATAACTCACCTTGACGCCCATCCCGACAGTTCCCCTGACCTTCTGCCATCCAGACCCAACTATCCTCTTGATCCGCTCCCGGACGTTCGGTCTGTTTAGGGCAAAGACGATACCCAAGAGGAACAGCACTGATCGCAGGAACGAAAGAGGATTCTTGGATATTGAATTGCCCAGATACTGTACGAGGTTTCGCAGCACTGTAGCCAGGGCTTGTGATTGCCTCGCCCGGGTCTCGGGCTTTTCCGGCTTTTTGAGATTCTTTGAATTGGGAGGTGAGAGGGCCGTCCTTGACGAAGAGCCGGCTTTACTGCTGCCTGCCTTCTCGCCCTTTTTACCTCGGAGGCTCCCGGTTGGATGATTTTTCTCGATCCCGTAGTCTACCTCACTACCGCTGCGCTTGTGGCTCTTAGTTTGGGCAGCTCTTTCTGCAGCCGCAGCCTCCTCCGCTTTTTGTCGTTCAGCCTCCTGCATTTGTCTCTCTAGCTCGGCGTCCTTTTCGCGCTGTAGGGCTGCAGCGCGCAGCTTGCCTTGCTCTTTCTCTTCCTTCAGTCCGTCCAGCGTCTGTAAGAAGACTTCCTTTCGCTCCTCGTCGAGGACCTCGCTCAAACTGATAAACTCTTGGGCATAATCCCACTCTTCGTTTCTCGGTAGAACGTGGAGCGTAAAGAGCTCGATGAGTCTAACTCGCGCAGCTAGGTCTTTCGGCGTATCTGTGCCGCCGTTACGTATGTGGTGTCGTTGGGAGCTGGTGGGAGAGTTCAAGTGCTCTTCGATATCGAGGTTCGGTTGTCCGTATGACGAGAGGTAGGTTTCGAGTCGTTGCTGATTGACTGTTTGCGAGGGAGAATGATTCAGAAGAAGTGTACCCCTAAGAAACACGCCGTTAATACCTAGCGGACTCTGCGCTCAGTGTCCACTCACAAGTTGTAGACAACCTCCGCATCAATCGATCCCTCTCGGCCCTGGTAGCCCATCTGCACCACCTTCTCCCAGATGCTTCCATCGCGAACTTGCGTGGAGACATCCTTCCATTCTTTCTGCCCAATTGTCTTCTTCCCTTCTTCCGGACCCAGATCAATGATAGCGCTTAGAAGTGTAATATACAGATTCCAAATTTTGATCCGCCAGGTGGCAGGAACTGTAGCGATTGGTGGCAGGCTGGTGCCATTGGCTTCCGGGTCGTCATTGCCGCTCTTGGCCGTGATTACGGGCTCTATGGAAACGAGGGCTTCTTGTAATCGCCGTGTCAGAAAGAGCTGTGAAGCTTTCTTGTAGGTCCTTGAGCAGAGCTTTGACGGCGAGAGTGCGGGTGTGGACGCCGACATGCCGGAGGCATCATCGGCCATGTTCACCGCCAGGATGAGGTAGTCGGGGAAGAGGAGGGACGGTTTCGATGGAGAAAGACAGGCGCTGCAAAAGTGAAGTCGTAACTGAGATTATTAGGTGACTGCAATTGAATCAACGGTTTTCTGTCGGCTTGAATGCGAGTTAGAGCTGCGGCAGTTTGGAGTGACACCAGACCGAGCGGCGACTCCCGTTGTCCCTCGGCTCGGCCTCACTCTGGGGTTGGCTGGGCCTCGTCACGGGATAATGCTTGGCATCAAACAACTACTCTTTATCAAACACTCATCAAGAGCAACCATTCTGACCCGGTCAAGAAAGAGCTTAGCTATAACCTATACTCGTCACTGCCAGATGCCCCCACTCTATGAAACAGTTGCACAGATTGCCAGATGTCTGCGCAGTAGCCTTCAGTGACTAAACAATATACAATATACTTCTGTCACTCCAAATACTAGACCTCACTAAAACCTCTTTCTTATTCTCAAGACGCCTACCTTCAAGTACCTTTGCCTACCTATCCTACTCCCGACACACCAACCATGGACGTTACGGCGCGGACGTTCCCTTACCACCTGGCAAGGATTCTGCAAGACCTCGAATCTTCTGTCTTCGTCTCTATTGACCTTGAATTTTCCGGCATTCACATACCTTCAAATGGAAGAGCTGGTCCGCAAAGCCTACAGCAGAGATATGAGGATCTGAAAGAGTCTGCTGAGAAGTACCAAGTACTCCAAGTGGGTTTGACATTTGGCATCGAAGATGCCGAAGCAGGTCAGAGAACCTGCAAATACTCTCGCCCTTTCACAGCTGAAAACCTTCTAGCAAAGTACACTCTGAAGCCGTACAATTTGTACCTCAGCCCCATCATTGACCGTAGGCTGGACATCGAGCGAGCTTGGATGTTTCAGAGCAGCGGTATGTATCCCTGACGTTATCTTCAAAAGACTAACCTCATACAGCGGTTGAATTTCTTTTGGAGAACAAATTCAGTATGGACTCATTGTTCAAAGGCGTGACGTACGTATCGAGAGAAGAGGAAGCGAAGGCCATCTCGAAAGCCGAAGAAAGGCGAAAAGCGACCCCGATACAGACCTCACTGGACGTCAAGGAGACCGATTATGATTCCCTCGCATTTCTTGATCTCGTCCGAAAGCTTATCGACGACTGGTTAGCTCTCGGTGATGTAAGTAATTTGCTCCCGATGTCGAATGTGCTAATCGATCCATAGAAACGCAATGACTATCTCAACATCCCCCCTCCTTCTCGTCAATCCGAGGCTCAGACATTCAAGCCTATGCCCTCAGTGTTGAACCGGCATCAGAAAAGGCTAGTCCACCAGCTCGTCGAAGTGGAATATCCAGGATTTGTCACCATTGGCCGGCCTGAATGGGTCCAGATTGTAGAGTATAACGAGAGTCGCGAGACGGCCGTTGGTGAGAAGAGGATAGAGTGGATAACAGACCGAGCGCGGAAGGAAACTGGCTTTAGATGGATAGCTGAAGCACTGGTTGGAGGCGACCTCACGCATCTCAGTCCCGGATATTTTCACGGCGTCCGAGGCAATAATACTGCACCCACAGAACAGTACGAGACAATCGAAGAGTTCGTTGACGAGTTCAAGAAGCGTTTGAAGGCACATCGATTTATTTTGGTTGGCCACAATCTCTTTACAGATCTGATATACTTCTTCCGCTGCTTCTTTGGACCACTGCCGGACCGAATGGAGGATTTTAAATCAATGGTGCACGAGCATTTTGAAGTCGTCGACACGAAGTACCTTTTTACGCACGACTGCGGCGATATAAACCCGATTTCTTCATTGCAGGAGATCAATGATAGCCTGCTGAAGATTTCGAAGCCAAAGATGAGTGCGAGACCACAGTAGCCATGTGCCTGGTTGAGAAGACTGACATCTTTTAAGGCATTCATCCACACTTTGCAAGGTATGAGGTGCAACGGATCGACCATGAGGCAGGATATGATAGCCTACTCACGGCTCAAATATTTCTCAAGCTCTCAGCACGGCTTGGTGGTGATGAAGTTGTGCCTGGAGGATCATCCATGGATACATCTTCGGCGACGACACAAAACAGATTTAGCAACCGATTTTCACAGCTGCAGGTTGGAAAATCGATCGATGGCCTTGCCGATGAGAGCGAGGGTAGCGAAGGAGTCCTAGGCGATCACAGCAGGGCAAACAAGATTCGGCAGGCGGCCAAAGGAAATTTGATACCAAGACCGTATTCTCAATTCTGGAGTGTCTATGGCAACAAGTTACGCGTCTTTGGAACGAAAGAGCGAGTCTGTGACGTTGGCGAAGGCGTTAAATAGATCCTGGACGTATTTACTGGAAGGTGATCCTCAAGAGCATCTACGATAGCGCTTAGTTAGAACTCATCAAATATGAAGCGATGAATTGGATGTGCGCAGCATCTATCTAACAGTACACCTTGGATTCAAGAAGGTACCGCTAGCGAAATCAGCCGCAGACACTCTCTCTGAGCACCGCAATGAATGATCGACTGGTTGTAGAAGAAACTGAACGCAGTGACGATAAGGATGGTGCTTGGAGAGAAAAAGAAACGGGGGCCGCGGATTTTGAATTTTAAATCCCGGACATGCGGAGGGTTTCTCCGTTCCGCCTTGGCAGGCGTAGATTGCACGGTAAGTGTCATGTGATCTGCTTGGACTAGCGCCAGCCTGCCAGGTCCGAGGCGGAGAAAATTACTGAAGGGACCGTAGGAAGTGTTGACAACCACGCCAACGCTCACTCGGAGATGTCTTCAGGTTCCAATGGCGCCAGGCGCGTAGCCTCGATACTGCGTAAGGACTTTCAGCCTCAATAGCTGCCGGATCACCCCTAATGCCGAATTGCAGGACCCTCAATCGCCGAACAGCGCGTGTGCAAAAGCTGTCAAGAGACACTTGTCCGCCGCAACTATGCCTCCGCCGCAACGCCCATCTCCCCTAAACCCTCTTCCTCAGCCTCCACTACATTCCCCGTCGTGGGCCCGACCTACACCATCAACGCAGGCGTGCTCCTGTCCCGCCCTCCCCAGATCACACGCGACCTCACCGATTTCGAGAAGGCGTACTACTTCTACCAGAAGCGTCTAAACGAGCGACTGGCGCTTCCCTTCACAAAATACTTCTACTTCAAGCGCGGAACGCCCCTAGACGAGGACTGGAAGCGTAAGGTCCGTGAGCGCCAGACCGCCGCGCGTGATATCGGCAAATACAATGCGTACGGCCAGGAGGCGTGGAACGATGAACTGCTTGTCGGAGCGAAGGAGTCAGAACCGGAGTACATCGCCGAAGCGCTGATCTCCGATGCTGAGAGCACAGCCAACAACACGTCGCAGGACACTAGCAAGCAAGAGAGCATTCCTAGGCCGCACCCCCGAGTAACAGAGGCGGATAAGAAGGGCGACACCCAGAGTCTGGACCGGGCTCTGCAGAGGACCCTCTACTTGCTTGTCCAGTCTAAGGAGGGATACTGGAAGTTCCCCAGCTCTCCTGTTGCGGCGGATGAGACTATTCGATTGGTATGCTAGTATTCACCAGCACTTCCACCACGAGGCTTGCTAATATTTCTTTGATAGGCCGCTGAGCGTACCCTCGAACAGTCCGCCGGTGTCAACATGAACACCTTCATGGTCGGATACCACCCCGTCAGCCACTACGTGTACAACGCCCGTAAGCCCAAGACTGACGAGACGACCGGCGTCACCCTTGCTGGAGAGAAGACATTCTTCATAAAAGGACGCATCATGGCCGGCCAGGCGGATCTTTCTGCCAACACGCAAAACCTCCAGAACTTCAAATGGCTTGCCAAGGAGGAGATGGCCAAGTATCTCCTGCCACCGTACTATGCTGCTATCAAGAACGCACTCGCCGACCGGTAATGAAATTTGGGGAGTTAATCCAGCTGAGGTAGAGGAGTTATTAGAGCGTCCGGAGACTATAGGATAACCTGGCTCAGTTTTGCATATATTCGCGTTTATCAAGTCATGTATAACTAGCTCATCGATATTATTCCCTTTTACAAGATATGTATCTTGCCCAAGCCTCCATAGAAAAAAAGTAGTGTAAACCCAAGCCCAACGCCACGCCAGTCCTAAATAGAATCAATCATCATTCATTTCAGGTTGAACTTCTGACCCGTCACCACAGGCTGGTCTTTGGACGACTTGCCCGTCAAACTCTTCCCACACATCGGACACGCTACATAATAGTCAATGAGTGGTTCAATTATCCAGACTCAAAAAGAAGGACAAAGGAGATAAATAAACTCACCATTCTTCTGGTACGCACACCGCTGGCAATACTTCCTCCCCTGCTCCGTCTTCGTCTTACACATGTCACAAGACGACGAGTACGCCGCATATGGGTTCTTCGCCTTCGAGCTAAGCAGCTTGTTCTGCGGAATACATTAGCAACACTCTTAAACGGTTAAAGTAGACGTCCGCGCACCTTCGAGACACCCGTATTCCCCAGCGTCGCCTTGGACTTGTTCGCCGTTGCTGAGCCCGCTCCAGCGCCACCACCGGAGGTCGTCGAGGGCGAGCCGTAGTACATCTCGCTCTTGCGCTTCACGCCTGGTGTGGCTAGCTCGGTGGCTTTCAGCTTCTTCTGGCATTTTGAGCAGACCATTGTCGCTATCTCTGGTTTATTTCGGGCTCTGTGGCACGGGCGTAAGATTGATGGATTCCTGTCGTAATACACCGGATCTGAAATTCTCGGTTGCTGTGACTTGTGATGGAGATTGATAGAGGGTGGATGTCTGGGTGCTGGGGCTAGAGGAACAGGACTGACGCCACTGAGATCGCCCGGCTGAATATGTGGCGTTGTGGTCCGTGCACGATGTATAGATCCTATGGATTGGACTTGGAGCCAGCGTGATACTCGTTAGAACGCAGTATACATATAAAACACCTGAAGCTATTAGATTTGAAATAATTGTTCGACATTTACGCCTCAGCTCTACCGAGTGGGCTGTATATCTAAGTTGTATGAGGGGAGATCAACTTATTTATTAGAATACACACGTTAAGCCTATTAATGGAAAAAAGTTCCAATTTGGCTAATTGCAGTCTGCCTTTATAGCATAGGGAAGGACTTGCTCACAGTGATAACCGAGAAAGCCATAACATTGAGTCGAGCTATTAAGATGGAAGGGAAAAAAAAATCAAGGCTAACTTCATGTCCAGGGAGTTTAAGCTGCGCCATGCAAAGTACCGGGAAAAGAGATAACACTCCTGGTATAGAAAAAGCAAAACAAAGTAACGATGTAGAGAACATTAGAAAGTTGTGCCAAATATGGGTGCAGCGTATTTCCGGGCCCATTTGTACAGCCGCTCGTTATCCCAGAGCGCATACCCCCAGGCCAAGCTTCGAGAATCTCCACCATCCTCAAGAATTTCTTTGAAGACAGGCTCATCATCCTCTATCTCATCAAGCCAGGTTAGTTCGAAGCAAAGATTGGGTCGCTCTATCTCTGGCAATGTGGACAAAAATGCTCGCAATCCATCTAAGCCCGTACCAAAATTGAATCGATCTGCAGGATACAACAATGGGTATTTATCTGAGAACTTTGATGGAACATAACTGGGAAACCATGCAAGAGTGGATGTAAGGTAGTTTGCGTAAATCATGTCGCGGCGACGGACGAAGTCTTTCTCTCGAAGAAGCTCGCAAAGAAAACGTCCGCCAATGGAAACTATTTTCTCCCGAACATTATCCGAGTGAAGCCTCAAATTATCGGTCTCGCGTATGGTATGGCTTGGAAGAAGAGTAGCCCTCAGCTTTTCTGGAAGCTCGCCACTCTCATTCGGGCCGTGCTCCTCCAGGTCATTAGAGACCTCCCAGTAGATGGCGTGGATTCTGTCGTAAAAGTGCTGCCACAAACAGGCAAATTCTTCATCCTCCCAGGGTGTGAAAGGGCCGAAGAAAACCTTCCACACTTCGTCGTCCTCAAATTCCCAATATTGTCTGTTCCACGGGCTTTTAACAAATGGCCTCTCGCCGCTATCAACAGGATTCTCAGTCTGTCCAAAGAGGTTACAGAAGGTTTGAAATCGGTAAAACGCTCGAAAGTAGCGCTTCTTTTCTAAAGCGGAGAACTTCAAGGGCAGGACTTCGGATTTCCATTGACGTATACCCATCCAGAATGGGCATGATGCATTGCGACTGTAGTCGTCAAGCAGCCAAACCGCTATCTCGTGGAGCTTTACGAGATCCAAAGCTTCATCGTAGCTCGCCGGCTGATCAGGGAGAGGCAGTGTCGATCCAGATTGTGCGCTTAACTGGCGGATTTCTTTGCTGCGGCGGCGAGCGTCTAGAAGCGCAATGATGTTATGTCGGTCTCCAGGGGTGTTAGCGTGGAATTGCTTCGAGCGGACAGCGGCAATGGCTTCATGGATTTCCACGAGTCCGTCATACTGTCTCCGCAAGATTTCTGGCACGGCTTCCTGCCGGGCTAGAATATATGCCTGGTATAAAGCGGTTGAAGAAAGTGCTATTGACTGGAGTGACTGTAGATCGGGCACCTGCAGTATAATCTGAATGCGCAGCTCGATGGGCAGACTTTCTATCGTTGGCTTACTCTATGGCGACATCAGATATGGAGTTATCTTGCCCAGGGTGGTTGAAACTTACCATGATGGCTGGTTGAAGAGGAAGGAGTAAACACGATGAACGATGACTCGGGAGGGGAAGTCTGCGCCGCCTTATGTAACCTGTTCACCATTATCTCCCCTTTCCACTCTTGAGTCAAGTCGGCGCCTACAGTTATTCTGAGACGAATATACTCAGAGCATCTGAACTAACGTGCATTTTCCTTTTACGGTAGCCGCCAGGATCAAAATCCCAAGGTGCCGCGAATTCCAATCATTGATGACCCGAGGCTGATCAGATGTATCTAGTGCCGTTCTAATGTTTATCTTAGAGCATCCAAGGATGTTTCGAATAGCCCCTACTAGGAACCGTTGCCTGCTTACCAGTCGATTCAGCCACAAGCCTGAAACTGCTAGGGTTTCTACATACAGTGTACGGATGGATCTACGCGCAGTAGGACCAGATGAAACGACATACAATCATGATGAACTTACTTCGCATGGCACAACCACATGCGAGCAAGATGAGCGATATCCACGTCTACTCATAGCATAAATGCTGTTCTTCCTCCGCATTCAACAATGCCTTCCCATCGAAGTTTGTGTCTTATTGAAGCTTCCTTATCTCGCACTGTTGCTTGTCCCTTGCTTTATACCTTCTTTAAACCTCTTTTCCAGTACACTTCTTCGACTGCATTACTTTGCCGGTTCTTCTCACTTCAGCTTCGAAATGAGTCGTCATGGAAGATACGATAACCCTCAATGGGACTCAGACCCTCGACACAAGAAGGTGATAATAGACCGGAGGGGCACTGACTCGGCCTACGACCCGCGGCGTCCTCGAGACTCACATCCTGATAGCCGACCAAAGCCGAGTCCCTATGCTCCGAACTTCAAGGAAGCTGGCCAAGGCCGGTCTCAAACATTCGCAACTATTATCAAACCCGAGATTCCTGTCCCTTACGTGAAGAACCCCCAACCATATGAGGGCGAGTCTTTGAGGGACTACAGATACTACAAGTCACTTCATGACCGTTACGATGAGACCAACCACAAGTACAAGGTACTCGACCCTGTCCATAAGAGCAGGAAATACACGCACGAGCAGCGTGAGGAGGCCCATGGACAAGGGATTGCTTTGGCCAAACTAGCACAGCGGCAGGCAAAAGAGTATGTATATCAGAGTCAGCCTCGCAGGATATACTTACTGATTGTGAACTAGAATTGCCGCTGCACGTACGGGGTTTGACCACAAATACCCCTGCGCCCAACCTTCCTTGGCGGATAAGGAGCGCCACAACGGCGAAGTCTTGAAAGCCATGCAGAATGCCAAAAAATATAACGAGTACGAAAAGATTATTGAGGCTAAGAGGACCGGATGGCGAGAGAAAAGGCTTGCTGGGACCCTTCGTAAGGCCTAGCATGTAATATTAACATGCGTACTTAAAGCCTCTGGTCTGTTGTCAGCGCAACCTTGACCATGGCTTGAACTACTGGTTCTCTTCCCTTTGAGCACCGTTACTTTTCTGTCTGACTTACCCTTTGATTTTGCTCCGCGCATCCACGTTTGATGCTTTGTTGTTGGCAATAGCTGGTCTTCGAGAAGCCAACTAGAATATTGCTTATTATAGATATGTTCTTGACAATGCTCTATCTGCACGAGGATAAGCCATGCAAATTTAGAACGCTAAAGGCCGAGCATGTACAGCAGTCGAGTCAACAATATCTCAGCCGGGCGCGGACCTCGCTCTCCTTTCAGACGCTTTGGACACCATAGACTCGGGGTGGATATTTACACTTCTTGGCAGGCTGTGTCTCGGGTTCCCTTGGGTGGCGTTCTCGGTGGGTGTGAGGGAGGGCATGGAGGAGACGATGACGACCGTACGGTAGGTAGACTGGGTTGGGTTTTCTGTGATTGTTAGGGTTAGCAAGGGCTACTATAGTAGAGCAGCTTTGTTTAGTAGGTAGACTTGAGCACCTGCTATTTATGGCGTTGATCAATGGAGGGTCTTGCCGAGGTCAGGGCTCGTTGGTGTGTTGTCCGGATCTACATGCGTGCCTTGTAGCTGAGCTCGGTATGGTAGTTGGTACTTTGGGCGTCTTGGCCGAGGCCCGGCTGTTGGAACGAAATGGGGTAGCACGACAGAGAGGTAGGTACGGGGCAAAACGAAATACCTAACCCCTGTTGTATTCGTATAGGTAGTGTACTTATCCACAACAGTACCTACCTGAGATGCCAGACACTACCGTATGTCACTGTTCCTTCGGCACCGTTTTGGAGCCCAACTTCCATCAACCAACAAAGCTGCGGTGTGACAGACTTGGGCCACCTGCATTAGAAGCGCTTCATTGCTACGCTGGTAGTTGATTGGTCTTTGCGTAAGATAATATTTATTGTTGGAACGTCTAACGAAGCCCACAATGGTACCATGACGGAAAAAGTAGTACTCGCATGGCCAGTGAGTCACCTGATTAAAGCAACAGGGACAAGAAGGTGGCTATGCCCATGTCACTCAAACTGCACCAGCGAAGGAGCTCAGAGAAAGAAAGAGTTGGAAAGAACAACTAAGGCGAGGCCATAGAGGCAAAAGATGTCATGGTAAATACTCATGAAACCAGTAAATCAACGGTCGTAAAGATGAAGGACAAGCATAGGGGGAATCAAACGTGGAGAAAGGGTATAAAAAGATAAGATCACAAAATCTCCAAGTCTTCAAACTCAACGATCAAGTGGTCGCCGATTGCAGGCGCGCTGGAGCTCGACCCTGTCCGATGCGTCCTATCCCAAACGGTGCTGCTGCGCGGGATATCCGTCGGCCGACTTGCGTATACTCCGACGTGAATGGATTTGTCTTCAACGCCGTAGAAGAACGAGCTGACCTCACGCATCTTCTTCCACCTGCTTCCCGCCTCTGCCGGCGTCATCGCATACGGCGACAGCGATGGGACCTGGTACCAGAGCCAGAGCGAATGACCGACGCGTTCGAGCTTTAGGCGCACAGAATGTATGTCTTGCGGTCTCCGGTTCGGTATGCTCAGTGGCGAGAGAGACCAGTCAGCTCCGTCTGCCGTTGCGCTGACAGATGAAACGTTGACTGTGCCAGATCCAAACTCTATACCTGCCTTGACCCACTTGCAGGACTGCGTATTCGGGCGGTTGCTCCCGAAACGGCGTGATCGCACCAAGGGCACCGTATCTGAGGAGCTGGACTGGGGCACCGCTCCGGCGAAAATGACCAGTCCTCCCTGATCCCATTCCATTTCAAAGTCCGCTGTGACTGTAACTTCGGCGAGTAGGAATGGATTTCGTAATGAGGTGAACACGATAGGGGCTGTCGCGGTGTCTCCGTTGGGCGGTTTTCGCCAGAGGTCGGTGTTTGGCCCTGCTGTCAGGGTAAAATATTCCATGCATTGCGGGAGCGTAAAATCTGCAGGCAAGTTCAATGCTGTGAAGGAGGTGCCACTGGGAGGCATCTTGACCCCTCGGGTGCCGAGCTTGCTATCAACTTCCACCCACAGGCTGTGCGGCCCTCTACCTCCTCTGTGGCCTTTTCTCGGTGGCCGTGAATATTAAATAGCTGGGCCACTCACCCTTTTCCTGCTCTTGTGACTTGCGTTCCTGTAACCCCAGAATTCCCGCTTCCAACAGTTCCAATGCAAACCGCAGAATCAACTAAAGAAGGCCGTAGAAAGCAACGGGGAACAGGGACAGGGCAGTTTGGCGACAAGCCTTTTCCCTGCGCGGCCGCACGGAGTAAGGAGTCGGAACAAGATCCCTCCACTCGGAGTCTTCAGTGTGCCGTGGCGTCCTGCGTCAGCGAGGTGGTGATTCTGTTGGCAAGGCAGGAGCCCGCGAGTATTGAGTCTGAAGTTAAATCCGGACCAGATGATTGAAGAAGGGCAGGGAAGGAGAAAAAGAAAAGACGCCAGGAAATCCCGGAATCCAGGATCAAATGGCCGAAAACGGACGGGGGTGGTTGCGAACCACAAACAAGCCGAAGGATCCTATCTCGACCCAGACTCGAGATATGACCAAGTCCCAAGGCGAGAGCCTTTTGTAGTGTCCCAGTCATGTTGGATTCTTATTATACGGCTCGGTCAGGAGCGCCACCTCCAAGTCCTTATGATACGCTGAACCGCCCCCTTGGGACAGGAGGATGAATCCAAGTTGCTGGGATCGCAACAGAGACCTATCGTGGTGTCAGTCCCGTTTCCTCCACTCGTGCTGTTTTTCTTTTTCTTTGTTAGCCTTGACTCTTTTCATTTGCTTTTCCCCAGGGCTGGCCTTGATTTGCTCCTCGACGGTGCGTCTGTGCAGCGTGGCGGATTACTGGTCCCGGCTGCATTCCCGACGGCGAACCAGTCGAGGCCGAGTCCGCGTGAGACTAAACAAAATAGTGGCAAGCTACGAAGCCAGCAGCTGAAACGTCTATACTCAGATGGTCTGACGAGAGACACCGGAGGATTCCAGGAGAGACCCCGGAGAGACGATTGGGCGTGAAGCTGGAGAGGCCAGCCCCGTGACTTCCAAGTTCCAGCTGACTTCTTCCGGGCTCACCGCCTTGGCCGGTGCTTTGGCCGCTCCACATTGTCTCGCCCTCTTGCCCTTGCCGGCTTGTCACACCTGGATCACATCCTGCAGCCCTGTTATTGACTGAAGGATCACCATCCGCGGAAATTATGCCACTGTCGGAGAATCCTACTGGCTGGCGAAAGCAATTAGAAGCCAACAATCGCTTTGCTTCGCGTAAGACAATAGGCTCCGCTGTCCTCCGTCCCGTTGATGGCGGCGGGTGCGTCCGCAAGAGGAACCCCTATCCCGGCCACCAGGAAGCGATTGGTCGCACATGGCAAGGAGAAGCTTGCAGCTTTATGTGATTCCAGGGTCCAGGGTCCTCCTGGTGGCCGCTGATCCTACGGAATAGGTACTACCAACAATCGTGACCATAACTGAATCGTTTCCTGCATTCCCAGCACCATTGACAACCACAATATGTGCCTGACGCATCATCCCAGTTAGCTTTCTACATAGCATAGCGTCAAGCTCGACTCACGAACCATATGGCTGCAATCTTCTTATTATGGACAGAACAACCGCATTATTCTGGACATTTCGCTAAAAAGAACTTACACGAATACCCGTCACTCCACTGAGCCGCTCAGCAAAGTGACGAGTATCTAGCGTTCATTCAAGGTGGGTACTTGGCTACGTCCTACATGCAACATGCGATACCAAAGCCGCTCGGTTGGAATAGGGCAAGGCCTCTGCAAGATTTCATGTTCAACAATTGTACTGTACAGTAGACGGGGGAATTGTCTCCCTCAACCGGTATACGGGAGAGAAGGTAGATGCGCTAAACCTAGGTTTCCCATAACTAGGACTACTCATCCCGTACTCACTAGACTTCAGACTGTTTCTTGTGGCAGTATACGGGTACAGTATGGGATTGTGATGTGGATGTTGGTCATAGCTACGCAGGTATACAGCATCTATTCTCCTTTAGTAGTTAAATAGTAAGTATCTGCACGGCTGTGAGATGATATAGATGCTCGTGTTATCTACCTGGAAGGCCTTTTTTCTCGTTATTCGTGCCCAGCGAGAACCGCACGATGTTGCTTATTTTGCGCTGTTGCGGGTATTGCAGAGATCTAACCCGGTAGGAGGGTGCCACAGCATCGTGATGACACAGTGGACAGATTAGTGGCTTGACCGGGCTGAAGGAGGGGCGGGACGTCTGTTGAACGTGATGGGGATTTACGAACCAAGAAATGAGCTGGGACATGAAGAAGATGGATTTATGGTGCAGGCGGTGGAATTGAATTGTTCGGAGAGTCTTTTAGGGCTTCACTATCTCGCCCAATGATAATAGCAGGTACCAGATGCAGGATCAGCCAATGTTTAGTGCCACATAGGTGAAGAGACATGCTTATACGCAGAGAGGCGAGCAGTCTAGAAATTTAGGAAGGGAGCTCATGGATCTAGCCTGCGACGAACACATATCCGCCGGCCTAGAGCGCTGGCACAGATCGAGTATCAAATACATGGTTCTAAACCTAGTCATCTCGATAGGAAAACAAGCCAGGCCGTCGCCATGTGCCCGGTCGATAACAAAGTTATGGGCTCGCCTGGGAGCCGGTAGCCGCAGTTCATGGCCTTTCTGGAGATATGTAGTCCCAGTACAATTCTCTATGATTTTTTAGGGGTGAGAATAGAGGTATGTCCTCACTAACAAGGTATATCCCAAGGCGAGACGCAACGCGCAAAGGTAGGCACATCAATCCAGCGTCCAGCTTGGAGGACTCTTAGATACCAATGACCCCTTCGCCAACTTATCGGTTGATGAAAGAGACGCAGTGTTTCCAGTAGCAGTCCCTAGCATTCTTTTGGTGGTAGTGCCGGAAAAGAGGGAGGTAAAGAGCAACCCTTGACTTAGAAACGGCATTGAGGCGGCGAAGAAGATAAATAATGACACGAGCGAGAAGGTAGCGGCGAGAGTGACTAGGGAGACCGTTAGCTGCTACTCTCGCTTGCTGAACTCAGAGTATAGGGCCTGTTCTGCGGTGGGTGGAAATTCTATGGCAGGGCGTGCAGTCTCACTGAAGGCACGGAGATCTTTGGAAGTGCTGTCGGTTTGCTTGTTTATGGCCATAGCCTGCGGGCAAGCTGGATATAAAGTCGACCCAGACTGTATTCCATGTTGTCTGTTGCGGAAGGATGTCCCAAACATCCAGTGGATGACTGGTTTGTCTGATGCATGTGTATAAGCTTGGTGCACAGCTTTATATGGCTTTGGTATTGCCCTGACAGCTCCATGCTTTACGGTTGCTCTCAGCTGACGGTCTCCTCATCTACTTCAACAGTGACAAACTATTGAAGATTCACGTCAAAGGGTGGCTTAGCAAGAACTATCTTGGACAAGCGAACCAGTTCCAATTATTGCGTGGACGGGACCAGTTTGCTTGCTAACAAGGAGATGGTGTTCTGGTGTGTCGTGTCAGTGATCAAAAGCGCGTCATATAAGATCACCTCAAGATCACTGCAAAGAAAATCTGAAGCACCCGCACTCAATTATAACCACGTTCGACCATGACTTGGACTCTCAGCGTCTTTGAGTTCACTTTCGGTTCCGGAGCCTACCTGTCTATCCTTAGTAATAAGCCCTATACGTCAAATGGGTGATCATCAAGGACCGAGTCATGCCCACAGCTACAACCATCATGCTGCGATCGACAAAGCGCGATAAGTCAAGATAAGAGCCCGTCATGGAGACATTGGTGCCCTCAAATTGCGTCACAGCCCCAAGATATAAAACACGGGGAAGCCGTGCCTTGAATCGAGATCGAGATTCGTGCCCAACGAGCCGCGATATTGAGTCATACATCGACTCCGGTCCCCCCAAATTGTGGCTCAGCAGTTGCATGAGGATGGGTATGACGATGTTTTGGAGAATCCGAGTCCGAGTGTTGAGCGAGCCGTCTCCCCGGGCCGAAACAAGGCGATTGTACGGAGTAACCATGAGCTGGTTACCGAGGAACCCGTGCAGTTCCAAGGATCGTGCTGTTTTTGCTCCACAAGATGAAAACACTGCTTGCATCTGAATCTGGGTCTGAAGAGATTTCTTCTGCAGGGCTTGTGCTTGCAGGCCAAGCGCCCGAGACATGCAGCCTTTTAGCAGGTGTTTACTGTGGCGGAGATCCGGAGTAACTCTGAGTCTGAGTCGCAAGTGCAGCGCAGATGTGGAGCGATGTAGATATTCGAAGGCGATCAAGATTATGTGCTTTAGTCCTGCACGATCGTGCGGAACACCTTGCCATAACGGTCCATGATCTGTTAGGCTTTGCTTGCATCCTGGGGAGCGACGGCGCATGTGCTTGGGTAACAGCAGGGTCGTCTGGATAGTACCTTGCGGGCTTGACGCTTGTAGCATGATCAGTGGTGGGGGTCTTCTTCCGCCCATCCCCAGCGCGATGGTGCCACCTCAGGGCCTCTGACGATTCATGCTGGTGACAATACCCCGTCGACGTGATGATATCGTGCAAATACTGGCATGACAGGACGAATGATAGACCGGATCGTCTCGGGGCACCACTTGGGCTTGAAAACATCGTAAACAAAGTTGCTGTTGGCCATGGTGTGATTGGTGCCCTCCAGGCGCCAACTCACCGCATTTTGGGCTCCCGATCTGCATCGCTATCGCAACAAGAGACAACACAGAGTCAGAGACACTCGTCCATTGGATCAATGGTCGACAAGTGCGAGCTTGCTGATACCGGGTCCTGCAGTATCCTCAATTTTTGATCTCTGCGCTTCGTGGAGGCGTCGACCCCCCCGGCTTTTGAGCTGCAATCAGCCATCGAGGGTCATAGCGATTGTTTAGACCATGCCCAATGCAAGCAAACCATAATAAAGATCACTGTGGTGATAAGTGCTGCAGCCCCGCTCACTAACGGCTTTCTCCACTAGCATGGAGCTA